ATGGACCTGCCTTCACGGCCACACCATGGACCTGCCTTCACGGCCACACCATGGACCTGCCTTCACGGCCACACCATGGACCTGCCTTCACGGCCACACCATGGACCTGCCTTCACGGCCACACCATGGACCTGCCTTCACGGCCACACCATGGACCTGCCTTCACGGCCACACCATGGACCTGCCTTCACGGCCACACCATGGACCTGCCTTCACGGCCACACCATGGACCTGCCTTCACGGCCACACCATGGACCTGCCTTCACGGCCACACCATGGACCTGCCTTCACGGCCACACCATGGACCTGCCTTCACGGCCACACCATGGACCTGCCTTCACGGCCACACCATGGACCTGCCTTCACGGCCACACCATGGACCTGCCTTCACGGCCACACCATGGACCTGCCTTCACGGCCACACCATGGACCTGCCTTCACGGCCACACCATGGACCTGCCTTCACGGCCACACCATGGACCTGCCTTCACGGCCACACCATGGACCTGCCTTCACGGCCACACCATGGACCTGCCTTCACGGCCACACCATGGACCTGCCTTCACGGCCACACCATGGACCTGCCTTCACGGCCACACCATGGACCTGCCTTCACGGCCACACCATGGACCTGCCTTCACGGCCACACCATGGACCTGCCTTCACGGCCACACCATGGACCTGCCTTCACGGCCACACCATGGACCTGCCTTCACGGCCACACCATGGACCTGCCTTCACGGCCACACCATGGACCTGCCTTCACGGCCACACCATGGACCTGCCTTCACGGCCACACCATGGACCTGCCTTCACGGCCACACCATGGACCTGCCTTCACGGCCACACCATGGACCTGCCTTCACGGCCACACCATGGACCTGCCTTCACGGCCACACCATGGACCTGCCTTCACGGCCACACCATGGACCTGCCTTCACGGCCACACCATGGACCTGCCTTCACGGCCACACCATGGACCTGCCTTCACGGCCACACCATGGACCTGCCTTCACGGCCACACCATGGACCTGCCTTCACGGCCACACCATGGACCTGCCTTCACGGCCACACCATGGACCTGCCTTCACGGCCACACCATGGACCTGCCTTCACGGCCACACCATGGACCTGCCTTCACGGCCACACCATGGACCTGCCTTCACGGCCACACCATGGACCTGCCTTCACGGCCACACCATGGACCTGCCTTCACGGCCACACCATGGACCTGCCTTCACGGCCACACCATGGACCTGCCTTCACGGCCACACCATGGACCTGCCTTCACGGCCACACCATGGACCTGCCTTCACGGCCACACCATGGACCTGCCTTCACGGCCACACCATGGACCTGCCTTCACGGCCACACCATGGACCTGCCTTCACGGCCACACCATGGACCTGCCTTCACGGCCACACCATGGACCTGCCTTCACGGCCACACCATGGACCTGCCTTCACGGCCACACCATGGACCTGCCTTCACGGCCACACCATGGACCTGCCTTCACGGCCACACCATGGACCTGCCTTCACGGCCACACCATGGACCTGCCTTCACGGCCACACCATGGACCTGCCTTCACGGCCACACCATGGACCTGCCTTCACGGCCACACCATGGACCTGCCTTCACGGCCACACCATGGACCTGCCTTCACGGCCACACCATGGACCTGCCTTCACGGCCACACCATGGACCTGCCTTCACGGCCACACCATGGACCTGCCTTCACGGCCACACCATGGACCTGCCTTCACGGCCACACCATGGACCTGCCTTCACGGCCACACCATGGACCTGCCTTCACGGCCACACCATGGACCTGCCTTCACGGCCACACCATGGACCTGCCTTCACGGCCACACCATGGACCTGCCTTCACGGCCACACCATGGACCTGCCTTCACGGCCACACCATGGACCTGCCTTCACGGCCACACCATGGACCTGCCTTCACGGCCACACCATGGACCTGCCTTCACGGCCACACCATGGACCTGCCTTCACGGCCACACCATGGACCTGCCTTCACGGCCACACCATGGACCTGCCTTCACGGCCACACCATGGACCTGCCTTCACGGCCACACCATGGACCTGCCTTCACGGCCACACCATGGACCTGCCTTCACGGCCACACCATGGACCTGCCTTCACGGCCACACCATGGACCTGCCTTCACGGCCACACCATGGACCTGCCTTCACGGCCACACCATGGACCTGCCTTCACGGCCACACCATGGACCTGCCTTCACGGCCACACCATGGACCTGCCTTCACGGCCACACCATGGACCTGCCTTCACGGCCACACCATGGACCTGCCTTCACGGCCACACCATGGACCTGCCTTCACGGCCACACCATGGACCTGCCTTCACGGCCACACCATGGACCTGCCTTCACGGCCACACCATGGACCTGCCTTCACGGCCACACCATGGACCTGCCTTCACGGCCACACCATGGACCTGCCTTCACGGCCACACCATGGACCTGCCTTCACGGCCACACCATGGACCTGCCTTCACGGCCACACCATGGACCTGCCTTCACGGCCACACCATGGACCTGCCTTCACGGCCACACCATGGACCTGCCTTCACGGCCACACCATGGACCTGCCTTCACGGCCACACCATGGACCTGCCTTCACGGCCACACCATGGACCTGCCTTCACGGCCACACCATGGACCTGCCTTCACGGCCACACCATGGACCTGCCTTCACGGCCACACCATGGACCTGCCTTCACGGCCACACCATGGACCTGCCTTCACGGCCACACCATGGACCTGCCTTCACGGCCACACCATGGACCTGCCTTCACGGCCACACCATGGACCTGCCTTCACGGCCACACCATGGACCTGCCTTCACGGCCACACCATGGACCTGCCTTCACGGCCACACCATGGACCTGCCTTCACGGCCACACCATGGACCTGCCTTCACGGCCACACCATGGACCTGCCTTCACGGCCACACCATGGACCTGCCTTCACGGCCACACCATGGACCTGCCTTCACGGCCACACCATGGACCTGCCTTCACGGCCACACCATGGACCTGCCTTCACGGCCACACCATGGACCTGCCTTCACGGCCACACCATGGACCTGCCTTCACGGCCACACCATGGACCTGCCTTCACGGCCACACCATGGACCTGCCTTCACGGCCACACCATGGACCTGCCTTCACGGCCACACCATGGACCTGCCTTCACGGCCACACCATGGACCTGCCTTCACGGCCACACCATGGACCTGCCTTCACGGCCACACCATGGACCTGCCTTCACGGCCACACCATGGACCTGCCTTCACGGCCACACCATGGACCTGCCTTCACGGCCACACCATGGACCTGCCTTCACGGCCACACCATGGACCTGCCTTCACGGCCACACCATGGACCTGCCTTCACGGCCACACCATGGACCTGCCTTCACGGCCACACCATGGACCTGCCTTCACGGCCACACCATGGACCTGCCTTCACGGCCACACCATGGACCTGCCTTCACGGCCACACCATGGACCTGCCTTCACGGCCACACCATGGACCTGCCTTCACGGCCACACCATGGACCTGCCTTCACGGCCACACCATGGACCTGCCTTCACGGCCACACCATGGACCTGCCTTCACGGCCACACCATGGACCTGCCTTCACGGCCACACCATGGACCTGCCTTCACGGCCACACCATGGACCTGCCTTCACGGCCACACCATGGACCTGCCTTCACGGCCACACCATGGACCTGCCTTCACGGCCACACCATGGACCTGCCTTCACGGCCACACCATGGACCTGCCTTCACGGCCACACCATGGACCTGCCTTCACGGCCACACCATGGACCTGCCTTCACGGCCACACCATGGACCTGCCTTCACGGCCACACCATGGACCTGCCTTCACGGCCACACCATGGACCTGCCTTCACGGCCACACCATGGACCTGCCTTCACGGCCACACCATGGACCTGCCTTCACGGCCACACCATGGACCTGCCTTCACGGCCACACCATGGACCTGCCTTCACGGCCACACCATGGACCTGCCTTCACGGCCACACCATGGACCTGCCTTCACGGCCACACCATGGACCTGCCTTCACGGCCACACCATGGACCTGCCTTCACGGCCACACCATGGACCTGCCTTCACGGCCACACCATGGACCTGCCTTCACGGCCACACCATGGACCTGCCTTCACGGCCACACCATGGACCTGCCTTCACGGCCACACCATGGACCTGCCTTCACGGCCACACCATGGACCTGCCTTCACGGCCACACCATGGACCTGCCTTCACGGCCACACCATGGACCTGCCTTCACGGCCACACCATGGACCTGCCTTCACGGCCACACCATGGACCTGCCTTCACGGCCACACCATGGACCTGCCTTCACGGCCACACCATGGACCTGCCTTCACGGCCACACCATGGACCTGCCTTCACGGCCACACCATGGACCTGCCTTCACGGCCACACCATGGACCTGCCTTCACGGCCACACCATGGACCTGCCTTCACGGCCACACCATGGACCTGCCTTCACGGCCACACCATGGACCTGCCTTCACGGCCACACCATGGACCTGCCTTCACGGCCACACCATGGACCTGCCTTCACGGCCACACCATGGACCTGCCTTCACGGCCACACCATGGACCTGCCTTCACGGCCACACCATGGACCTGCCTTCACGGCCACACCATGGACCTGCCTTCACGGCCACACCATGGACCTGCCTTCACGGCCACACCATGGACCTGCCTTCACGGCCACACCATGGACCTGCCTTCACGGCCACACCATGGACCTGCCTTCACGGCCACACCATGGACCTGCCTTCACGGCCACACCATGGACCTGCCTTCACGGCCACACCATGGACCTGCCTTCACGGCCACACCATGGACCTGCCTTCACGGCCACACCATGGACCTGCCTTCACGGCCACACCATGGACCTGCCTTCACGGCCACACCATGAACCATTCGGTCTCGCTCTGGCCTCCCCCCCACCTTCTGCCCTCCGCCCCCCTTGTGTCCCTCCCAACCCCCCTCGCTGCCTTCTGTCCGCCCTCTCCCGCCCGCCTTGGTTTCTCCCTCTGTTCCCCATGCCTCCCCTACAGCTACTGAAGCACAGGTTTGGGTGGGTGTTTGCCGAGCCTGTGGACGCGGAGAGTTTAGGTCTGCCCGACTACCATGAGATCATCAGCCACCCGATGGACCTGGGAACCATCCGCTCCCGCCTCGTCCAATCGCTCGCTGCCACGCGTGCAGACGGGGCAGGCGAGGGAAAAGTTGGGGTAGATGGAAACGACGCAGCAAGAGAAGCAGAACCTACGGGTGGTGAAGAAACTGGTGCATCTGATACTGCTGCTGCTGCTGCTGCTGCTGCTGCTACCAGTGCTGCCGCTGCATCGCGGCCCCCTCATTTTAGTCACGTGAATGAGGTGGCAAGGGATGTACGGCTGGTGTTTGCAAATGCTATGAAGTACAATGGACCGGGATCGGAGGTGAGAGGGGGTTGAAAGTTGTGAGATTGGGTTAGAGGGGGGTGTGAGGAGTGGGAGGGGGTTGAGTGCAGTGATAGGGGATTGCAAGGGATGTGCGGCTGGTGTTTGCGAATGCGATGAAGTACAATGGAATGGGGTCAGAGGTGAGAGGGGGTTGGGAGGAGTAAGAGGGCATTCATTCTGGATTGCACGGGACGTGCAGCTGGTGCTTGCCAATGCGATGAAGTACAACGGACCGGGGGCGGAGGTGAGAGGCGTTGAAAGGAGTGAGAGGGAGTTGTGAGGAGTAAAAAGGGCTTTTCTGGCGCTCTTCCTTCTTATGCCGTCCGTGCCATTTGCCCATTTACCCATCCCACCTCCCCAGGTCTATCTCATGGCCCTCTCGGCTCTCTCGGACCGACTCTTGAAACGTCGTCCTCCCCCTACCATACTCCCATTCGCACACCCATCCACCCACCCATGTTCCCACCTCCCCAGGTCTATCTCATGGCCCTCTCGGCTCTCTCGGATCGACTCTTGAAACGTCGTCTCATGCGCACTCTTCGCCCTCCCACCCACCCATCCTCTCATTTCACCTCCCCAGGTCTATCTCATGGCCCAATCTCTCTTGGACCGATTCGAGGAGAAGTGGCAATCCGTGATGGTGCCGAGGATACAAGAGGAGGTGAGGTGGGAGCGTGGGCTTATGCAACATGAGGTGTGGGGGGGGAGGGGGGGGGGAAGGGGGGGCAAGGGAGGTATCTATGTCGGTTGGAATGTATAAGAAGTGGCAAGCTGTGATGGTGCCGAGCCGAGGATACAAGAGGAGGTGAGATGGGAGCGTGGGCTTATGGGAGGTGTGTGGGGGGGGGCAAGGGAGGTATCTATGTATGTTGGAATGTATAAGAAGTGGCAAGCTGTGATGGTGCCGAGCCGAGGATACAAGAGGAGGTGAGATGGGAGCGTGGGCTTATGGGAGGTGTGTGGGGGGGGCAAGGGAGGTATCTATGTATGTTGGAATGTATAAGAAGTGGCAAGCTGTGATGGTGCCGAGGACAAGGGGAGGTGAGATGAGTTGGGGTTTCGATAATTCTTAACACTGGTCGTTTTTGAAAAGAACATTCGGAATTAGCTGGACGTGTCAGCAGTAATATCCTTATTGTCAATAATAGCCGCAACCCACATATTTCAGGAGAAACGGCAGCGCACAGCGGAGGATCAGCTACAGGCATTTGAGAATCGAATAGGGGCTGTTAACGTGTTGAGGAACGCGTTCCCTCCTGGTCTCCCCTCACCCCACCACCCCCTCCATTGCAGGAGAAGAGAAGGCGCACAGAGGAGGAGCAAATACAGGCGTTTGAGAGTCGGGTGAAGGCAGAGGCAGAGGAAGCAGCAATGGACGGGCGTGCGAGACAGATAGCTGCCGAGGTGAGTAGCAGGCGAAGTGAGTGGGGAAGTAAGGAGAGGTGAAGTGATAGTGGGGAGAGAGGTGGGAGCTCCTTTTTGAGAATTCTCAAAGGTCACTGGGGTTGACTTGATGTGAGAGTTGGTTGAATGCACAGGCAGAGGAAGCAGCAATGGATGGGCGTGCAAGACAGATAGCCGAGAGGTGAGGGTTGACCGTTGATGGCAAGCTTCGAGAGTGGAGGGCTAGGTCAAGGGAGGGTGCAGTGCAGTGCAGTGCAGTGCAGTGCAGTGCAGTGCAGTGCAGTGCAGTGCAGGGGAGGCGTTTCGAGGTGCCTCGCCTCAGGATAAACGCAGAAGGGGGGTACTTAGCAGCAGATGCACTTCTGACCTACTCTTAGAAATGCTTCGAGGGTACGGGCTAGGTCAAGGGAGGGTGGAGTGCAGGGGAGGCGTTTCGAGGTGCCTCAGAAGTAGGTCAAGGGGGTGGAGTGCAGATGCACTTCTGACCTACTCTTAGAAATGCTTCGAGGGTGCGGGCTAGGTCAGGGGGGTGGGGTGCAGGCAGAGGCAGGGGAAGCAGCAGTGGATGGGATGGGCGTGCGAGACAGGTCGCAGCCAAGGTGAGTTGAGGCGAAGGGGGAAGAGTGGGAAGAGAAGGACTAGGGGAGCAGGAAGGAGGTGGATAGATTGCAGCAAAGGCGAGTAGCAGCAGAGGTGGGTGGGTGGCAGCCTCGTATTTTGAGTCGACTCAAAGATCGTCTCATCACAAGCAGCAGAGGTGGGTGGCAGCAGAGGTGGGTTGCAGCATCGCATTCTCACATCCTATCTCACTAATATTCAATCGCAATCTCTCCGTTCCCTATTTCTCCCTCCCTCCCTTCCCCAATCGTCAGTTCTCCATGTCTTCTTAAACGGTTGTCCCCCCCTCCCCCCTCCCCCCCTCTCTTTCTCGTTACAAGCGTTTCAAAAGTCGATTCCCCAATCTTCATTCCCCCATATCATCTATCCCCTCCATTCCCCCTCTTCCCTCCCTTTTCCATCAGACATCCCATGTGGATCAGCAGCTGGTTCAGCTCAGGGACTCCATCGCCCCGCTCTGCCGGTAAGCTGCACAGGTGCCTCCTTACCAGCTTTCCTGCTGGTTAGATTGGGACGAGTAGACGTTTTCCACTGGGATGCTTTCTTTTCTGTGCCATCAGATATCCCATCCCATGTGGGTCAGCAGCTGCTTCAGCTCAGAGACTCCATCGCCCCGTGTGATAAGTCGATTTTTGAGTCGACTCAAAAGGCAACAGCAGCTGCTTGAGCTCAGAGACTCCATCGCCCCGCTCTGCCGGTAAGCTAAGCCAAGGTGCCTTACCGTCTCTCTAGGTGCCTTACCGTCTCTCTAGGTGCCTTACCGTCTCTCTAGGTGCCTTACCGTCTCTCTAGGTGCCTTACCGTCTCTCTAGGCGCAATGCGTCAAGTGATCAGACAATGTGTGTTTTGAGTCGACTCAAAACACTTACCGTCTCTCTAGGTGCAGGGCGTCAAGTGATCAGACAATTATGTGGACCCTGCCCCTGTCTGCTGCTGCGGTCATCCCATGTGGATCAGCAGCTGGTTCAGCTCAGGGACTCCATGGCCCCACTCTGCCGGTAAGCCATGCCAAGGTGTCGTTCTTGTGCCTCCATCCCTTTTACTTTCTCTCTTTGCTTCGTCCTGCTCTCTTCCACTATCCACACGTCACACCCATGACACCAGAGGAAGTAAGGCAGGTGGGACGGGGCATGCGACGATTGAAGCCCAATGCCATAACGAGACTGCTTTGGATTATTGAGGACCCCGCTTGCTTCCTCCCTTCCTCACTCCCTTTCCCTTCCTCCCATTCGCTTCCTTCCCCTTACCCCCCCATTCCGACCCATGACAGCTGAGGAGGTAAGGCAGCTGGGGCAGGGTATGTGACGGTTAAAGCCCAACGCCATGGCGAGACTGCTGGAGATTATTGAGGAGCCCGCTTGCTTCCTGCCTTCCTCACTCCCTTTCGCTTCCTCTTGTCGCTTTTTTTTTAGGTTGATTTTTTAGAATTCTCAAAATCTTCCTCTCGTCGCTATGTCCTAACGCCATGGCAATATTTCCGGAGATGATTGAAAAGCCCTCTTGCTTCCTCCCTATGCTTTGTCCTCTCACACACATACCATCCAGACCCATGACTCCCGAGGAAGTGAGGCGGCTGGGCAGGGGCATGAGGCGGTTAAAGCCCAATGCCATGGCGAGACTGCTGGAGATTATTGAGGAACAGGAGGAGCGGGAGGAGAGGGAGAGGGAGAGAGAGGAGAGGGAGCGGGAGGAAAGGGAGAGGGAGGAGAGGGAGGAGAGGGAGCGGGAGGAGAGAGAGAGGGAAGAAAAGGAGGGAGGGCAGGAGGAGGAGGCGAGAAGAAAAGAGGGTGCAGAGAAGGATATGAAGGAGAAGGGGGGAGAGGAACGAGGGACAGGGGATATGGGGGCAGAGGAGAGGAGGGGAGAGGAGAGAGGGGGAGTGGGGGAGATGAGACAGGAGCCACTGCAAGGAGTTGCTAAATCAGGAGAGAATGGTGATGCAGAGTGTAAGGGTGAGCCAGAGGAGGGGATGTGTGCGGGTGTGGCAGATGGCAAAAGTACCGTTGATGGCAGTGTTACTGTTCATGGCAATGGTAACAATCGTAACTTTGGTACTGTTCAGGGGGAGGCGATGGAAGGCAGTTTGGTTGAGTGCATAATGGGTGGTGCTTTGGGACGAGGCAATGTGAGGAAGGGTGAACAAGAGGTAGGAGGAATGGGAGGGCTAGGAGGAGAAGATCCAAGAGCATCAGGTCGAGGAGGAGCATTCGGAACAGAAGCCGCAGCAGCAGCAGATGATGACTCAGGAGTCAGGGAAGCAGGAGGAGCAAGGGGAAGGGCAACAGGGGATGCGCAAGGAGAGGAGGGTGGGAGGGGTGGTCAATGGGGCATAGGTGAACGAGCAGCAAGAGCAGCAGGAGGAGCAGCAGCAAGAACAGCCCGGGGAATGCGGCGAACTAGAGACTCCGATTTCACTGTAGACCTCGATGATTTGGTGAGTACAGTATTTCAGAATGCACTTTATTGCTCCGATTACGGTACATTATGCATGTTTGAAATGGTTTTGTACCTTTCAAACTGGCAGCTTTGCGACCACGACCTCACGAAATCGACTCAAGAAGGGAAAAATGTAACCTCTTTTGAGTTTCTCTATCTCCCTGGTTAACAGTTTTTTACGGTAACTGTCAAAATGGCAGCTCTGAGACCAAGGGTTTCATCAAACTATGTTATCCTCTTCCCGTTGCTCTTTCTCCTCAGAGCCCGGCAACATAGTGGCGATTACTGCTCTACGTTTTGCTCTCTAGACCATGAACAAGGCATGCATTCCACACCGTGAAGTGAACAAGGCCGCATGATCTCAATGGTGTTATCCTTTTCCCTTTGCTGTTGCTTCTCAGAGCCCGGCAACACAGTGGCGATTACTGCACTACGTTTCGCTCTCTAGATCATGAACAAGGCTCCTGAGGTGCCTCTGAAGGACAGCACTACGTTTCGCTCTCTAGACCATGAACAAGGCACTCTAGACCATAAACGAGTCTTCAAAACTTGAGGATGATGAAAGGATGTTCTTTTCCATCATCTTCCCAATATTGGATCCTCCCAATATAATTTAGCCTGCGTTCTATCTTCACATTTGCATCTACCACCTGTGCCCTGTTGTGTCATGTCCCTGATCTGAAGGCTAATGAACGAACATTTGTCAATCACAAATATAGTACATGCAGGAATTCTGTCAGGATGCAAAATCAAGATACCAGGTCGAACCTGACCGGAAATCAAGAATTGACGATAGCAGGCCTCATGAGAGGCTTCACTAGGTACGCACACCTTTAGGCGGGCCGCAGGTCATTTTAGTCCGCTTACAATTGAATTGGCAGGATTCTGTAAATTACACAAGCACACTTGTCTAGCCAGTGGAGCTGTTGTCAAATTCTCAGGTGCAAAACGAGCTTGCAAAAGGTTGATGAGACACTTGACTTCCCCTCTTTATTTTCGTAAGACAACCATTTTGTTTCGTTTCATGGTTTCCACTCATCATTGATACTCTATCGGGTTCACAACAGCCAGCTGTGACACGAGCGGACCTCTTTTGACCCAAAGATTTTCAGGTGTGGTTCGTTGAATGAAACGTTCTCTCCTCTGGTCCCAGCAGCCCCAAATGCTCAATGACAGGTCTCATTCCGACCGAAACTCCAGTGTACCCTTGTCAGCCAGACGATCCACGGTGCACTAGTTTTGTGTGACCGCTCCAACAAGCACTTCAGAAGGCGGTGGGGGTGACTGGCAGCACAGCAAACCCACCTCAGGCCCGCATTGAACAAGGCTTGAGGCGGCCTGAGTTTTGTGATTCCTTCCCGCACCGCGATCTGTGATGCGTCTCTCCCTCTCTCGTCCCCTTCGTCACCAAGCAAGCATGTATCCTTCCCCTACTTTCATTTTTTCAAGGGCGTAATCAAAGAGCGAGGGTTCAGTTTGTCGCGTGGATGGTTTGGATTCCTCCTTCGGCAGGAGACACGCCAAACGGAACCTCGATACGTAGCTGAGCTGAAGAAGAGCACGGTGGTCACCCCCTATCTCGCAGCCTTAGTCGTAGAGGTCAGATAGTTTCTGTTGCACACATGTGGCACACTGGTCGAAGAATCTGCCTGCTTTGTGCGTCATCTTGGTGTGGAGTCAAATCATATCATTCCGTCCAGCTCATTGCTCATGCGTATCTGCCTGTCGATGGCTGGGCGTTCACGTGCCTGTTGGGCCTTTCAGGTGTGAGATTTTAGGTCGAGGCTCCCCCCCGCGGCATGGCGGCGTCTTGGTGGATAGTGGACGACAGTCGATTTGGCGCAGTACAGCTACACTATTCTGTACCGATGGTGGATAGATTTCGCCGATTTCTTCGCTATTGTATCTTCCATTTGGGGCCAACGCTCCTAGCCAACCAGTCTCGCCTCGTCTCGTCCCGTCTCGTCGTCTGCTCTTCTCTCCTCGCTTCATCTCCTCATCGCGTTCTTCCCTCCACAGAACCTGCTTCGCTGATTTTAAAGTTCTACTACGCAAGGTCCAAACTCCGCTGTCACCAGCGGTGTAGCATAGCGCCTGTCATCGTTTAAATATCTATTAGCCTTCGTGTCACACGGAGAGACAGCGGGTTCCTATCCGCGAGCATGCTGCACGTGCACCATACAAACAACGACTTTAGTAGGGTCGCCGTGGGTTCCAGAGCCGAGCTACGAACTTCGAGTGCTCGAATTTCTCCCCTGACAATACCTGATCCCAATGATCTTCGGGAGTCTGAAATTCAAGCCGGCGAGCACGAAAACCATAACGACGATTCATATAACGGGGACATCCGTGACTCATTTGAGCATGCGGTTGCGCAGAATCAGGCGCCTGGGGCCGCTGCGCGCTTGTCATGCGCAGTGCGCCAGGCTGGAGCCGCCGCCGCGTGCGGCCGTTCCCCGCGTGGAACCATGCCGCGGCAGCAAGATGGAATTCATTGGGGTCCAAGTTGGGAAGGAGACGGAAGCTCGTCGAAACGCGGCTCGTCAACACCAAGAAGCTCAGGCTCGTCAAACCGCGGCACAGGTTCGTCAACACCAAGAAGCTTCGCTTCGGCAACACCCAGGGGTTCATCTTCGTTCCCAGGCGCGAGTAACGGCGGCCCGGGACGGCAAGCGCGAACACGTCTCATGCCTTCGCAGCGGAGGCATGTGAGTATGTCGGAAGTGGAATACCCTGGAGTGACGGGTGCTAATAATGAGGGCGACAGCACTTTGTACAGATCTCCAACTGGCGGCAGCAGCAGCAGCAGCAGCAGCGTCGCCGACGGCAGCAGTAACAATGTTACTACGAGCTGGGATTTCGCGAACCGCGACTTCGCGAAAAGCCAGGATTCCGCCAGGGGTAGTGCCTCGCCTGCTGTGAATCCCTTAGTGAATCGTCAATTGCAGCTAGTAGCAGCATCTCAAAGAGGCTCCTTACGAAACGGTTCGTTACAGTCACAAGTGAGCCTACCCACGCATCACACGCGCCGCTACTCGCTCGACGCGTCTCGCCTCCAACTCCCCAAGCGTCGCCACTCCACTGGCATGGACCCGCAACCGCAGTTGCCACGTCGACAACCGTTGCCAAGTCAGCAACACAGCTCGCAACCGTCACCTCGCGGTGTTAGCAACAGCGGAGGAAGCAGCCCTAGAAGCGGAAGGGGAAGCTACGGAGGAAGCCGCAGCGGCAGCGCGTCGTCAACTCCCAGAGGCCTCCCGCCGCGTCGCGGGTTTGCGCCCGCTCTGAGCAATTTAGGAAGCGACAGACGTTCCGGATTTGACGGCAGGTTGATTGTGGACAGTCGCGATTCTAGTGCTTGCAACAGTCCCCTCGCGTCAAACCACGAAGCTCAATGGGGGAAGCGCGCGACGCATGCGCAACCAGCGCAAGCGTCGCAAGGGAGAAGCGCGCAAGCGACGCCGCGCGCGCAGGCTGCGGATATGAACGCGGAACAGTGCGTGGAGATGAACGCACAACAGCGCGGAGCCGCAGGCCACCAGCGCGCGCGCTCGCTCTCGCGGCTCGATTCTCCATGCCAAACACCTTACATTGCCGCGCGAACTGACACGAGTGTGCGGACCCTAAGCGATAGCGGAGGACTTGGGGGAGGGAGCTTGGGGAAGGGGGGATCCGGAGAAGGCGCGGGCGGTGATGGCGGAAGTAGTCGCGGGAGCGGTCCCCCTGGAGTAACCCAAAACGTTTGCAAGATCAACGGTCAGAATCTTCCCATGCGTGTACGCCGAAGCGGCAGCGCAGATCTACGTGGGATTGTTGGCAGCATCGGGAAGGGAGGCGGAAGCTTCGAGACGAATATGATTGCACCTCTGGTGCAGCTTCCTGGAACGTGCCACACTGAAACATCATTACATGGAACCCATTCGCGGAGTACGAGCTTATGTACTATTACTGCAATTGGTAGTAAGGATACTAGCCGTAGCAGCAGCCTCGGTCGTTGGAATCAACATCCCCAGCCGTCGGGTTCTGTTGCGACGCCTCGGATCCAATCGCGTCTGCCGCAATCGCAGCTGGCGTCGCCGCAAGGAAAGACGAGCGCTGGGAATCGCGATTTCACTTATAGCAACTCTAGCGGCTTCAATCGCACAAGTGCCGCTAACTATGGCGGGAACGGCAGTAGTAACAGCAGCAGCGGCAACGGTAGCAGTTTTAGCTGCGGCAGCGGCGTTGTTGTGGATAGAAGCAGCAGCAGAAACCCTAATGGCGGTAGTGGTAATTTGAACTTATCGCGTATTTCTTCCCAGCCCAGTCGTTCGGCTCCCCAAATCCCGTCGTCTTTTATCGCCAGTACGGTTTCTCCGCGTGGCATTTCGCACACGAGTCTGTCGCCCGTGGGAACTTCGTACTCTCGCCTGTCCCACCTCCTGTCGCCTCGCGTTTCGCAGCCCTCGGACTTTCGATCGTTCTCCGTGCCTCACAACGAGCCTGTATGCTCGAGCTTCGCTGCTAGTGTCAAAGATTCGCGAAAAGGTTACAGCTCGGCGAGGGAATCGCAGGTGCCGTGGCGAGATTATGGAGAATCTGTCATTCGAGATGAAAACTTCGTTACGCTATCACGTAAATTCGGTGCAGAAACAAAAGTTCGGGGGCAAGCGGAAGGGGGAGAAGCGGTAGCGCAATGGGGGGAAGACCAGGCGCAGCAGGCGCACAGGCATGGGGACTTTGCGGAGGGGGGAATTGGTGAAGCAGCAAGGACAAGAGTCGAAGGGGAAACGGTTGACTGCTACAGGGGGGAAAGGCAAGGGGGAAGGGAAGGGGAAGGTGCGGGAGAAGGGGGAGTGGAGGGGAAATTTGGGGAAGAGAGCAAGGAATTTGAGGCTGATGGTTGTGAGGAGCGGGAAGTTGTGGGGGTGAAGGTTTGCGGAGGAAAAATTGCTGACAATGTGACAATTTCTCCACGGCCAAATTATTACATCGGAAAAACGTGTGAGCTAGTGTGTGCAGTGCACTCAGGGGAAGAGGTGGAGGAGGAGGGGAAGGAGCAAGGGGACGAGGACCTGGAGGAAGGGGAGGACGGGGAGGAATGGGAGGAGGAAGAGGAGGGGGAAGGGGGGGTTGGTGTTCCGTTGGTGTGGTTTGCTGATAGTGTGGTGATCAGACGAAAGAGATTACTGGAAGATTCTGGTGCTGGTTTAGGCAGGGATGAGGGAAAGGAGGACTTTGGGGAGGAGGACGATGAGGAGGGGGAAAGGAGAGAATATACGGAAGAAGAAGAGGGGTGGAAAGGAGAAGTGTTGGTGGGGTTGAAAGGTGGGGAAGGGTTGCAAGAGGTGGGGGGCGGATGGGGGAAGGATGTGGGAGGAGATGAGGAAGGCAGGGCAGAAGAGGAGGAGGGAGAGGAAGGGGCCGAAGAGGAAGAGGGAGAGGAAGGAGATGGATCGGAGGTATCCGGGTTACGCAGGTTGATGCACTCTGACAGCGTGGCCGTGCATCGGAAGAGAGCAGGAATGGATGGAAGTTATCAAGAGGAATGGGAGGGAGAGGAGCACGAGGAGGATGAAGAGGGAGCAGGAGAGGAAGTGTTAGGGTTTCCCAGATTGATGCACTCTGACAGCATGGTGCTGCATCGGAAGAGAGCAGGGGTGGATGGAGATTCTCAGGAGGAAATACAGGGAGAGGAGGGCGAGGAGGATGAAGAGGATGAAGAGGGAGCAGAGGAAGAAGGAGAGGCAGTTTTAGGGTTTTGCATGTTGATGCACTCGGACAGCATGGTGCTACAACGGAAGAGAGTGGGGAAGCCTGAAACGAGGATGGCTGAGATTGAGGAGGAAAGGGACGCAGGGGACAGGGAAGCAACGGGAGAGGATGAGGAGGATGAGGGGGAGCGCAAGGAGGATGAGAGGGAAGAAGGGGGGAATGGGGGTGAGAAGTTGGTGTCAGAAGAAGAGGGGGAAAGGGGGAATGAGGAATTGGAAGGCGTGAATGACGCAGAAGGGGATGAGGAGTTGGGAGGTGTTAATAAGGAGAAAGGGGCTTCTTGGCGAAGAAGGTTGGTGCATTCTGATAGCTTAGCTGTGAACCGGCTTAAAAGGAGGACAAGCCATACTTCAAGTGCAACTTCAGGTGAAGAGTCAGGTGAACTTTCAGGTGAAACTTCCGCCTCTGTTGCTTGTCCCCCTCACGCAAGACGGTTTGTGCACTCTGACAGCCTCTCGGTTGCAAGGCTTAGGGGAGTGGTCACAGGGGCACAGAGCAAAGGGAATGAGGATGGGGAAGCGGATCGGGTACTTGATGAGGTTGCTGAGGAAGAGCAGGAGGAAGAGCAAGACGTGCGAGTGCCGGTGTTCCCACATTCTGACAGCATAGTGGTGGCAAGGGTGCTAAGTCTCGAGTCGGCTCTAGAAGAGAAAGAGGAGGAAGAGGAGGAGGAGGAAGAAGAGGAGGTAGATGTGGCAGTGCCGGTGTTCCCACATTCGGACAGTGTAGTGGTTACAAGGGAGCAGCGCAAGAGGAGGCCCAGACTCACATTGCCTAGGCTTGCAGGCATACACGGAATAAGACCTGCCAGTCAAAGCGCCAGGCTCTACCTTCCCCAGGTAAACCCTCCCAGGGCGGCAGGCATAAGTCCTGCTAGCCAGAGCGCCAGGCTGAACCTCCCCCAGGTGAACCTTCTCAGGGTGGCAGGTACAAAGCTTGCCAGCCAGAGCGCCAGGCTGTACCTTCCCCAGGTGAACCCTCCCGGGGATGCAGGCTTAAAGTCGGCCAGCCAGAGCGCCAGGCTGAACCTTCCCCAGGTGAACCTTCCCAAGGCCACAGGCTTAGACAGCATGAGGCCTGGGAGTCAAAGCGCCAGGCTGTACCTGCCCCAGGTGAACCCTCCCAGGGCAGGAGCCGCAGCAGGAACAGGCGGAGGTGTATCCGGTGAGGCACGGCAGCAGCAGCAGGCTGGTGAGACGCCCCCAAGGAGTGGGAGTGGTGGGGAACGAATGCTCAGACCAAGGGGAAGTAACAAGGGAAAGAGCAGCAGTGGGAGTGGAAGTGGGAGTGGAAGTGGGAGAGGAAGCGAGACGAGGTTTAAGAGTGGCACTGGTGTGATGGGTCCATGCGGTATTACAGCAGAGAGTCCACGTGGCAGCACAGCATTGAGTCCACGTGGCATCACAGCAGGGAGTCCACATGTCACTGGGGCAATGAGTCCACGTGGCAGAACACGAGTGGTCAACGGTGCACAAGAACAGGCCACCCCTCTTCGATTTTGCCCAAACGGAACTCCTGCACACGTCTCTCCCACATGCAGCCCTCATCAATCTCCAGCATACAGTCCCCATCAATCTCCCTCACACAGCCCCCGCCCCTCTCCCTCGTACAATCCTCGCCTTTCTCCCACGTACAGCCCCTGTTCCTCTCCTTCATGCAGCCCCCGCCCCTCTCCCTCTCCCTCGTACAGTCCTCGTTTATCTCCCTCTTGCAGCCCCCGTGCCATCCCCACACACAGCCCCTCCTCCTCTCCTTCATGCAATCCCCGCCTCTCTCCCTCGGGCTCACCCCACCCCTCTCCCTTATGCAGCCCCCGCCCCTGCAACACATACGGCACCCATTCTTCTCCCACCCACAGCCCCCATTCCTCTCCCTTATGCAGCCCCCGCCCATCTCCCTTCGGCAATCACCATAATTACTCCCTCCCAGGCCCCTATGCTGCCCCTGCTGCTCCTGCTGGTGCTGCTGGCGCCTCTGGTGCCTATGCTCTTACTACCTCCTCTCCTTCGCTCTCATACACCCCACACGGCTCCACCTCTCTTCCAATCTCCAGACAAGCACTCACAGCTGCTGCTAGGGCTGCTGTAGCCGCTACAGCCACTGCAGATGTAGACATCTGTCTTCGCAGTGCATCTTTGCCTGTCTCCAGACAAGCACTCACTGCTGCTGCTAGGGCTGCTGTAGCAGCTACAGCTGCCACAACCGTTACAGCCACTACAGCCGCTACAGCCACCTCTCCCTCTCTGCAGTCAGTTTCACTGACCTTTTCATCAGCTGAGGACATGAGCTGTGATGCAGATCCAGATGCGTGCATTCGCAGCTCCACTTTGCCTGCCTCCAGAAAGCCACTCACCCCAGCTGCACGTGCTGTAGCAGCTGCAACAGCCGCTACAGCCGCCCCTTCCCTTGCAGCTTCAAGTCCTCTGAAATCTGGCTGCGGTGGTCCGAGAACGAGGTTTGAAGGGAGACACGGTGTCAGGGGGCTCAATCGCAGGCATACTGCTTGCGTTGCTGATGTTGAGGAGGTTCAGGTGAAGCCCCAGGTGGTCTCTCTGGTAAATCACAGACGGCGCTCAAATGAATCGGTTTGAGGGGACCGTTGTCAGTGGGTGCAGGCAGGAGAGGGGAAGGGAAATGGGCCTTCTCACTAGTGTAGAGGAAACCGTGTGGCAGTGTATTGCGAATCCTTTTGTTCACTAACTGACACTGGTGTCTGCATCTTTGGCACTGATGCTGGTGGAGTTGGTCCAGTACCAGTGGTATACACATTTTGCTAAAATTTTTGTAACTTGATTATATTTGGAAGACCATTATTGTACATAACCGTTACCTACATCTGCTCAAATAACGCTACATATTCATCCGACTACTGTACAGCACTCGTGCAGCAACACCAGAAAGCTGGCATGGGGTTTCAAAAGAAAACTACCCTGAGAAGAAACTAGATTTTCGAAGTGTTGCGGAACTATCCAGCTGGCAGCCCGAAGGTTTCAGAAGCCGGGGGGTTGCGACGGGGATTCGCCAGATCAAAGCTCTTTGAGCGACAGGTCGCTGGATGGAAGAACAAGGCGACTTGTCATAAGAAATACACGGGGGATTTGAGGCTTCGCTCCAAGATTTCAGGCACGGCTAAAAAAGAAAATCCCCGGCACGCACAGTACGCACCGGATTTCTCTTCAGCCCCCCTCCTTCCCCACCTCCCCGTTCTCCCTCCCTCTCCTCACCCCTCTCCTTCCCCCTTCCTACCCCCTCTCCGCCGTCTCCCCCTCGTTCGTCCCAATCCCCGTCTCACCTCACCCACCTACTCCGCAGGGCACGTTCTGTGCGGGTGCTGTTTCTCCTTCCCCTTCTCCTTTATTCTCCCCCTCTCCCTCTCCGTGCACTTTTCACCTCCCCCATCCCCACCTTCGCTTGTTGGGGGTAGAGGCGGGAACTGCGGTTCTGTCCGTTCGCTTTCTTCCCTTCCATCCCCTCCCTACATTTCCCTTCTCTGGTTGTTAGCCACTTCATTTCTAATAGCCACTTTTTCCAGCTATTGGCTGTGGTGTGCTTTCTTTGCCTAGGCTTCTTGGGTACCAGGCCAACAGAGCTACTAGGCCTACCTGTGTCCAGGCTCTTCTGGCAACCAAACATCCAAGATGTTTACACACCCTTCTCCGCTTTCAAGTCAAGTCGTTTTAGGAATGGCTGCTTCTGGATTAGGGTCGTCCAATCACGGCAATCGCCCCCAGAACGGATCAACTCTGTTAGGTTCGATCCCGCCGTCCTCTTGCGTACAGGCTTCTGGCGACGACTTCACTGAAGAAGACATTTGGTCTGTAACGGATTCTGACAGCTTAACCGACGGAGTTGCCAGGGTTTCATTACACGATCAAGGTCTGCCATCATTGCGCCTTAGGGCTGAAGCAGACGCGAGCTCCTCAGCTGCTGTGTTTACAAACCAGGCTCAAGGTCTGGCTATTCTCTCTTCAGACATAAATTCCTTCGGACAACGTCTTGGTGGAGACATTGTCAAGCCGAATGGATTGGCTCCAGTCGTTATTCCAACGGTTCACAACCATCTTGATCATTTAAAATCGCGGCTTTCCCAAGGTCATCACCGTGCTTCCGCTCCTGTGAACGTTCCTGACTGGAGTAAAATAACAGGCAGGTCGTCAAAGCCCTCTCGTTGGACGGTGAATGACGATCTCGAGAACAACGCTGATGACGCTATGGTTCCTCCGCACGAGCTTGCAGCAAGGAATATATCCCCGTCAATGTGTTTCTCGGTACACGAAGGAGTTGGAGGGACGTTACGAGGAAGGGATCTGGCTCGCGTGCGAACGGCTATCCTTCAGAAGACGGGCTTCATTGATTCATAACGTCCTCCTGACGGCGTTCCTTCTCATATCTCAGCTTCATTCTGCGACACGCCATTCTGCGACGAGACATTCTACAACTGGTTTTTCGTATATATAAGCTACTAGACTAGCGGTCTGTCTATGTTTACATGTCCATGTTTTACTGGTTACCTGATGCCGTGAGTCATTCCCGTTGACTGGCTTGCAGGTGACTTCCCGTAACGGGGAAACCCCCTGGGGAAGCCCTACTCTTCGCAAGTGGATGTCAGTCAACAGGTTGGCCCGGTGTTTCGAAGTTCGTTTATCGCCATGATGCAACAGACATCTGGTGCACGTGATGTGCAAGGCCTAGGAAGTGAGAAGGTTCCTTGCTCACTCAACGAGTTGGAGCATTGTGGTACTAGCTGCCTTCCGTACACCCTTAATTGCAGCTAATGTGTCAGTTCTGATTTTCAGGTCTCATCTGAACTTACAGTTCAAGTTCGTGAAGCCTCCTTGGTTTCGGTACACCTACCGGTATTCCTTGGTGGTTTCATGCCTCTCATCTCATGCTTAGTATGGCTGCCTTGTAGATGATATAGCTGGTCTGTTCATTGGTTTAGAATTAGAGTAGGCATTACGTTTTCCCGTCAAGGCGCCACGCTACTGCTGTGAAACCCTTCATTGCAATCCATCTGGAGTCATGGTGTACTGAACGATTTTCATGTAAGTGTAGGTAGGTAGTGTAAGTTTTTTACGAATTAGAAGATGCAAACATTATCAGATGAAATTATTTAGAAACCTTTGAGATCATGATGTGCCATGCATTTTTACTGTGTAAAAAAGCAAACACTAGACATTCAATAGAAGAATAGGCCGAACCAGTGAAATTTGAGGGCTTTGATCAGAGCCCAGGAATTCCTAATCTTCTCCATAAAGAAATACCTTGACAAAATCCCTGCAAGAGGTTAGAATAAACACCATACATACAGCCATAGTACACATTAGTAGACAACTGACTCGGCCCAGGAAACTTCCTGCCTGGGGCAACAAAGACTGAAACCCATGGGAAAAGGCATGCAAACATGAGATGTTCAACCCTAAACACCCTGTACATGGTGTTTAGGGTTGATGCCTCCCTCGGATGGCATTCCATTTGAAAGAGTTTTTTTTTTTCTGTCCGTCGGTCACCTGCGATGCTGCAAATCATTTTTAGCTAGAGGGCGAAAAGCAACTAAGGAAGAAAACCAGGCTAGAACAATTTGATGTGAGTGAGTGAGTGCGTGCGTGTGTGTGTGTGTGTGTGTGTGTGAGTGTGTGTGTGTGTGTGTGTGTGTGTGCGCTTGCTTTTGTTTTTATAAGAATGAAATAGACAGAGAGACAAAGGGTTGCATTGAATCACACACCTGTAGAACTCTGTACGTATCAAACTGTTCCGACACGTCATGCGCACGTGCGCGCATGTGTATGTGCGCGCGCGCGCGTGTGTGTGTGTGTGTGTGTGTGTGTGCATGTGTGTGTGTGTGTGTGTGTGTGTGTGTGTGTGTGTGTGTGTGTGTGTGTGTGTGTGTGTGTGTGCACGCACCTGTAGATCTCTGTACGTATCAAACTGTTCCAACAAGTCATGTACGTCTTTCCTCTTCCCATGCTGGCCTCCCATCACTCCCTCGCTATCCTCCTCTTCCTCCTCCTCCTCCTCCTCCTCCTCCACCTCCTCCTCCTCCACCTCCTCCCCGCCATCCTCTACAGTATCACCACTGCCACTGTTGGTGCGCATACCAACAGCACTGTGGCTGCTGTCACTGCTGCTTGAGTGGGGATCAGCAGCAGAGGGTGAACCTAAGGGAGTGCTTAAAGAATCTGTCTTATCTATCCCTTTATTACGAGTCAGTACCCATGTCTTTCCTTTCGCAACTACTTCCACATTTGGATCAATCTCCTCTTGCCCCTTCTGTCCATCCCCACTCATTCCCATCTCCATTCCTTCAGCCTTGCCATCAAGGCCTGTGGTATCTGCACCAGCAGCATCAACAGCAGCAGCACCACCACCAGCACTGCCCTTTTCCTCCCTCGCATCTCCTGCTTTCTTCCCTTCTTCCCGTCTCGCTCCCCGCTCTCCCCCCTCTCCCCGCTCTCCCCGCTCTCCCCGCTCTCCCCCCTCTCCCCCCTCTCCCGCCTTACCCTTTCTGTCTCCCTCCCCTTCCCCCTCCACCTCTCCCAACCAGTCGTTCCCTTCCCCAGTTGCACCTCCCCCGTCCCCCTCCCCACCCTCCCCAGTACCCCCCTCGTGAACCCGGCAACTGCTGGCCTGGGGAGGCGCACAGAAGCTGTTGAGGTAGGAGCAGTGCTCTGAAGGGAAAGAGATCTCAGGAGTTAATGGAAGGAGATGACCCTCCGTTGTCAAGACATACCTACAGAGTGGTGGGTTGGGATGGGTATAAGGGATGGGAACAGGGAATCAGGATGGGTGGGGAAGGGTATGGGGAAAGGGTGAGTGCGAGCCTGGCTTGGGGCGGGCCACAGAAGCTGTTGAGGTAGGAGCAGCGCTCTGAGGGGAAGGAGATCTTGGGAGTCAGTGGGATGAGATGACCCTCCGTTGTTAACACGTACCTGAAGTGGGGACGGGAAAGAGAGGGTTGGGAATAGGTGCAGAGGGGTGAACATGGGTATCAGAAAATGGAGAAATATAGGTTTGGCCTGGGCCGGGGCACAGCTTTTGAGGTAGGAGCAGTGCTCTGAGAAGAAGGAAAGCTCGTGAGTCAGAGGGAGGCGATGGGCCTCTCATTGTGCATGAGTTTATGGGACGCCTCAAGGCTCACTCTTGAGAATTCTCAAAAGTACAATTCACGTCAGAGGGAGGAGATGGGCCCCTCATTGGGCACGAGTTTATGGGACGCATCAAGGCTCACTGACTCACTGGTATGGTCCGTTGTCCATGATGCTGTCTTCTCCCAAGGCCAAGTCGAAGAGCAGATAAATGACAGAGGTATTTGAGCAAGGCAAGGGAGAGTGAACATCGGAGGGGCAAGGAGTGAGAATGGGAGGTGTGAGGATGAGTTGGGAGGCGTGAGACTCACTGGTATGGGCCATTGTCCATGATGTTGTCTCCTCCCAAGGCCAAGTCAAATAGCAGATAGAGGTATTTCACCTGAAAAGGAGAAAGAGGTAAAACAGCATGAGAAGGGGTGGTGAGAAGCTGAAAAGAGACAGGCGACAAGGCAAAGAGGAGCTAGAGGGACTTCACCTGAGCAAGGAGCCTCCTGTGCACTAATTTTCACCCCAGCCATGCATGCACATCAGGGTTTCGGGTTTAGGTTTTCAGGTAGCAGACTTACTGTTTCGGAGAGACAGAAGCTCTCCATATGGTCGTCCAGTGACACGTGTGTTAACATGACAGGGTTCGAGTTCGAGGTTTATGGCTTGAGTTTAGGGTTGCATGTTTGGGCTTACGGTAGCAGACTCACAGTTTCCGAGAGGAAGAAGCTCTCCATATGGTCGTCCAGGGCATGCGTCTCGACGTCGCTGACGTGGCAGTAGCCACATCGGCAGCGCGTCAGCGCCAAGCTGGCAACCATGTCCCTCCCAACGGCCAGGTAGCTGCAAAATAGCAGTGGGGGCAAGAAAAAAGTGGCAGGAGGGAAAGCGTTTTTACGGGAAAATTTATGTAACTGCCATTTTTTTGCATAAGAAAATATTTACTACATGCTAGGGGGACAATAACCACCAATACACAGATAGCTACATTTGTTTTTCCTTTAATACATATATGCTCAAAATTATCACGAAAAGAAGCAGCATTGATAGGCAAAAAGTAGAAGCGCCATTTTGTGTTTGCAGCGAAGGGTGCAAGATCTCCAGCAGCAGCTTAGGGTGAGAGAGCTTGCAGGGGTCAAATAAATCGTGGCACCAATAAGAGACTGGCAGGAAGGAGTGAGACACAGACGAGTCCCCATCGTGCGAGGGTTGCAGCAACCAGATCGATGTGCAAGTAGAGCTTGTTAATGGTGTGGCACAAATAAGTGATAACACGGGCGATCTACACAAATGAGCCACAAATTAAAAGCCATAAGGAAAGAAGCATGCAGCGGATGAAATTGTTGGTGTGGTCCTTCTTGATGCACGAGGAGATTGCGTTCAACAGAATAACAGGGAAGCAATGCTGATCTGGTGGAAAAAGCATAAAAATGGGGACATGACATGGAGTTAAGAGGAAATTGAGATACTCTCTCCATTTTTCTGCCGCAAACATGGGTGCATGTTCAAATTGCAAAGGCGCTAGGGATTGCGACAGGAAAAACGGATTATTAAGAGCTGCCAACTCCAGCGCCTTTGCAGTTTGGCACACCCACACTTCCAACCGGAGATTGGTGTAAATGACCCGGTTTTCTCATAATTCCATGTCCCCATTCTTAAATTAGACCCTTTCCACCAGACCATTATCGCTTTTCTGTTTTTCCGTAAGAACTCAATCTCCTCATGCACAAAAAAGGGCCACACCAACAATTCCATCTGCTGCATGTGTCTTTCCTTAGAACAAATATTTCGTGGCTCCTCTGTGTAGATCACACGTGTTATGGCGTTCTAATAACGCCCTCAGCTGCCAGTCTCTTCTTGGTGCCACACTTCGAGTTTGATTTCTAGAAAGCAAACACAACACATCAGGCTGGCAGCCAAGTCCCTGAAACAGCCAGATAGCTGCAGAAAAAGAAGCAAGCATGCGTCAGACGTGTTGCGACATCTCAAAAAGAGCTTGGCTGGCAACCATGTGTCGAGCACACGCCTATCAACACACTCACTAAGGGTTTCTTGTAGCCAGTTCTGGCCTTAACGGGCACAATTTCTGCCCCAGCTGCACGGCTGATCGCGCCAACCCAACACAGACACGTGCATAGTACCACATCCATGTAAAGCCAGGCACTCACAAGGGGTCGCGCGTGGCCTTATACAGCCAGTAAGTGCTCTCAGCCAGCTCTGGCCTTAACGGATACGATGTCTGCCCCGGCTGCACAGCTGATTGAGCCAGGTTGAATCCCTCCGGGGTGAATCCGAAGCGCCGCCACACCGAGAAGAAGGCGCGGTGGGAGCGGGCTGCTCGATCAACGTCACCAATCATGACCTGGCGTTGGTGAATCAGGGAAGACGAAGGAAGAGAGGGTACGAGGTTTGCCCTGGCTGCACGGCTGATTGTGCCAGGTTGAATCCCTCCGGGGTGAATCCATAGCGCCGCCACACCGAGAAGAAGGCGCGGTGGGAGCGAGCAGCACAGCCAATATCACCAATCATGACCTGTTAAGAGGAGTGGGGAGCGAAAAAGAAACAAGCAAGAGTGAAGAGCAATGCTGACCCAGCCAGGTTGAATCCCTCAGGAGTGAACCCGTAGCGCGCTGCCACACTGAGAAGGTGCGGTGGGAGCGGGTTGCTCGGTCGATATCGCTGACCATGACCTGTTGAAAGGGGTGAAAGATGAAACAAGAGTAATGTGCATTGCAGGCTGTGACAGGTTGCACTTGGATCCAAGTCTGGGGTCACCTGGGGTGGGGTGACCCCGCTCCAACGGTAGCAATTCGTCTCCCGAACCTTCATTTTGAATCCTTGCCCCTTCTGGTACCCTCAGGGCCACAGTCCCATCCCACCAGTCCCTCCCCCCCTCCACCTCCCCCGCCCCCCACAAGTACCTGCAGCCCTGGCCAGAAGGCCTGGAGGGAGTTGAAGAGCGGCCAGACGACGACTGCCACGTCCATGTTGACCTCCACGTACCTGGGAGGTGGAGGGGGAGAGAGGTGGATGGGAATAGAGTGTGAGCCGCGAGAGGTAAGAGAGGAATGGTTGCACACCAAGAGAGGCCGGACAAGGACTGCCACGTCCATGTTGACCTCTAAGTACTTGGGAGGTGAAGCTGTGACACAAGCACAGCTTGTATCTTGGTCACGAGATCGCTTGCGCCTCTCACACTCTGCCGCTACTGTCTCCTTCTCTGTCTTCTCTCCACACCTCACACTTTTAACCAGATCCTGCTGCCTCGTGCTTTGTGGAGGTGCTGACCCTTCCTCAAGACTCTTGAATCCTTCAACAAAATCACTCAACGTTTCTTTCTCTACAGACACGATCTCGACTTCTGCCGAGTTTCTATGGAGAAAGAAACGTTGACTGGTTCTGTTGAAGATTTTAGGGGTCTTGAGGAAGGGTCAGCACCACCACAAAGCACGAGACAACATGATCTTAATGGAGGTGTGATGCATGGAGAGAAGACAATAAGGGGCCCCAGAGACCCCTCCCTTGGCCCAAAGACCCCTCCCTTCGGCCCAAAGACCCCTCCCCTTCAACCCAGAGACCCCTCCCTTGGCCCAGAGACCCCTCCCTTGGCCCAGAGACCCCTCCCTTGGCCCCGAGACCCCTCCCTTGGCCCCGAGACCCCCTCCCTTGGCCACAAGACTCCTCCCACGCACCATGGGTCATGGAATATGTGTGCCATGACGGCATCATACGCTGCCTGGAAGATGTGCAGATACTCATAATCACCGAATAGAATGTGCGCCTTGTGGGAGGTGAAGGAATGGGTGGAAGCAGCAGTTAGAAAACAACGTGCAGTTGGGAAGACAGCACGATCTGATGCAGAGAGCTGATTGACGAAACCATACTTCTAGAAACCAATAACTGATTGACCTATGCAACATGGCCACAAACACACAAGCGCACTTGGATACGACCTAGTTGGGTACATCTGTTGTTACGCACTCAACTCCACACAAAGAGGCTTCGTGTTCCTCGGTATGTGCTTCACCAAACCCTGATATTTGCCTCGGCGTCACCATACCTTTATTAGATACTCGTAAAATGAATCAATGCTGGTGCCGACCCCTGCATCCTGTCAAAACACAGATCGAGTACACATGTCATGAAGAGATGTTATGGATGACGTATACATGCCTGTGTAGGTTTATGGATAGAGATCATTTATATCAATAACATGCACCCCATAAAGATGACTTTTTATATTGTATTGGCCGAGTTATACATCATTTCATCCGCGCACTTCCATATTCCTTCCTTCTGCTCCGAAGGGTTAACTCTTTTAGTTGCAGTCCCATCTGCTTAACCTCCACGTCAAATTGATCAAACGCTTCACACGACGACAATGGAAATGAAATGCGCTGAAAACTTTTACGAGTGCATTTTGCTATCCACATAAACATGTGTTTTTCTGTCCAACATGGAAAACCTGTGCGGTTATATTGCACCTACCTTGTGCGTCCATTCCCCCGTGAAGATGTCTATGTGCGCCCCTAGCAGCCCACCCAAGGGACGGCACGGCCTCAGTTAGTCACCAGCACTCCCTCAGCTGCTAATTAGAGCAATCACAGAGGAAAACCCACCTTGTGCGTCCATTCCCCAGTGAAGATGTCTATGTGCGCCCCTAGCAGCCCGAGGGATGATCTTCGAGCCCACAGAGCCCTCACTGCATTGCGAGCCACGTCCTCAAACACTGCAATTCAAGCAAGGTTGAAGGAACCAAGGCAGATGAGGAGGAGGAGAGTCAAAGAGACGACCGCTGCGCCCACAACTCCTGTAAACAATGGATGGAAACAGGGTACGTGAGGGGATGGATTTTTTCTGTCACCTGAGTGAGGAAACTGAGCATTCCAACTTTGCACTCACCCCCTTCCTTCCGCAGGGTACTTTGAGTGCACTCAGTTGCCTCACTCTGTGGCGAAAAGTGTGACCCTGGCGATTGTGACAGGTTCGTTGCAAGCATGCACCCGTACCGTGCATGCAATGAAGCACATGCGAGCTCAATCATAAGTGAGTGAGAGGCCAGCTATCACTTGCCTGGATCGCCTGTGAGGCGACTGAGTACACCGAACTCGAGCGCAAGCGTGCCACCACCTGCTGTTGCTGTCACCTGCGTGGCATGGCATGGCATGGCATGGGATGGCATGTGAGTGCAAGTGTGCCACCACCAGCTGTTGCTGTCACCTGCTTATGATGTAACATGGCGACATGGTGGCAGATAATGTGATGTGACGTGCCTTGCCAATAAACGGCACGAACGCATGGCACACAACACGACGTGGCATGAATCGACCCAGCGTACATGATCAGTTTTGAGTCAGGATAGCACACAATACATGATACATGGATGGATAGAGCAGCACCCACCTTGCTCTCCCCTCGCAGCACTCCATGGCGCAGGTTCACAGAGCCAAAAGGGATGCCTGGATGGAATCAAAGGCAGCGCGAGAGGAGCAAAGGAATGGGATGTTAAACAGATTCCTGAGTTCCTGGGCAGGAGCGCTGCAAATCGAGAGCAAGCAGGAACCATCAGTCTTCCTTTGGCCTGACACTGGATTAGCATCATGACCGTAAGTGGGCATGGGGAGAGTCTCATGACAATCAGCAGGCAATGAAAAGCAGGAGGTAATGAAACGCAGGAGGTAATGAAACGCAGGAGGTAATGAAACGCAGGAGGTATAAACAATCTGATAGCAAGCTAGGTTGGATAATGGAGTTGCGTCTATAGCAACATTGGCAGCCTGTAGAAACCGATGCTTGAGACTTCTCCTTCTAAACAACTGCATGCGTGCACAATGATTGTTTGCAACTAGGTCCATAAAGCCATCTGAGCTAACGAATAGGTAGGCGTGTCTAGTACGTCTTAACAACCCTCTGAGCTAACGAACCTGTAGGTGTGTCGAAAGCTGGCAGCAGTCGCCTGCCAAGGTCCTCTGCTAGCCGCAGCAGCTCGCTGTCGTATCCAGGCACCTGCATGCCCTGTGGGAGAAAGGGGGGAGCAAGAGGACACGGTCAGCGAGAGACGGGAGGGGAAGGAGCAAAAAGAGACGGTAAGGTTGTCTTAGCAAGATATTTTCTCATAGTGCGGGCAGCAGTGCCAGTCACCTGCCAAGGCCCAAGGTCCTCTGCTAGCCTTAGCAGCTCATTATCGTCTCCAGGCACTTGCATGCCCTGTCGGGGCGCAGCGGGAGGGGAGAGGGGGGAGCAGAAGGGAGAGAAAGAGGGCCAGGGAGAGAATATGAATGCAAGGAGGAGGAGGAGAAGAGCGGCACTTGAGAACCAGTTCACACGTAGTTACCAGTGCACACGTGGTTATTCACCAATGCACACATGGTTCACACAGTGAACGTGTAAGCACCAACTTACCAATGCGCATGTGGTTAACAATGCAAATGTGCTCACCAAAGCAGGGTTGGTGCAATGAGGTGTGCTGACAGCGGCCCTTCCCCTGACTCGAATGTTGGTCTTGAGACATCTCAAAACGTGAGTACCAATGCACACATGTTCACCAGTGCAGGTGCGGTTACCAGAGCAGGGTCGGATGCAATGAGGTGTGCTGACAGCAGCCCTCCCATGACTCGAATGTTGGTCTCAAACAGAGACACTGTCTTGTTCTGAGGAGTGTAACACGGGCGGATACGGAGGCATGGAAGGGCAGGCAGGGCGCATGCATGTACTGTGAGTCATTACTGAGCCATCTTAACTCAATGCACGTGGCAAGGCTCACAGCAGCCCTCCCATGACCCGAATGTTGGTCTCAAACAGAGGCACGGTCTTGTTTTGAGACGGAAACAGTTGGAGGGGAGAAGGGGAGTAAAACAAAAGATGGGCCAATGGCAGGAAAGTTGTCCAATTAAGGCACGTCAGCACTCTGAACAAGGAGAAAAATAGCAGCTCTCTCCTGCATCATTCCATGTTAGCGGCTTGCATTGCATCCTGTCAACACCAAATCAGCAATCATTCCTTAACCATTTGTTGAGCGTTGTCAATGATTCACCGTACGTATTAATTGCAATCACCTTGTCGAAGTTGAGGTGTGCAGAGAGCCATCTGACAGCCGTGGCGAATTCAGTCTTGTTGCCAAGCAACGCCAGGCTATCCAGAGAGTCAATCTGTTGTAACAATTCGCACATATCACACAGCGAAATGCATAGCAAACACGCACACATATCGCCATTGATCCTTTCATAGCAGAAAGAGTGGGAGTGGCAAGAGCAGCAGGAGCAGCATGAGAAGCAAGAAAGACAAGGAGGAGTGCCTCACAGCATCGTTATCCGAGGTATTTAAACCAGCACGAGAGGAATTCTGACCGTCGTCAGAAGGACTCTAACCGGCTTTAGGATCTCTGTAGCCACCCACCCTGTGAAAAAAAAAAAAAATTGCCTGACAACAATGAACAAAAAAAATTGCCTGACAACAGCATCATGAGGGTGAGTGAATAACCAGTGCGAGGGTGTAGCAACCCGGTGAAACCTGTCCATTCGAGTTAAATCAAAAGGAGGGGTACGGTGTTGCATAGGAGCATCAATATGAGAGTGACTGACCAGCGTGAGGGTGTAGCCACCCAGTGAATCCTCTCCTTAGCACGACCGAGGGCGAAGCTCATCCAGAGGGAACGCATGACGCATGTACCCGTTATAGCCATGATAGAACATGGCCCGGACCTGCCACATGACCCGAAAACGAATTCAAAAAGGTGTTTAGCAGCAACATGTAAATATCGGCCGAGAATGCCCGAATTCAGACAGCGTTGCATCGGCGAGTGGCTAATAATGGCCAAAGTTCTTCTAGAGATCTGTAAAAAATGCAGAATTTAGCACATATGGCCTCTAATTATTGCACTGATGATACGTAATTGTCAAATAATGCCACGAACAGCGCAACGGACTGCTGACGAGAGGCTCATCTCACCTCCTCGCGAAGCTCTCTGGCCTCATCAGGCGACACGAAGTGTACACTGCTGCTGCTGCTGTCGGCGTACACAGCGCTCCTGCGAACCGCGCTGGCAGCGTGACACGCCGCGGCAGCGAAGACGAGCAGCGCTAAGGCGTGCGCGACGCGCATGGCTGAGGATGATGAGGAGAATCAGCAACAGACCTCGACCCTGAATTGGGTGCGTGTTGAGGAGCTCGGGATATGAATGGGTGCAGTGAAGTTTCTATAATTAGAGATTTCTTCTTCTCATTCCTTAGTTTCAATTGCCTTTTGGGCTTTTGCTCTGTCAAAAATGGAGGCACTCCCTCACAATGTATTTCATTATCAAAAAGGAAGCGTGCGGCTTGCCAAATGATGATTCTCGTAAAAATATTAAAACAAAATGCCACAACCATCCCATCATTGCACTATCATTAAGATTTCCAGGTTTTAGATTGCTATATCTATATAAAAAACTATTTCATAACACAGAATATATAAATACTTAATCTAGATGCGTATATGCCGTATTGAACGACATATGAATTATACTTCCATACAAGATAGGCTTTTATATATGAAACTGCAACTTGTGCTAAATCGAGAGCTTCATTCACGCAACAATTCTGTGCTCATCTGATCACCACTCACCATAACCATCTTCGCTTGTGCTGCTTGTCTAGACCAGAACCACACCCTCAGAGAGCAACGACCTGCTTGCCAGCATCCCGAGCTCACTTTCGCTTCCTTCCATGTTACGAGAGAGCATAATCGCTGTCAATGGGGAGCTTCGCCTCGTGGAGATTGTATGTGTTTTTAGTAAACAAGAAAAGGCACTGGGACTTACAAAAACAAAGTTTTACTGCCTATGCATTTTGCATCGGCAGGAAATCAAGAAGGGCCAGTCTGAGCTGGAGGTCTTGCGTTCAGCCTTAGCTTCCGCCGAGTACAGGAGAGAAGCAGCGGAACAGCGTGAGCTGATGTTGCAGAATGGTGAGCGCGACTGGGTTGTTTCTAATTGACTGCTTTCCTTCATTGATTTTCTTGACATCTTTTTCTTCGGCAGAAGTGGATAGGTTGCGTTCTCTTCGACAAGCTGAACTTGAGATTATTCAGCAACAGGTTAGTTGTTGCCTTACAGGTCCATAGCCTTCCCGCTGCGACTTCAATCACAATGTCTTTAATGCGTCCAGTTCCACTTTCGCAAACTGTATGAAGAAGCAGAGGATCGGCTAAGAAACCAGAAGAAGGAATACGACCTGAAGATGGAGGTGCGCATTGCTCTTTGTAACATCTTTCTTGTTGTTGAAAACGTCTTATCTCCGGAGTCTATGTTCAGGAGTTGAAAGGTGTGCTTAGCACTGTCGATGACAGGGCAGCGCAAGCCAAAATTGAGGCTGAAAATCGAGTACGGTAAGGAAGAGTTTGTTGCACGTTTCTACTTTCGGCATAAGTGTTTACACGTCATCTTTCAGGAGCCTGGAAAAGGAGCTTTCCGAGGCATGGGCGATGGTGGTAACTCTTGAGGACAGGTTGGAGCAGCAAAACAGTGAAAGCGAGCATGAAAAGAGACAAATGAAGGAGTCTGCATTTTCACAAAGGGTGAAGTGTAAGTTCACTTTGGGTGGCATTGTTGACTGTTCAGACGCAACCTGCTGATCACGGTTCGTTGCAGATGAGAGTGAGCTGGCGACTCTGAGAAACCAGCTTCATGACGAAGAGGCCCGACGGAAGTCTTTGGAGAAGTCCCTTTCAATGGCTGAATACAAATGTAAGTCACCTTGGTCGTTTTCTTCTCTCTGATGGCATGTGGGATTCATGAGACCTTGGTCGTTTTCTTCTCTCTGATGGCGCAACTCTGTGCAGGCTCTCTTGCTGAGAATCAGCTGCAAGAACAGATGAAAGAGTTCAGGCAAAAGATGGAGGAACAGCTTCGTGAAGCAGTGCCTAACAGGCATGCTGATGCCATTAAGCAGAGAATGATGAAGATGCGGAAGGAGAATGATGAGCTTCGTCGACAGCTTCAAGCTTACCTAGGCAGATGATACAATGACATGACAAGGATGGGTGCTGTGGATTGAGAATTCACACCAACCTTAGGTGCTTAATGACACACTGACATTTTTCATCACCTTGATTAAGCAACTCCGGCTGGAAAGGAAGGAACCAGTGCAGGTTTCACTTGCCATTCTTCACTTGCCACATCCTCTCATGGCGTTTCCAAATTAGTTTATAACACTCAAGAGTTTTTAAGCGCATTTCTTTACTGTATCAAGCCTGCATCGCGTTCGCACTTTGGATTAGCTGCCAGCGGGGTCCGTTGCCTGCATTGCCGGGGGGTACAACACGATTTTGTGGGTTCTTAGACGGTTGGAGCAACTTCTGAGAAACGTGGCTTCCAGTCACGGAAATTCGTGTTCGTGTACCTCACACCGCCTAGGAGCTTCCAATTTCATCATAGCTGCCATGGCTATCGTAGTGCCTTCAGCAGAGACAGCCAAATGGCAGCTGCTCTCTTCACTGGGCGGTCATTGCATTTGCCTCCGCAAGGCGTGCTCTCGCCGCTCGATTTCATCCAACATTCTCATCCGTTTTACACCAGAACGTGCCCGTTTCCACCCAATCCGCAGTCGTGTCGCGAAGGTCGCGGTGGCTGCGCAATCGTCGCGTCAGGCGCCGAGTCTGCCCCATAATGTACCTTCGTACGTTAATGGTTCCAACTCGCTTTACTTCAACATTCTCTCGCCACAGAATGCACTCATTGCCTTCCCATCGTCAGCATCCGTCGATTCTCGCGAAACCACAAGTTCGCCTCTGGGCGAGCCCGTCGCCAACCTCGTGCGACGAATCACGAATGTCGCTGCTACCTTCCTCTTAACAGCGGCTTCAGTCGTCACGCTCCTTTCCTTTCCCTTGGACGCTTCCGCAGCAGCAGAAGCGCCAGCTGATCTTGCAGCAGTACCATCATCCGCTCTTGTCGTGTCACTTTCCCCAGGAGATACGACTCGGGACATCCAGCAAACCCTAGCCCTGGCATACTCAGGACCAGTCGCTCAAATCGCGGATACGGCAGCTGTCGGTGGAACTGCACCAGATAGCGCTTTTCCTGTTAGCCAATCAGCAGCTGACAGCATGGCAGCAGCAAGCCCCGTGATTGACGGAGCGCAGCTCTTGAGCGGCGGTAAACGGGAGGCTTTGATTCGTCAGTTGGAGAATCTGGAGAGAGACTACGGATGGCGTATGCGTGTGCTGACTCGATATGCGCCTGAGCAGTTCGAAACAGAGGCCCTACGTGCAGTGTGGCAGGTAAGGGAAGCGGGGCGAGAAGCCCGGAGATTGAAGGTATGGGTAGTGTGCGGTGCTGGTTGGTTATGTGCCTGAGCAGAGTAAATTGAAACAGAGGGCCTACGTGCAGTGTGGCATGTATAAAGGCGAAGTGGAAAAGCTGCATTTGGGCCATGTTTCCCATGCGAGTATGCATCTTCTATGTTCCCTCTCTTTCTCTCTTGGCACCTGTGTGTTATGGCTCCTCTTATCCCTCTCAGCCTCACGACCCAACAGTAGTGGCGGTAGGGGTGCATTGCCCAATATCCCATGCACCTCTCATGCGTTTCCTCTCCTTTCTTTTCCTCTCGAGCCCCTACACAAATGGTGTGGCTCCTCTCATCCCTTTCAGCCCAACGACCGAACAGTATTGGTGGTGGGCGTGGATCATCGCCCAGTATTCCATGCACCTCTCATGAATTCTCATGCATCTCCACTCCTTTCTTTCCTCCCCAACACTGCAAAAATGATGTGTGTCATCGCATCCCTTTCGGCCCGATGGTAGTGGTGGTGGCGGACGTCACATCGCCCAACGTCTTGAACTCACCAACAATTCCCTCCGTTCTTACATTGTGTTTCTCTCATATGTTCGTTGCTGGCTTCTCAGCCTGACGACCGAACGGTAGTGGTGGTGGCGGACGTCACATCACCCAACATCCTCAACTTCTTTGCAGGAGACACTGTCAGGGAGAAGCTTCCACGGCAGTTCTTCATCGAGCTACAATCCCGGTAAACCTCTCTAGTCGCCCACCCATGTCATAGGTCTCTACTTCCGCCCAACAGCCCATCACCCCATTCCCCCCACCCTCCCCCCTTCCTTTCCTCATCCGCCTCCTCCGTCTGTTCTTATCCCACCCTCCCGCTTGCTTTGTCTTGAAAACGAAACAAAAAAAAAACCTCGCACATGCGGCATCCGTCTCCCCTCTCTCTGCTCCCCTCTCCCCTCCCCCCTCTCCCCTCTCCTTTCCCCACTCTTCCATCCCCAACCCCAGCTTTGGCAACCAGTTCTATGTGACAGAGCAGGGAGACACAAGAGCCGTTCAAGATGAGGTTCCCACACTTCTTACCCCGCTATCTTCCCCCTGTGCTTCATTCCCCCGGCCCATTCCCCTCTCTCCTGGCTGCAGCTTTGGCAACCAGTTTTACGTGGCAGAGCAGGGAGACACAAAAGCCGTCCAAGATGCCGTTGCCACACTTCAAACCTGTCTCTTAAAGCCCGCCGGCTGCAGCAACGTGCCCGGCCTGGTAGACGACCTTTACTTCATCACTCTCTCCACCGCAATCCTTGGCGGAATAGTTTTCGGCTTTGCCGCCCGCTTGGAACCTTCTGGGAAGGTGGAGGCCTCTTGGCAGTGGGTGCTACTTTTCTCCCCGCTGTGGCTGCTGCTGTTTGTTGCCTTTTCTCTGCTGCCCATTACTGCTCGGACGGACGACCTGGAGCCGTTGCTGAAAAATGGGGCTGGTTTTTTTGCCGGGGCAGCTGCAATTTATTTGACTCCGATTTTCGGGCAGTCTCCTGTGGCAAATTGGGGCAAGGGGAAGGAGGATGGGACTCGGAGTGGCACCCAGAGCGGTAGGGATAGTGACTCGGACGGGTTCTAGCTATACTTGGGTAATCTACAGTATTTATATTTGAAGGAGGCACCAATCATATGTGGTCTTACATGTACTACTGCTAAAGCACAACGGTACTTGCACTTAACTCATGAAGGACTGTTTAGGTTTCGACGTCTTGGCCTTCTTTTTACAACCGACTCTGCTACAGTCCGACGCCGTCAATAACGAGTAATTCTAGAAGTCCCCGACCCGACCCTCGTGCGAACAGTCACCATACTCCACCCACACAGACCGACAATTTATGATGTGTTTCAGGACTGAGGGGTAGCAGGTATCATCAGCTGCTCTTGCACTGAACGTCGCGTGGATGACAATGTACATAGTCGCGACGGGATCAATACAAGCCGTCGCTCTCCGTCCCGTGCATATATATTCTAAAAGCGTCTGGTAGACATCATCTGTGCTTCCGGCTAGCGTGAGAATTGACTCGGTCACTCACGTCGCTACCTTGGGACTCCCGATACCGCATTTTAGAGACAAGCCAAGCGCGACGCCAACTGGACGTTTCCCTGCCTTGGGATTCGCGATACCACATTTCTCTGAAAGGGCCAAGCGAAAGGCCAAGCCGGCATTTTCCCAACCTTGGGATTACCGGCAGTACTGCATTTCACTGAGGCCAAGTGACAAGCCAAGCGGGAAGACAAGATCACCCTCCCAACATTCCCCTACCTTGGGATTTCCGACACTACATCTCGCTGATAAGTAGAGCGGCTTAACACGGCATTCAGGGCGACGAGGCGACATGCCGTACTGCATTGTTCCTAACCACCATCGCCACAGTAACGTCGAAAGTTCCGCGGAAAGCGGCGGATCAGGCGCCGCGGAGAGCTGCGGGAATGGCGGCGGAAATGGCGGGGATGGCGGGAAAGTGAGGCTTTTTTACGAGACGTACGGCCATGGAGACATTAAAGTGCTTATGATAATGGGTGCGTGTATCAAAGTGCTTTCAGTGCGCGTATCGTACTGAAAGTGTTCTCCGCGACTCAAAGTGTTCTCAAGATATACTGAAGTGTTTGATAGAATGTTCTGTCACTTCTCCTGTAACTTCTCCGCTTCGATCACTTCCCCCCTCTTCCTCCCTCTCCCCCTCCCCCTCCCTTTCAGGCCTCGCCTCTGGCCACGCTGATAGGCGATTTCCCTTCCCAGCTGAAGGCTCTACTAGCAGGTCTGGCGGGTGTAGCAGGCTCGGAGATTTCCAATGGTGGGAGAAAAACGAGGCGTCTACTTGCTGCCATGGGTATTCCCAGCATGAAATGAAGGCGTTGATCGTCAACTTGATAGTATCAATCTGATCTCTCGCTTCTCCTTCCCCTCTCCCCCCCCTTATCCCTTTTTCCCCTCCCTCCCAGGCCTCGCCGCTGGGCACGCAGCCTGGCGGCACCAGGTGAAGGCTCTGACGGGCACGGGTATTCCCAATGGTGGGGGGCAGCACCGGGAGTCGATTTTTGAGTCGAGTGAAGAAAAGGCTCTGTCTGGCACGGATATTCCCAATGGTGGGGGCCGGCAGGATGGGGCGGACGGAGGGGCGCAAGAAAGAGGGGAGAAGGGAGAGAAGGGGATTGATGAGGAGGAGAGAGGTGACGAGGAGTTTGGTAGGGGGGAGGGTTGTTGTAATGGGAGCAGGGATGGGAAGGGAGGGAGGCGGATGGAAGGGGAAGGAAGCGAGATGGGAATGGGCGAAGGGTGTGAGGGAGAGAGGGAGACGAGGGAAAGGCGAGGAGGGGAGGAGGGAGGAGAGGGGGAGAAGGGGGAGGCGAGAGGAGATGAGGAGAGGGGAGAGGAGAGAAGGGAGGGAAGGGGAGAAGAGGAGAGGGGGGAGGATGAGAGGGGGGAGGAGAAGAGGGAAGAGGAGGAGGGGGCAGAGGGGAAGAGGGGAGAGGATGAGTGTGGAGAGGAGGAGAAGGACAGCAGATGGAGGAGTGGGAGGGAGGTGTGCATCTTTGACAACCGGGGAGTGGGTCACAGCTCGTGCCCCACAGAACCCAGCGAATACACGTGAGTGCTCTCTGTGCTGTGATTGCTCTTTGCACACGTGAGTGCTCCCTCGGATGGAGGGTGGGTGGGAGGGAGGTGTGCGTGTTTGACAACCGGGGAGTGGGCCACAGCTCGTGCCTCACCGGCCCGAGCGAATACACGTGAGTAGCACTCTCTGTAGTAGCAGCTCGCTCGCTAGCTACAAGGATGTGCACCGGGAGGGAGGCAGGGAGGTGTGCGTGTTTGACAACCGGGGAGTGGGCCACAGCTCGTGCCCCACCGATCCCAGCAGGTACCGCCGCTCCCTCTGAGAGAGCTGGTACTATTTGAGACGTCTCAAAAATCCCAGCAGGTACCGCCACTCCCTCTGAGAGAGCTGGTACTATTTGCGAGGAGGTGGATCCCCTCTTTCTCCACTCCCCCCGCACTCTCTCCCCCCTCACCCCCTTTCCTTTTGCAGAGCACGGAGGCGATCACAGTGGTGCATTGCTCCTGGCGGATCAATTCAGCTGGAATTTTGAGTCAGCTATCCAACTCCACCCCCCCCCCTCCCCCCACTCCTCCCCTGCCCTGCTCACCCCTGCATAAACACCACCTACCCCCGCACATACACCCCTGTAAACCCCAACCAGCACGGAGGTGATGGCAGCAGATGCTTTGTTCCTGGCGGATCGGATCATGCATGATGCATAGATGTATGTATGCATGTATGTATGTATGCATATATGTATGTATGCATGTATGTATTTGTACATGTATGTAGGTATAATGTATGTACTACCCCTCCCACCCCCCCCTGCCCACCAACCAGCACGGAGGTGATGGCAGCAGATGCACTGTTCCTGGCAGATCATCTCGGCTGGACACGTGTAATTCTTGTAACATTCTGTTCTGTCTCTTCCATCTTTCGCCCTCTCCCCCCCATTCGCATCCCACCCACTGGCAGCACGGAGGTGATGGCAGCAGATGCACTGTTCCTGGCGGATCATCTCGGCTGGACCAGGTTCCACTTGGTTGGCCACTCCATGGGTCAGTTTCGTCTCCCTGGTTCGGTTTCATCTCCATGGGTCAGTTCATTTCCGTGGGTCGGTTTCATCTTCATGAGTCAGTTACATGTCCATGTGCCGGTTTCATCTCCTTGGGTCCGTTTCATTTTCATGGGTCAGTTTCATCTCCATGGGCTGGCTGGTTTGATCTCCATGTGTCAATTTCACTTTATCTTCCTGTGTTGGTTTCATCTCCCCTTCACTCATAAGAATTTCACTGAGCAATCTACTTCCTTGGTTTCCGCTTCCCCTTTTGGCTTCTCTTCTTTCTCTCCCTCCATCCCTCCCTCTCTCTTCCCTCCCCTCCATCCTCCCCTGACCCATCACTCCAGGCGGCATGATAGCATGCAAGGTGGCAGCGACGGCATCACACAGAATCATTTCCCTTGCGCTCATCAGTGTCAGCGGAGGCGGCTTCGACCTCCTCCCCCGGGTAAGGCTCCTCACCACCACTCACCACTTTTGACCACTCATCCCCGTGTAGGCTTCACCACCCCTCCCTTTGTAGGCATCATCACTCCTCCCCGGTGTGTTTTGAGCCGACTCACAACACACGTGGCAGCAGCAGCATCACATCGGATCATCTCCCTTGCGCTCATCAGCGTCAGTGGAGGCGGCTTTGACCTGCTCCCCCGGGTATGGTTGCCCTCCTCCCCCAACCCACTCTAACGGTATGGGATACCCCCCTTTTCTTCCTCCCACGAGTGTAGTTGCATGGTGGCAGCAGTGGCATTCCACCGAATCATCTCCCTTGCGCGCATCAGCGCCAGTGGAAAGAAGATGATTCAAGGTATCCCTCTAATCGAATAATCTCCCTTGGCTTCGATCCGACCTCCTCCACTCTGTATGCCTCACCTGTCATGCCTCCCCTTCTCCCCCGCCCCCCTCCCCCTCCTTCCTCTCCGTCCCCACACACCCCACATCACCCCAGCTAGACTCTCGCGTGTCTTCCCCATTGTCAAGCGCATGACGAGTGCCCAATTTACCCTTCTTTCTATTTGAGGCACCTCGTCTCCTGAGTTCACTTTTGAGTCGACTCAAAAGTCATCTCGCGTGTCTTCCCCATTGTCAAGCGCATGATGAGTGCCCGATTACAGTTCCTTCTATTTGAGGCACCCCATCTCCTGATGTGTCTGTCTGTCTGCCATTCCCATACTTCCACTCTCCCCCTTTCCTTCCTTCCCCACCATCACACCAGCTGGACTCGCGTGTCCTACCCATCGCCTACCACCTGATCCATGCCCGAACATTGTTCTATCTCAGGCACCTCCCCAACACCATTCTTTTCCTCCCAACCCCCCTTCCTTCCTCCCCGCCATCACACCAGCTGGACTCGCGAGTTTTCTCCATCGCCTACCGCCTGCTGAACGCCCGAACCCCAGAGCGGTGCCGTGATGTTTCTGTCTGCCGCGCCCCCCTCTTTTCAACCCTCTTGTCACCACCACCCCACCCCAGCTGGACTCGCGAGTCTTCTCCATTGCCTACCGCCTGCTGAACGCTCGAACCCCGGAGCTGAGAGCTCAGGTGGACCTGGACACACACTTCTCGCAGGTGAGGTGACTCTGAGTGGACGCAGCTGGGTTAGGTTTGAGTTTTTTGAGTTCTCAGCTGAGAGCTCAGGTGGACCTGGACACGCATTTTTCCCAGGTGAGGTGACTATGAGTGGATGTAGAAGGTTCTCGAACAAACCCCTGTGCTCTCGATCTCTCGCTCTGAGGAAGCATAAAGACACTCCTAATCCGAAACCCTGGGCTTTGGAGTCAACGGCTCAGGTGGACCTGGACACACACTTTTCACAGGTGAGGTGACTTGAGAGTTGATGCAGTAGATGCACCAACCACACCGTGTATTCAGAAGCTCAGATCTCAGGTGGACCTGAATACACACTTCCCAAGTAAGGTGACTCAGAGGTGATGGAGCCCCCCTGCTGCTGCATCAGCTGATGGCTTACAGCCAGCAGAGTCCCAACCGTATGAATCCGTTTGATGGAAGTAAAGAAGCCCCCCCCCCCCCCTGCCTACTGTCGTCCTCTGCATCTGCTGCATCCCAGCCTGGAGGGTGACTTCTGAAGAGAAACAACTCAATTTTGGCATTCCCCTAGTATTTTGAGACGTCTTAGAAATCTTGGCACTCCCCAGTGGCTGGTCCTAGAAAGGATTTATCCTGGCTCCTCAAACATCGCTCTTTTCACCCTTGTTCTCTGCCTTCCTCCTGCCTCTTCCCTTCTGCCTGCCAGGAGTACATGGAGGAAACGGAGGCACACAGTGGCTTGTCTCGGAGGGAATCTCTGCACATGGTATGGTATGGTATGGTATGGTATGGCACTGTGGCGATCGTTGCATGTTTCTTGACTGTGCTTGTTTCTGAGCCATGGCGTGGCGTGTGCTGTGTGCTTGTTTGTTCCTTCAAGTGGGTAGTGGCCACTAAGAATCGCATCCATAGGATGCGGCATGCATATATCGCATTTGGCCTCCCTAGGGTGTGGTGCAGGTGCAGTATGCATACGCGCCCACTCCCTTCCCATCCCCCTATCCACATATTCTCATCCAACAGGAGTATGTGTGCGACCTGTGAGCGGCACCATCTGCCATGCAGGCACCCCACGGGGCGAATGGGCCCCTGAATGCGTGCTGGACTCACTCCCTCACTCCCTCACATGCCATGTGGGTTCTTCTCTTCCTGAGTCCCCACCGCCCTTCTCCTCCTCAGGAGTATTTGCCCGAGCTATCAGCACCATCGACCTTGCAGACTCCCCACGGTGCGAATGAGCACCTGAATGCATGTTGGACCCACTCTCTCACTGGCATGTTCCACCTTCCATGCCCCCACCCCAACCCACCATGTGTTTTTTTTCTCTGCCCATCCCCCCATCCCCATCCAACAGGAGTATGTGCGCGAGCTGTCGGCGCCGTCCGCCATGCAGACACCCCATGGGGCTAACGGGCACTTGAACGCCTGTTGGACTCACTCACTCACACCACACGATGTGGATGAGATCTGCAGCGCACACATCCCCACCGCCGTCCTTCATGGCAGGTGAGGGTTCTCCCTCTCCTCGGGTCCATTTTTTCGCTGTTCCCTCTCTTCCCTCTTCCTTCTCTTCTCTGCTGCTGGACGCAGTCCCTCACTCCACACGATGTGGACGAGATCTGCAGCGCACACATCCCCACCGCCGTCCTTCATGGCAGGTGAGGGTTCTCCCTCTCCTCTGGTCCATTTTTTCGCTGTTCCCTCTCTTCCCTCTTCCTTCTCTTCTCTGCTGCTGGACGCAGTCCCTCACTCCACACGATGTGGATGAGATCTGCAGCGCGCACATCCCAACCGCCGTTATTCATGGCAGGTGAGGGGGGCACCTTCGCTCCTCTTCCCTCTAGCCATTCTCTCCCCTCTTCCGTTTCTCCTCCTCTTCCTGAATGCACTCCTCACTCGCCACGATGTGGACGAGATCTGCAGCGCTCACATCCCCACCACTATTATCCATGGCAGGTTCTTCCTGTCTTCCATCTCTTCCCTTCTCTCTTCTTTCTCTCCGTCTTCTCTTCCCTTCCTTCTCTTGCTTCCCTCTTCCCTCTCCTTTCCTGTCTTCCATCTCTTCCCTCTTCCTTCTCTCCCTTCTTCCTTCTCTCCGTTCGTTCTTCACTCTCCTTTTCCCTCTTTCCCTCTTCCTTCTCTCCCCTCGCCATTTCTCCCCTCTTGCTTCTTTCCCCTCTTCCCTTCTCTTCCTTCTCTTGTTCACTCCCACGCATGGCTATCTGTGGTTGCGCTTGGTGACCTTACCGCACATGCCTCTGTCAGAATGGATTCATTAGTAATGAGCTTGAGGCTTTTTAAGTACATCCAAGATGGGCAAACAATGGATGGGGAGGGGAATTGGGGGCAATCTCTAGGGATTGGGGGTAATCCCAAGAAAATCTCCAATCGGTGGGTTGAAGATTGCTTGGAGATCACATTTGAGTTTGGTTGGGATATAGGTGTACACCCAACCAAACACTAAGTGCAAACTACACTACGCTAGGATATAAAAAGTGCAAAATACAAAGTGTGAGATCAAAGGCTAACACTAACAGCCTCAACCCCAACCCCCCCCTCTCCTCCCCCCCCCACCCCTCCCCATTGGCCCCCGTCTTCAGAGAGGATGTAATTGCTCACATCTCATTGGGCGAGAGGGTCCCTAGAAGCCTAGGGAGGGTGTTGTGGGTCCCGTGCGCTCTTTTCCACAAGACCCCTCTAGGGAGCACGCGCTCATGGTGCTGCGGAAAAGAGCGCACAAGATTACGCATTCCTCACCTCAAACCCGCCCCCTTTCACTCACTCCCCTCAAACCCCCCCTCCCTCTGTCCCCCCGTCTTCAGGGATGACGTCATTGCTCACATCTCATTGGGCGAGAGGGTCGCTAGGAGCCTAGGGAGGGTGGCGCGCTTCTTGCCTCTCATGGGAGCACACATGGTGCTGCGGGAAAGAGCACACGAGGTGACACATGCCTCATCTTTAATCCCCCCCCTTCCTCCACCTTCCCCCGCCGCTCCCCTTTCCTCCCCAACTTCAGGGATGACGTCATTGCTCACATATCACTTGGCGAAAGGGTAGCCAGGAGCCTAGGGAGGGTGGCGCGCTTCTTGCCTCTCATGGGAGCACACATGGTGCTGCGGGAGAGAGCACATGAGGTGTGTTGATTGGTAGTGAGGCAGAGATCCCATGACGTGAGGGAGGGAGCAGTGTGTGAAAAGGGAGGGTGGCATGCTTCTTGCCTCTCCTGGAAGCGCACACGGTGCTGCGGGAGAGAGCACATGAGGTGAGGGAGGGGGATAGTAGGTGATGAGGGAGAGGGCGCACGAGGTGTCTTGGTAGGTGGAGGAGAGTTACAGGCAGACAAGAGTAGACTCTCTCCCCTACCCTCCTGCCACAGGTGAACGCATGTTTGGCTGTACTGATGGAGGGAGCAGAGAGGAGAGTAAAGGTGGAGGAGTGGGTGGAGGGCTACACGCATTGCCCATTCAATTCCCTTTCTTCCTTACCTGTCCCCTCTGTTCCAGCAAACTGTGCTAAACTGTGCTGATGGAGGTGGCAGAGAGGAGAGTACCGGTGGAGGAGTGGGTGGAGCCTTACTACAGGCCGTCTTTCCTCATTGTAACTCCTTTCATTTCCCTCCCCATCACAGGTGAACGCGTGTCTGGCTGTGCTGATGGAGGTGGCGGAGAGGAGAGTACCGGTGGAGGAGTGGGTGGAGCGCTACAGAGATGACAGGCTGCCTGCTCCTGCCACGTGGCAGAATGAGATTGGACGCAGCAGCTCCCAAGGTAGGTGGTGGTGTTATGTTGAGTGAACATCTGGCATATTACTGTCACATGCGTTGTATATTCACGCAGCTTAAGCTCCTTCCCATCTAAACAAACCACACTACACACCTACACATGCAAGCATGAGCACATGCATTCATGCCTGTGACAACTGTAACTCACGCATGCTCAAACACCCACTGTACATGACCTTAGCCCTTATTCCACACTTCTTTTCTCGTTCGCTTCGCTTCCCTTCTCTCTACCTGCCCTCCCTTCCCCTCCCCCCCCCCCCCCTCCTTCATCAGACTTCACAAACCCATTCTTCCAGTTTCCTTCTCAGTGGTTTCAGCCTGAGATGTGGACACTGTTTAGTAGAACATGGGCATGACGGTATCTTTGCTGGTACAGAAAGTACTCGACACTCTCAAAGTTATGCTTTGTCACTATTGTGCGAACAAAGCCACATGTGCTCTGTCGTGCGTGGTTTCATCATTTATTTGTAAGAGGTTTGGTTGGAACTATACGATTTGCTGCTACACCTGTCACCTACAAGTGCCTGTGCCCCTCCTGCCATTGGCTCTCCGGCAGGCCAAAGCCAGGAGCAGGGTCAGAGGCAATGCTATGTGGTAGCTCAATAGACGTGCTCCATTATTGAGAATTTGACTTCTAATGTGGTTTCGAGTATCATTTCCAAGCTTTGACATGTATTTACGTAATGTGCAACGTTGTGTAACTGCTGGGAATACATCTGTTTTTTTCTTAGGCATGCTTTAGGCAACAATGTATACGTGAATATCCGTGTGTACCATCGATACGTTTCTCGATTCTTCGAAAACGAAAGTATTTTCCTAAAGCGCATATGCAGAGAATTCCAAATCCCTGCTTGCCCTCCATCTTGTCCCGCCTTGACCCCCTTTTACACAAGCCGAAGCAGGAGATTAGGGTTTTGGCCTTCTCTAGCTATTGCCGTGTCGGATTCTGCGTGTCCTTTCGTAGAGCTTGCTTCCAGCTCGATTCTAGCTCGCTTCCGCGCCTTGGGTTCGTAGGAGCTCCGCTTCTGTTCCTGGAGCGACTCGCACCAGGCAACTAGCATTCTGTGCTGCAGATTACACGTGCGATCGGTGTTGGAAGAACGGGTGTTCGTGACTCGAAGAATTAAGGCAAAAGCCGCTTACAAGCTGAACGCGATCGCGGATCGGCGTAATCGGCGTTGCAGCTGCTGGCGTGTGAAGCGAACGTTAGCTTCAGAAGTTGCCTTACAGCGACGCGAACGTCTGTGTGACTTGGCAGCTCGAGCGAATCGACTTGCGATTTTTTTTTATTCTCGCGGTTCTCCTCGCTCTCCCTCGCCTCTCGTCGCCCTCCCTTGCCCCTGATAGTGCGTCTTGTCTGTGCGGCGTTTTAACCGATCTATCCGTTCTTTGGACGCGTCGCGCGGAGCTTAGATTCGGCTGGATAGGAACGTCGTTGACCAGGAGGAATACGAGTGCCGGTTTTGACCGTCGTGGAGTGTTGTCTACCGTTGTTATACGTCGTCGAACGTCGTTGACCGTCGTTAACCGCCGTTGTTCGTTGTTGACCGTTGACCGGCAGCCATGGGGACTATTACGCAGAAGATTAAAGACATTGAAGATGAGGTGAGTGTTTCATTGCTTTTTAAGCCTCTTATATCCTGGCCATGGGATCTCTGAGTTTTGTACATCGAATCATGAGCTTTGAAATGAGGGAGTTTATTATTGATGGAAGGTAACGTGACGGAAGGTGTTTAAAGCATCGGATCAACAATCTCTCTCGTGTGTTTGTGTGCTCGCGTGCTCGTGTGCTTGTGTGTTCGCACGCTTGCAGATGGCTCGCACGCAGAAGAACAAGGCAACAGCGCATCACTTGGGCCTACTCAAGGTGAGCAGTTAGTCTTTCCGGGGCTGCTTACAACGAGTAAAGTTTTTTATGCGTCAATTCGCACGCAGAATTACAAGGAGCTGCTCCGTACTGCCCTGGTTCCCCCTCATTTTCCGGCATTTTTGAGACGTCTCAAAAATACCCTCTCTACACGTGCTCCGTATTGCCCTGGTTCCCCTTCATTTTCCTTTCCAATCCTTCAGCGGTGGTTTGAAATTATCGTTCTTCGAACCTTCTCCTCTTTCCTCTTCTTCCCCCCTCGTCCCTCATCATCGCAGGCCAAGCTGGCGAAACTTCGGCGAGAGATCCTGACGCCGTCGGGCGGTAAGGGAGGCGGAGCAGGGGAGGGCTTCGATGTGACAAAGAGCGGTGATTCACGAGTGGGTCTCGTGGGTTTCCCGTCGGTGGGGAAGTCGACGCTTTTAAACAAGCTGACAGGCACATTCTCTGAGGTAGGCTGGTGAGCGGAGAAGGAGCAGGGGAGGGCATTGAAATTCATCCATTGCGGCTATTAACGTCGTCAAAAGACTCAAAAGTCGTCTCTTGGTTCCGCCTCCTGTTGTGCCGGTACCTTCTCCTCCCTGCAGGTGGCATCATATCATACGAGAGTTCACAACGCTCACGTGCATCCCCCTCTGTGGCTATTGATTGAACCTTCTCAGTCTGCGTCAACCCCTCGGTCGGTCCTCCCCTCACCTCACCTCGCCTTACACCCCTCCCTGCATGCAGGTCGCATCCTACGAGTTCACAACGCTCACGTGCATCCCGGGTGTGATTCGATACCGAGGGGCCAAGATTCAGGTGCGTGTTATGCTGCAGTGCGGTGCAGTGCGGTACAGTGCAGTGCGGGAGAGACTAGCTAGTGATTAGTTTAGTACTGTGCATCCCCAGTTCACTGACACCCACTCATGTGCATCCCGGGTGTGATTCGGTACTGAGGGGCCGAGATCCAGGTGTGTGGTGCGGTGCAGTGTAGTACAGGGATGAGTGTTGAGTGAGTCAGCCCACAAGTCGTGTGCTTTTCCCCCGGCTCACAACACCCAGTCACGTGCATTCCATCCCGGGTGTGATTCTGTACCGAGGGGCCAAGATCCAGGTGCGTGGTGCAGTGCCGTGCAGGGGTAGTAAGTGCGTGCTATCCGAGCACAATTATTGCTGCTTGCACTGTTGGAAGTATCGCCTCTCACACTACTGACGTACAGCCCCCCTACTTTTCCTCCTCTGTCATGCTCCTTCCGCCCTTTTTTGTCTTGCCTGTGTGTGTGTGTGTGTGTGTGGCTGGCAGCTTTTGGATTTACCCGGGATTATTGAGGGGGCCAAGGACGGCAAAGGGCGAGGCAGGCAGGTGAGAGCGGGAGTGAGGGAGGGGGGAAGGCGTTAAGAGTTTCTCTAAATGTTCAATGCCCTCGTGGCATATGGCATGGTTGGGTGGCTGAATTACATCTAATCATTGAGTTATAAAGGGCCGAGGCAGGCAGGTGATCGAATTCGACACCAATACGGCCAAGCCGCTTGGTCAGACGGAGCGCTTTAATTACTCGCTTTGAGTTTATTAAACGCCATTGAGCCCAGGCAACTTGGCTTTTCAACTGGAGCCCGCGAACCAAGCGGTAAAGTTCAAGCCCTTAGTTGATTCCCTTCCCACGAACCCCGCTTCTCCCATTCCGGTCCAGACTTCCTCCTCATTCCATTCCCTTGTGTGGAAACCATTCATTCCATCAGGTCATTTCGTCCGCTCGCACAAGCAACTGCATCGTGATCGTACTCAAGCCCATCACACTCTCCCCTCTTCTTCCTCCCTCCCTCCCTCTCCTTTTCTCTCCTCGTTCGCCTCTGCTGTCACCCCACCATCAGGTCATCTCGACCGCTCGCACGTACAACTGCATCGTGATTGTATTGGACGCTACTCAAGCCCATCACTCTTTCTGAGATCACTTCACAATCTTTTACCACCCTTACCTTCCTCTCCTGCCACCCCACCATCAGGTCATCTCCACTGCTCGCACGTGCAACTGCATCGTGATTGTATTGGACGCCATCAAGCCCATCACACACAAGAGACTCATTGAGAAGGAGCTTGAGGGCTTCGGTATCAGGTGGGTTGCATTGCGTTGTGTTGTGGTGTGGTGTGGGACTGTGTGAGCCAACGATGGTAATGGCAGGTTCAGTTGAGTCGGCGTCGTGATCGTGTTGGACCCTATCAAGCCCATCACACACAAGAGACTGATCGAGAAGGAGCATGAAGGGTTTGGCATCAGGTCGGTTGCACTGTGTTGTTGGTGTTCGGTCTAGAAGGTGTGCGTTTTTGCATTCTCCTGGGAATTTTGATCGCCATCTAGCCCATCCCATCTCACACAAGCGGCTCATGGAAAATGAGCCCCCCATCTCCATCCTCCTCCCACATCTCCCCCCTCCCCCCCCCCCCCCTTCTCCTAGGCTGATCAAGGAGCTGCCAAACCTGACGCTCAGGCGGAAGGACAAGGGCAACATCAGCATCACAGCAGTGTGCACCGTCACCAACCTGGATCTTGACACGGTGAAGGCCGTGTGCTCCGAGTACCGCATTCACCCCACCCTCACTGCTTCCCTCCCGCCCCTCCACTCCCTCCCTTCCTCCCTCCCCGTCTCCCTCCCTCTTCCCCTCTATCCCGCCCCTCTTTTCCCTCCCCTCCTCCCTCCCATTTCTCGATTTGTGGCTTCCGTTTCTCCCCTCTCCCAGGCTGAACAAGGAACCTCCAAATCTGACCTTCCGGAGGAAGGACAAGGGAGGCATCAGCATCACAGCGGCCTGCTCCGTCACCAATCTAGACCTCGACACGGTGAAGGCCGTGTGCTCTGAGTACCGCATTCACAACGCCCTTACTCACCTGCTTCCATTTCCTCCCTCCCCTCCCTCCCCTCATCCCCCCCTTCCTCCCTCCCTGTCTCCCTGTCTCCCTCCCTTTCTCCCTCCCCTTCTGTCTCCCCTTCTCCCTCCCTTTCTTCCATTGGCAGGCTAAACAAGGAACCTCCAAATCTGACCTTCAGGCGCAAGGACAAGGGAGGCATCAGCATCACAGCAGCGTGCACCGTCACCAACCTGGATCTTGACACGGTGAAGGCCGTGTGCTCAGAGTACCGCATCCACAACGCGGACGTGCACCTGAGATACGACGCGACAGTGGACGATCTGATCGACGTGATTGAAGGCAGCCGCGTGTACATCCCGTGTGTGTACGCCGTGAATAAGGTCGACCAAATTACCCTGGAGGAGCTGGAGGTGCTGGATAAGCTGCCTCACTACTGCCCTGTTAGGTGAGGGTATAAAGGAGCAGGTTATAGGGGTATAATAGTCAAGGGGCGTGGTAGGCAGCCAACAGTCGCGTGTACATGCGGTGTGTGTACGCCGTGGATAAGGTCGGCCAGGTCACCTTGGAGGAGCTCGAGACATGTGCATTTGATTTCCTGTCTCACCCCTCCTTTTTGTGGCATGCTCTCAGTGCTCATCTGGAGTGGAATCTGGACGGACTACTGGAGAAGATCTGGGAGTACCTTGGCCTCGTGCGAGTTTACACCTAGCCCCAGGAGGAGCGAGTTCAGCGCGATTAAAACATGTGCACGTGCCTTTTCTTCCCTGCGTGCTCTCTCTCTCAGTGCCCACTTGGAGTGGAATCTGGACGGACTACTGGAGAAGATCTGGGAGTACCTTGGCCTCGTGCGAGTTTACACCTAGCCCCAGGAGGAGCGAGTTCAGCGCGATTAAAACATGTGCACGTGCCTTTTCTTCCCTGCGTGCTCTCTCTCTCAGTGCCCACTTGGAGTGGAATCTGGACGGACTACTGGAGAAGATCTGGGAGTACCTTGACCTCGTGCGAGCGAGTGTACACGAAGCCTCGGGGGGTGAATCCCGACTACGAGGATCCGGTGATTCTGCCGCATGCTCTCACCACTGGTTTCGTCCCTTGTCTGTGGCTTGGTGAACCCACATGCCTGCAGTGCCCACTTGGAGTGGAATCTGGACGGACTACTGGAGAAGATCTGGGAGTACCTTGACCTCGTGCGAGCGAGTGTACACGAAGCCTCGGGGGGTGAATCCCGACTACGAGGATCCGGTGATTCTGCCGCATGCTCTCACCACTGGTTTCGTCCCTTGTCTGTGGCTTGGTGAACCCACATGCCTGCAGTGCCCACTTGGAGTGGAATCTGGACGGACTACTGGAGAAGATCTGGGAGTACCTTGACCTCGTGCGAGCGAGTGTACACGAAGCCTCGGGGGGTGAATCCCGACTACGAGGATCCGGTGATTCTGCCGCATGCTCTCACCACTGGTTTCGTCCCTTGTCTGTGGCTTGGTGAACCCACATGCCTGCAGTGCCCACTTGGAGTGGAATCTGGACGGACTACTGGAGAAGATCTGGGAGTACCTTGACCTCGTGCGAGCGAGTGTACACGAAGCCTCGGGGGGTGAATCCCGACTACGAGGATCCGGTGATTCTGCCGCATGCTCTCACCACTGGTTTCGTCCCTTGTCTGTGGCTTGGTGAACCCACATGCCTGCAGTGCCCACTTGGAGTGGAATCTGGACGGACTACTGGAGAAGATCTGGGAGTACCTTGATCTCGTGCGGGTGTACACGAAGCCGAGGGGAGCGAATCCGGACTACGAGGATCCAGTGATTCTGTCGGGCAAGACGCGGACGGTTGATGATTTCTGCAACCGCATCCACAAGGACATGTCCAAGCAGTTCAAATAGTGAGTCGGGCAGTTCAGATTGTGAGTTGGGCAGTTCAGATAGTGAGTCGGGCAGTTCAAATAGTGAGTTAGGCAGTTCAAATAGTGAGTCGGGCAGTTTGAATAGTGAGTTGGGCAGTTTAAATAGTGACTCGGGCAGTTCAAATAGTGAGTCAGGCAGTTTGAATAGTGAGTCGGGCAGTTTGATTAGTGAGGTGGGCAGTTCAAATAGTGAGTCGGGCACCCTGAAATGTTGAGTCGGGGCAGTTCAAGGTGTTTGTGAGCTCACTGTCTCTTGAACTTAATAGATAATTTGAATTTATTTTTCTCTACTCTGTTGGTGTGACCTTTATGCATGTTCCCCTTTCAACCACCCTCCCCCGCTGCTCTGGTTTGGTGCCAAACTGAGTCAACTTTTCCCTGCCTACCCACCACTTCTCTTTTGTGCGCAGAAGCAATTAACCCACTTCTCGCTCCTTCCTCCTCTCCCCATCCCCGTTTGTGTCCCCCCTTCTCCCGTCAGTGCTTTGGTGTGGGGATCCAGTGCCAAGCACAAGCCACAACGAGTAGGCAAGGTGAGTGCTTGCTGTCAGATTTCTATTCCTCTTCTATCCTGCATGTATGCTAGAGCGTTAGGCACTGAAACTTTCTTGGGTGTACAACTGGTAATTTGCCCTACGTGGCACCAACTCGGACCTAAAGTCTTCGCCCATCCAACACCCATGCATCACTCCCACCGCTCGCCTCCCAACACCGATACGTCTCCCAACACCGATACGTCTCCCAACACCGATACGTCTCCCAACACCGATACGTCAGGGACATGAGCAGCAAACGAGAGTGTGGCTGGGCGGGCTGAAGATCGCAAAAATGGTGTGCCTGATGGCTCGAACAATGCCTCTTTCTTTCCCCCTTTCCCCATACGCCCCCCTCCCACCATACAACAGGAGCATGAGCTGGAGGACGAGGATGTGGTGCAGATTGTGAAGAAGGTGTGAGATGAGAGGGACATGCCCAAATACCTGCACATGTGAGGGCATGTTTTGGGGAAGAGAAACAGCAACTGTCTGGGGTCCTCTATCGGGGTCAATGGCTACTGTATGCAGCTTCCACGTGCATGGCCTTCCTTCTGTTGTTTTCGCTGTGGCACTTCAAGTCGGCCACAACAAGGCCGAGTTGAGGATGTGGTGTAGCTCTTGTGCTGCTGCTGAGGTGAGGTGCTTAGAAAGTGAGCGGGGTCTCTGGTTGGTCTAATCAGGACCTGGGCGCGGATTGGTCGGTACAAATGGTAGTGGTCGATGCCGACGGCCTTAGGGCGGACTAACGATTGCTTCATGTTTTTGTCGACATCGGCTGAAACATCAAAATGTAGAGAGTTGTGGAGAGTTGTTTGGATGACCGAATGGTTTCTTATGGTAAACACCAGTCAACTGCCATTGATTGTGTATCTGTCCTGTAGTGAACATGGAATAACTCAAAAGGTTTCCAGAGTGGGTCTATGATTGTGACCGCATTGTGACTCCACTGTAGTGTCCTAACAGTGCACTTGAGCGGTGCTACGCTGATTGTAATTCCCCAAGTTCATACCATAATGTATGACACGTGTTTGTGAGCAAGTGAAGCTGTGGATCCCTCTCCGGAAACTTCTGTGTGCCCTATACAAGTGCTACTGCAAATACCTCATATCTGGACAACCATTGTCAGAACCATTTCCCCCTCTCCTTCCCTCTGTCCTTAGCACCCAGCACAGTTCAACCAAACCCCCTGCCACAGCTCCCAACTTCTGTGCAGTTACAGCTCCACACCTTGATTCCTCCAGTCTTCTCTTCTCAACAACCTCTTATGTGCCTGCTGCACGTGCTCGCATCAGCCAAAACCTCTCCTGAATCCGCTCTCCAGCTCCTCCCATCCCTTCATCCATTTCCTTTTGAGGCGCCTCAAAAGTCATAACCTCTCTTCCATCCGCTCTCCAGCTCCTCCCATCCCTTGATCCATTTCGTTCCATTGCTCCTTGAATAGGGATTGTTCAACACCGCTCTTCCACCTCCTCTCCTCCACGATCCCTTCTATGGCAACCGCACGCGCACACTTTGTTTAAACCCCTCGCCCCTTTGTCCATAGGTGACTTATGAGTCGACTCAAAAGCCCCCTTGTCCATTTCCCCAGCATCTCCTCCCCCAACCGACCACCATCGTGCCAACCAACTGTCCTGCCCTCCAGCTCTCACTAATCCGTCCCATCTCCTCCGTGTCTATAAGGGTGATAATTTTGAGAATTCTCCACCAACTTGCCAACTGTACTCCAGCTCTCACTATTCCCTTCCATCTCCGCATCTTCTCTCACGGGTCTGTGGAAAGGTTTTTGGTAGGCTGCCCCACATCTCCTCCCCACCTCCAACCCATCTCCTCCCCATCTCCTCCAATCATGGGTCTGTGAACAACTGGTTGTTGGAACACCCTCAGCCATCCCCCGTCTCCATGAGCCTCCCATCTGCCTCTCCTCTCCCCCACATCTCCCCATCACGGGTCACTGTTTGACTGCTCACGTGCATCCCCCCCCCCCCCCCCCCCCCCCCCAATGATCCTTTCCTTTCTGAGCCGCTCGCAGGTGGAAGCACCGATTAATACTCGTCCCAAACAGCCGAAGGCCCACCTGAATCCCACTCCCATTCCGCTATTCCATCCCCTCACCCATCTCCTCCCCAGCTATCCATTCTTGATGAGCCATCCCCAATCTCCCCCGTCTCCTCCCATCATGGACCAGAGAAGAAATAGTTGTTCGACTGCCCTCGCCCATCCCCTTTCCTCCACGATCCCTTCTGAGCTGGCCGCACATGCGAGCACCGGTTAATACTCGTCACCTTATACGGCACCGACACTATACTCCCGTTCCCAAACAACCCCGCGAAATACGAAAACGTGCTCAAATAGCTATCAAGTTCCACTATAACGTGGCTTTTTCCCAACAGGTAAAACTCAGCCATGGTAGGAAGCCGCCCCGTGTGCTTATCCGTGGAAACCCCCACATGAGCCACTTCTGCTCCGTTATAGTAAACAACACCGTATGGAGCCAATCTGGTTACCATCTCGGGCCGTAACGCCTCGTTATCCGTCGCAAGAAAGATAGACAACGCGCGTCCCTGCCCTCCATTCTGGTTACCAGTAACACCGGCTCCTCTGGACCTCTTGCTGCTACCCACTCTGGCTTGTTCTCCTAGTTCAGTCAGCAGCCTACCCACACACTTCCACGTGAGGGGGTTGAGATACAGCTCCCTGTGCTTCTGTCTCTCCTTCTCTACCTGCCTCCTCTCACACTCCTCCTTGCTCTCCCCCTCCTCTCTCCCCGCCCCTTCACACTCAGCAAACAGCCGATCTGGTCGCTCCAGGACGGCAGTTCTTGTCCGTATGTGCAGCCCCACGTCAAACTCCATTTCCAGCGGTGAATCAGCAGCTGCCACGTCACCAAGTGACAGAGGCAGCTTCAGCCTATCAGGATCCGGCTCGTGCCGCCGTAAGATAATTTGGATTGTCTGACTCAGCGCCAGCGTGGGCCCGCCTGCCAGCAAGGCATGGAGGGCTGCTGACCTGTACCCCCCACCAGCCGCCGGGCGGCAAGAAACCTTCTCCGGGAAATCCGGGGAGGAGGATCCGAGGTTTAAAGCCCGGCACGCGCATTGGGATAATCTCCTGTCGTTTAGCCACCAGTGGTCCCAAAACGCGTAGCTAAACGCGAAGACGATCTTGTCCGTCCATTGCAGCGCGGCTCGGGCTGTGGGGTGGGTTACCGTCGCGAAAGTAACGTTGCTCTCGAATTCGTACAGCATCGCATCTGGATCCATCGCAGCGTCGTCCGCGTCCCATTCGTACGCCTGCCACCCCGGCTGCCCCTTGCTCCGCCGACCCCTTCGCCGATGCAACACCAACCGCCTCCGAGCCTGGCCTACAGGCTCGGTAACAGGCTCGGTAATAGGCTCAGTAACAGGCTCGGTATCAGGTTCGGTCACAGGCTCGGATCCATCCGCGTCGGTGTCTCTTTCCCGCCTGCTTAACTCGATCCTCCATTTTCCGCGATTGGCGGCAACTTTTGAAAGTCTTCTCCTGTTGCTCCCCGCTTCTCTCCTAGAATCTAGAAGCTTCTTGGGGTATATGTGGTCGAAATCGCATTTAAACGCCTCGCAGGTGCTAGCAAGAACGCCGTGGAATTTTCCCGCGTGGAGAATGACTATTCTGCGACCGGAGATTAAAGCCCACATGTACGCTGACACCCAGTTCCGCAGCGTGTTTCCGAGCCCGAACCGCGGAGCTACTACGAGCACGCGTTGCCCGTATTCGAGCCGCTTTAGATCGTCCAGCGTCGTGATTGGCCCGAAGGATTCCCGCGCCGCGAGAACTGCCGGGTCAAAGCCTGGCGCGATCTCCGCGCATTCGGCGGCGAGATCGGCGGGATGGATTCGTTGGGGCCGGAGAAATGGAGTTTGCCAGGCGGAGGAGGTGACGTCAGCTTCGGAATTTGGCACGTCGCGGTACCGAACGAGAGGATCAGGCTCGGTGTCGGTTGGGGAGTCATCATCGCTTTGAGGGTCGGTGTCGAATTCTTTCAAGATTCGCCGCAATTGCCGGAATTCCTGGGATTTGGATTCGACGAATCTGGATTCACCTCGCTCGGATGGAGCGACAGCAGCAGAATCGAGCGTTTCTGTACTGGATGTGACACTAAAGAGGGTGATCAAGCTCAGGGACAGGAGAACGGTGCGCGAGAGAGTAAGTAATGGGGGAAAAGGAAGACGCGCGAATCGACGATTGCGCGACATGAGCACGTAAGAGGCCAACACGATCAGCTCAAAACAAGACGTGGTAATTAGTTTCAAGACATAACGGAGAGTGCGCGACCTATGTCGAGTCCTAGCAGCACGTAGCCATCTCCGTCTGACATGATGTGAGAGATCTATGCTGACTCCGCCACTAGATGTGAGGGTGCAGTTCGGCATTCTCGGGGCTATTTCACGAGTTACCATTCTCGGTTGAGTTCGCAGCTTGATGCGGTAACCTGGATCGCTTTCTTTCGCGTTTCGCCTGATGTGATCACAAGAGCGGTGGGATTGCAACAAGGTGTTTTCGCTGATCCCGGTCGACCCGAGTTCAGCAACTCGGGCTCCTTACCGATTTGCGAAAACGGTTCAACCTGAAATCGTTTGTGACCGTGCTTTACCGTACTGTAACGTTTTGAACAAGCACTTCACGCATACCTACGAAACGTAGTTCGCGACAGATCGAAAGCATTTCTGCCGTCCACACGTGTTACCTGCTGAAGTCATTGGTTATTCCTGGCGATGTACTAAGGTTTACTCAATCATTTCGCCATGGCTCGCCGCCTTTCGTGAAGCTAGCAGAAAATCTCACCGACGCATTAGTCGCACCGCTGTTCTTCTTTACTGGTCTCTCCTTGTATCGAGTATGTTTTTTGAAGCCAACATACCTATTGTAGGCTCCGCGTCGCTAACAGATCAGCGTGATTGGGCGGGAACGGCAGTCGCGCTGGGATACCATGGCGTCGCGTTCAACGTCTTTAAGGGGCCCAACGAGAAGGTCGAGCCGCGCGAGCGGTGCGGCGTGAAGGCGGTTCCGATGGACTTGCTGCAGGCGACTCGAGAGAGAGTGCGGCTCGCGCTGAAAGGAGCACAGGTCCGCGGGGGACGGGTGGGGGGCGCGGGGGAGAGGGAGGGGAAAGGGGAGGGGGAAGGGGGGCAGGGTAGGGGAATGGAGGGGGGAGGAGGAGCGGGGGAGGGGGAGGGGGAGGAAGGGGAGAGGGTGTGGGAAGGGGAGGGGGAAGCGGAAGGGGAAGCGGAGGGGGAAGCGGAGGGGGAAGGGGAGGGGGAAGCGGAGGGGGAAGGGGAGGGGGAAGCGGAGGGGGTAGCGGAGGGGGAAGGGTAGCCGGATAGGGTGACAGCAGCAGTGGTCTACGAGGTGGGGGGGAATTCTGATGCAATGGCTGACCCATTCCTTCCCGTATCTCCCTCTCCCCACTCGCGCCCATCACCTCTTTTCGTCAAACCAAGCCCCATAGCATGTGTGATGAGTCGATGTTTGAGTCGACTCAAAAATCGCCTCTTCTCGTCAATCCAAGCCCCCCATAGCATCCCGGCATTTCTCCCAACTCGTCCGTGTGACAGCAGCAGTGGTGGAGGAAGGGGGGGGAGATTCACGGATGCTATCGGTGTCACTGACCGGCCTATCTTCCACTCCCTCTCGCAAACCTCTTCCATACTCCCCAAACGAGGCCCCTTGTAGACAACAGCCCTTCATTCACACATCACAGCAGCGGGGGTTAAGGCTGACTGACCTATCCGCGTGCAATGTGTCGTGTTTTGATTCGACTCAAAGCACGACCCTTCTTTCACGCAGCTCGCTCGCATCACAGCAGCAGTGGACGAGGCTGACTGACCTATCCCCCTCTCCCCCTCCCCCTCCCCCTCTCCCTGTCTCTCCCACTCCACTGTTCCCCCCTCATCCCTGCTTCCCAAAGCAAGCCCCTTCTAGACGATAGCCCTTCATTCACGCAGCTCGTGCGCATCACAGCAGCGGTGGAGCAAGGAGGACCCGATGTGTGCGCTAATCAACCTAATCCCTCTCCCTGTCTCCATCCCTGTCTCTCCCACTCCACTGTTCCCCCCTCATCCCTGCTTCCCAAAACAAGCCCCTTCTAGACGATAGCCCGTCATTCACGCAGCTAGTGCGCATAACAGCAACGGTGGAGGAGGGCGGCCCTGAGGTGATAGCAGAGCGCCTGCCCACGGTGGTGGGGATGGGATATGATCTAGCAGCCGTGCAACCCTTAAGCAATGACAGCTTTCTGTCTGCCTGCTTCAACAGCAAGGTGAGTGGGTTTGTTTGGGTGGCATGCATGCGCCGTGCGGCACTGATGTGATAGCAGAGCGCCTGCCCACAGTGGTGGGGATGGGATATAATCCAGCAGCCAATGACCAATGACAGCTTCCTCTCAGCTTGTTTCTACAGCAAGGTACAGCGTGTGTGTGTGGCAACTTGGGTGTGAAGCGCCTTGGTTTTTGAGACGTCTCAAAAATAGCTTCCTCTCAGCTTGTTTCGACAGCAAGGTACAGCGTCTGCGTGTGGCAACTTGGGTGTGAAGCGCCTTGGTTTTTGAGACGTCTCAAAAATAGCTTCCTCTCAGCTTGTTTCAACAGCAAGGTACAGCGTGTTTGGGGGGGGAACTTGGGTGTGAAGCGCCTTGGTTTTTGAGACGTCTCAAAAATAGCTTCCTCTCAGCTTGTTTCAACAGCAAGGTACAGCGTCTGTGTGTGGCAACTTGGGTGTGAAGCGCCTTGGTTTTTGAGACGTCTCAAAAATAGCTTCCTCTCAGCTTGTTTCTACAGCAAGGTACAGCGTGTGTGTGTGTGGCAACTTGGGTGTGAAGTGAAGCGCCTTGGTTTGCTCCACACCATAAACAGAGCGCCTGCCAGCCCCAGTGGTGGGGATGTGATTCGATTTAGCTGCTGCGCAACCGCTTAATGGCGACAGCTTCCTTTCGGCCTGCCTCAACAGCAAGGTGGGTGCGTGCGTGGGTGGGTATGCGCATCTAACAGCAGCGGTGGATGAAGGTGGCCCTGATGTGGTAGCTGAGCGCCTGCCCACGGTGGTGGGGATGGGATACGATCTGGTGGCTGTGCGGCCACTGTGCGGCCCACAGTGGTTGGGATGGGATCAGATTGGGTTTCGCATTAAGCAGCTTAGCATCACCCACTGGCTGGGTGTCTTTCCTGTCAACTAATCAGACAGAGATTACAACTAGTGATCTCTGTCTTTCCTGTCAACTAATCAGACAGAGATCACAACTAACCGGCCTTCTCCCACTGGTATGCTTTTGAGGGTGCCTCAAAGCATTCACCTCAAAGCATTCACCTCAAAGCATTCACCTCAAAGCATTCGCCTTAAAAGCAGTTTCTCTTTCTGAGTTGACTCCAAAAGCGCACAACAAGTTGACCTTCTCCCACTGGTATGTCGAGATTTATTCTTTGAGAATTCTCAAAAAACAACTTGTGAATCCTCAAAAAAACAAATTCTCTCACTGGTATGCTGAGATTTTTGAAACGCCCACTTTCTGCCAAACCGACCTTCCCCTTCCATCACACTCTCCCATTCCTCCGTTCCTGCCCCCCCCTGTTTTTGAGACGCCTCAGAAACGCTTCCATATGCACACCCCCATCCTTCTTCCCCTTGTTGTCCCTCCCATGCCCATCCCTCTCCCCCTTCCGCCCTCCCCCCCCCTCCTCTCCGCTCACAGGCTGACATTATTTCTCTTGATGCGTCCTGCTTTGTGCCAATCCGACCTTTCCCTTCCATTACACACTCCCATTCGACTTCTCTCCCTTCCCGTCCCTCGCATAACCATCCCCCTCCCCCACTCCTGCACTCGCTCTCACAGGCAGATTGTGCTTCTCTCGATGTGTGTGTCCCGCTTTGTGCCAAGCTTTCCTTCCCTTTTCATCACTTACTCCCATGCGTCCACTCCCTTTTCCTGTCCCTCCCATGCCCATCCCGCTCCCCCTTCCCCCCACACGCTCACAGGCTGACATTGGTTCGCTTGATGTATCCCACTTTGTGCCAAGCTGATTTACCATTCCATCCCTCACTCCCAGTCTTCCTCTCCCTCTTTCCTTTCCATCCCCCCCACCCCCTCCGCTCCTTTTCTCTTGTTCACAGGCAGACATTGTTTCTTTTGACGTGTCCTGCTTCGTGCCTAGCCGACCCTCCCCTGCCGCCGTCAAAGCAGTGATGCAGGTGACGGTGATGAGGGGATGAGATGGTGAGGTGATGAGGTGGAGAGGTGAAGATGGTAGATAAATGCCCACTCTTGCTCTGAATAGCCGCCGTCAAAGCAGTGATACGGGTGATGGTGGTGAGGTGATGATGTGGTGAGATGGTGAGGTGGTGAGGAGGTGAGGTGATGATGTGGTGAGATGGTGAGGTGGTGAGGTGATGGAGTGGAGAGGTGATGATGGTAGATACATGCCCACTCTTGCTCTGCATAGCCGCCATCAAAGCAGGTTTTTGATGCGCTTTTTCCGCCATCAAAGCAGTTATACAGGTGGCCTTCCAACATGCGCTGTTTTTTTTTTTGAGGGGGGGGGTTGATTCTGAGAGTTCTCAGGAAAATCAACCTCAGAAAAATAGGTACAGGTGGCCTTCCATTACAGCATGCACTGTCGCTTCTTCTCGCAGTGGATCTGCTAAGCTGCGTTTTGAGAATTCTCAAAAAACATACGCTGCGTTTTGAGTCGACTCAAAATTCGACCTATCACACGTACACCTGCTCAGCTGCTGCTGACCCATTCACTTATGTCACGATCTCATGTGAGTAGGGCTGCCTCAGTATTGTTCTCTTTCTTTTTAGAGATAATAGAATCATGCCTGCTATTCCCTCCCATGCCCGCCATTTGCTCGCAGGCTGGTCGGGTGTTTGAGTTCTGCTACGGACCTGCCTTGAAGGATCGCTCCTTACTGGCACCCCTGCTACAGGGCATCAAGGTGGGGGAATGCTTGTGCTGTTACTGTTGATAGCCGATCCTCCCCCCCACCCCCCCTTCCCCCCCCGAAGAATTTCTGCAATATATCCGTGCTTAGTTATTAAGATATGGGAAGTGATCATTGTATCACAGCATTGTGTTTCCTGTATTCATTCGCTTTCGTTTCCCCTGCCAGGAGGTCTCTGAGGTGACACGTGGCAAGAGCTTGATACTATCCTGTGGTGCCACATCAGCACGACAGCTGAAAAGGCCTGCTGACGTGGCGGCCTTACTGGCACTGGCGGGACTGACACGTCATCAGTTCCGCATCATCTTGTCTGTCACTCCTAAGTAAGTGCAAAGCAACCTTCCCAAAATTGCTGGTTGTTATAACCCTTAGGTAAGTGTGCTGACTGTAACCGCCTAGTATGATTTTCAACCAACAGTTAGGGGTTCTGGTTGGCTTTGGTTTGTTTGTGCTGGTATGAGTCACATCATACTTGTGCTTAGAGTGTCTTGCTAAATCAGCACTTGCTGTAAGTGTGATACTTACCGATTTTTTATGGTATGTGTATCAGAGGTCATAAATATATACAGCGAATCCGGCTTCTGTTTCTTAGCAAAGTATGACATGCGAGCTTTGGAACACTAGTATTACCCGGACCTCCTTGGCCCCGTTTGTCCTTCCAGGAAGCTTCTGGCTCGTGCTGAGGCAAGGAGGCAGCAGAACCAGCAGCAGCGGTCCTGTGTGACCATCCATCTATTATCGCCAACACCGCAAGTATGTATTTAGTTGGGGATGTTTGGAAAACCAGCATCAGCAGTCATGTGTGAGTGTGACTTTTTTCTAGAATTGCCTCGAATGGAATCAGGCGGCAGCTGTCAGACTGTGGACGGCGCCCCGGTTCGTGTTTGATATCCTCACTTCTGAAAGTTCTCAAAAGTGGCACCAGATACCGCTGCCTCACCAATGCCCCACCAAATGTTCGCATTGGTGATATGCAATGCATGCTTGATACGCGTCATACTGTGGACGGCACCCCAGTTTCGTGTTTGATATCCTCACCCTCCACATGCACGTCTCCTCTCCCCACCATCCACTATTTTTTCTGTCCTCTTCCCTCCGTCCTCTTTCTTTCTCCCACACTTGTTCACAGCTAGCAACGCCTTTTCTCCTCTCTTCTCCTCCCTCTGAATAGTCACTCTGCTCTCCTTTCCCATGTTTCATGATACCCTCTCTATCCCCCTTCCTTTCTCCCACACCCCTTCACAGGTAGGAACAACGCCCTCTTCTCCTCGCTCTTTCTCCCTTGTCACCGCTTCTATTTTTCTGTCCTTTCCCACACCCCTCCCCACAACCCATCACAGGTAGCAACGCCTCCCTCTCCCCCAGATACGGCCCTCCTCTCCTCCCTCTTCTCCTCCCTCTCCTTCATCCGCCCTCCCAGCTCCACCTCCCTCTCTGCTTCTTCATCTCTTGCCATCGCACCTGCGACAACCATTCCTGGAGCTGCTACTGTTACTCCGGGTGATGCAGTTACCATCAGTGTTACACCTATTGGTCCTGCAGCTTCTCTTTCTGCTGCTGTAGCTGCATCTGCTGCATCTGCTTCAGCTGCTGCTGCTGCTGCACATGGGCAAAAAGAGGAGGAAGGCGGGGAGGGATGGACGGCAGTGGTGCGAAAGGGAAAGGGAGGAGGAGGCCGAGTGGGAAATTCTGAGAAATCAAGGAAACCTCTCGCAAGGTTTAGTACTGATAAGGCTTTTGGAGGAGGTGGGGGTGTAGCTTCGGGGAAGGGAGGAGGTAAAGTTGGTGTTAAGATCGGCGGTGGGAATGCAATCTCTGATATTGCACATATGGATCGGAGCAGCAGCGGTGGTGGTGTTGGTGCTGCTGGGTGGGGAGCCGTATGGGAGGGAGACAGCATCGGGTTGAAGGAGCAGCAGCCGCTGGAGGCAAGGGAGCAGAATATGAAGAAGGGCAAGTGTAAGGGGAAGCAAAAGCAAAAGCTTGTGGGGAAGGAGGGGCCGAGTAAGAAGTTGATGAATGAGCAGCAAGGTAACACATCGCAGGCGAAAAAATCTGGAGGCAAACGCAAAAGAGCCTAGATTTTATCAGTGATGCCAACCACGTTTGGTTGGTGGTGGTTGGTGCTGTATTTGAAAGGCTCTGCATCGAGTTGCTTATTCAAAATTGTTGTAAGCATTTGTTATTCAATCAGCTGTTTCCCGTTTCTCAGTACAGTTCAACGATTCATTCCGACGCGGCATCTGCAGAACCTTCCTATTTCAAGGCTTGCTGCTGACTGGCGTGGGAGGTGTATCGCCCTAGCCCACGAATTGGAGTCAATTGACGTGGAATCGACAAATACCCACGTCACCACTTCCCGACACGTGCTCACTAGGAACTTGGCCCAACACCTGCCTCATGAATCTCGGTGCTTTGGATCCCCTTAGTTTCATCTCTCCACGTGGTCATCGCATGTGCAGCCACGCTGCCATCAATCACAACGGGTAGGATATTCCTCTTCGCATGCCGCATTGCGACCGTCGCAGCTCATGTTACGAGTTTCGTCTTCGCGACCCTCGGTTACAATACGTTTGGTTTGGGACGGGCAAACCTCTAGGGCCTAGAAAAATCAGTTTCCCGTTCGTACCATTTTAGTAGTTTCTACCCGTCAATTGGCAAACAAGTGACCACCGAGTCTTCGACACGCTTTTTGTGCTGCTGCCACCCTCCCCCATTCCACTGCGTCATATACGGATCAACTAGCATGGCATCGGCTGCTGCTCTCACCAGCCACGTGGCGACAGCGTGTGTGACTCCTTCTGCCAGCCTGTCATCGCGCTCATCCAACGCGGTTAGTCGCTCGGGAGTGCTGACAACCGAGTCATCAAATTAGTCGCATGACTATGTTAAATCAAATTCAGCGTCAAAAGGTTGCATCTGTAAAGAAGCATTGTTCTCACTCCTGATTGGTTGATGTTTCTACATCCAGCTGTTCTTTACTTTCACCAAGCCTGCTGCTTTTCTGGATATGTCGACCTTCTCTGTTGGGATGTGCGTCGGCTTTGTACCTGCCGAAAACGTTAAGCGGCAAGGCGGAGTCTCACTCACTTGCTTTCAGCTAATGCACCCTTCCGTTTTCTTTCACCCTTGCTACTTCCCACCTCATCCCTCCCACCATCTCGTCGCGAACAGGTGTCAGCGAAACCACTAGGGTTACCACTGCTTCATGTACGTTACAGCACCCCGAACCTCCACCCTGCCTTTTCGTATCAAACAGTCGAATCAACATTAACTCATGAGTACACTTACATGCTACAACCCATACTGACCAAGGCGATCATCGTTCCTTCTCTGTACCGGCACCTTTCACATTTCGCCGCTTTTGCAGTCCAGACAGTCATTCCTGCTTACGAGTCGAGTCAAAATTAGTCATTCCTGCTGTCATTTGACATTTTAAATGCGAGCTCCTGTGCGTCGCATGCTAAGCTCCCCTCCACCTCCCCCCTTTCTCACATCCCCCTTCCCCCTTGCCGCTATCGCCCTTCTCTCTTGCCCCATTCTCCACCCCGCACCCCGCTTCCCCTCTTCCCCCCCCCTGCTTTCGCTTCCTCTCATGTTTTGTATCGGGAAAAATATGTTTCAGGCATCGAAGCAGCAGCAGCGGCAAAGCAAAGCCGTTCAACGGTGCGTGGTGGTGAGAGCAGCAGCGGAGGAGGAAGGCGCCGCAGCCGCCGCCGCGGAACCCGCCAAGGGCGGCATTAAACGGGAAGGTAAGCCTGCCCCGATGTATGTAGGATGGATTCGTGAGTTTAGACAGGAAAGAAACGCTACTTTCACCCAGGCTTAACCAGCCAAGGGTGGCATGAAACGGAAGATAAGCCTGGCCGAATGTATGAGAACAGTTTGGTTGATTCAAACGAAGTGATTTTCGAGTCCGGGGGATAACCTGCCAAGGCCTTTGTTTAAGGGAGGAGTTTAAGGCTGGACAGGCGTAGTCACTAACACTCGTGCGGGCTGGGCTGAACCCGCTGAGGGCGGCATTACGGGGGAAGTCACAACTGTAGTATGAAATGCGACGCGTAGTGGTTAATAAGCGCGTTGTAGAGCGTCCCAGTAGTTTCTAATCGGCGTGCAAGCCATCCCCCCGCCTCATTTACGTGAATATCCAATCCAAAGAGGAGAATTTCGGAGTGATGAGCACGGAGAAGTGGGAGTGCTAAGCTTGCAGCTTCTAATCCAGCCGCCAGGCACCTGCCTCCTAGTTGCCCATCCCTTTTTCCCCCTTCCCACCCGGCTTTGATGGATTTTGTCCGGGCAGAGAATAAGTTTGCAGTGATAAACACGGGCAAGTGGGAGTGCAAGTCTTGTGGCTGCTCTGGCCGCTACGCACTACACACCTGCCTCATTTTCTCCTTTCCCCACTCCCTCGCCCCCACCCGCATTTTTGTGTAAGTTATCTTTGCAGAGGAGAAGTTTCTGGTGATCAACACGGGCAAGTGGGAGTGCAAGTCATGCGGATGCTTAATCGTCTGCCAGGTACTTGCCTCACAGCTGCCTGTCCCTTTGTCCCCTCCCCCCCGACCCCCCTCCTCTTCCCCACGCGCCTCCCAATGTGTTTTTCCCCTGCAGAGGAGAAGTTTGCAGTGATCAACACGGGCAAGTGGGAGTGCAAGTCGTGCGGGTACATCTACGATCAATACAAAGGCGATCCATCTTATCCTGTTGCCCCGGGTGAGTTTCGTGCCTGAGTTAACATCCCAATCGAGGTGGTCGCAGATCTGAGACGTCTCGAACCACCATAACCTTGGCCCAGTGCTGCTGAGCAAGCAGCTAGCAGGTATTGCAAGAGAGATTATCAGCACATTTAATGTTATCCTCCCCCCAATCTCTCCAGGAGCTCCCTGACAGCTGGCTGTGCCCCACATGTGGGTCGGCACCCAATTCATTCTGCAGTCTGAGCAAGGGGAGCTCGCTTGAGGTAGCTCCACCAATGTTCCTTTCTCCGACCCCTTCTCCCTCGTCCCCTGTTTCCCCTCCAGGTGTGGCTCTCACGGAGCTTCCTGACGACTGGCTGTTGCCCACACGTGGATTGGCACCCAGTTCATTCGGCAGGCCAAGCTAGGAGCTTGCAGCGTCAGCAATTGGGATGACTAGCGTGCACCTTGTTCATCTCCCCCCTCCCCTCTTTCCCCCCACCCCAGGTGTGGCTCTCACGGAGCTCCCTGACGACTGGCTGTGCCCCACGTGTGGGTCGGCGCCTTATTCATTCGGCAGCCTAAGCAAGGAGCTAGCAGGGTTCACAATTTGTATGACTAGCATCCACACTCTTTCTTTCTCCCCTCTGCTCCCACCAGGTGTGGCTCTCACGGAGCTTCCTGACGACTGGCTGTGCCCCACGTGTGGGTCGGCGCCTTCTTCATTCGGCAGCCTAAGCAAGGAGCTAGCAGGGTTCGCCCAGAACCAGGCCTACGGGCTGGGAGGCAACTCCCTCACCTCGGCTCAGAAGGGCCTTCTCATCTGGGGCTCGATTGGAATGGCTTTCTTGGGTTTCGTTTCTGGGTACTTCCTGGAGTAGAGAATATGACTGAGTACAGAATATGACTCGCTTTTTTGGTAGATATAACTTAATTTGTGTTTTTTGTAAAGCTGAATTGAGATGCAACTGATTGTAGCTGGCCATATGGGAGTCAAGACCCAATAGAAGGGGTCAACTTGCATGATTCTTATTATATCCGGGTGATTACGGATGTTTTTCATCTTCCCATAGTCCCTTCTCTGACTCTGTCCTGTTTGTGATGTATTTATGCAACTCTTGCTTGTGCTAACTTTAGCAGCTTTACAAAACGCGTTGCTATTGCTATCTTGCTGCCGTGTAGCCCCACCAGCATACATACAAAGCCATTACAAGGCATGTCGGTGATACTTTTATGAATCTACTAGTTGAAACGTATGACATATTGCTGCAATATAAGGCAAAGACCAGCTGGGCAAAAATTGGGAACAGATGACTAGGAAATCTGTACCAAGTCCACGTGTGCTGCAATATCCTAATTCACACACATCACACAAAATGTATTTGTTCCGTATAGAATATATGTGCTGAAGATGGGTTTGTGTCGAGTGAGTTTTAACGGACATATTCCCCACCGTCACTGAACGCTGATTGGCTGTCTCGACATTTGGACACGCTCCACCACAATTGGCGTGGTGGGGGTGGTTGTGTGGCGGTGGTGACAGCTAAAAAAGTGTCACCATACGTCCAATACACGTCGAGATGTGTTGGCGAAAAAAAGTTGTTTTCGCACGGAATTCGCTGAGCCTTGGAAATGTCGAAAAGGCGGTGCGAGGTGGAGAAGCGAAATGGAATCCCAATGGCGGCCTGCATGCACCACCACTTTCGTGCAGACATTGGAGGGATTTGGAATGTACCCGATAAGCTGATTACGTGTATCTGATAAGTGGTTGTCGTCTTCTCCAAGTATTTCTTGAGGCTTGCACCTCGACACAAAAGTTGCCATCACACCTGGGCTAGAATAGTGGCGATGTTAGTTCGTTGCTTCACCTACTCTTGCACAAGCTAGCAGTTTACAATACGACAAGAACGTCGCACGTGCGCGATCTCAGGGGTTCACAACAAAAACTGCTCAGTGCCAGAATCTTCTCCTTCGCTAGGACGGACGTACTCAACAGCTGTTTTTTGTCAAGCAGCAGAGGCAGCGCGGGCCGCGCCAATCTCACGTCCAAACTTTATCGGGTGACACAGCATCAATAATAAAGTATTGTGACGCTTCAGAAGGCGATTTCCGGCGAGATGGTTGCAATGGAATCAGACCCGCTGGAGTCCAGAAAAAATCGCAGCGGCGACAAGCCGTTCGACTGCACCCTAACAATCAACGGCACGCCCGACGAGAGCGCGTTTCCGAGCGACGGAAAGTACGACTCCGAATTTTCGTGGAACGCGGACGCCGAATCGTCATGGGTCGCATTGTCGCCGCGGAAGGGCCGGCATTCCTCGTGCGTCCCGCATCACTGCAGCTGTTTGCGAGTCGCAGCGGCTGTGGCGCTCGTCGTGCTCCTCACCGTTCCGCTCAACATGGACCATTTCCGGGTGAGAATCTCGCCAGAAGCTCTTCTGGGTGAAAAGCGCACTCATGTCGTCCGCAACGTAGTTTCCGCGGCTCCGAGCCGTAAGTGTCACACTTCTGTACAGAAGCGCACGTGCGCTCCTCTTGCTCCGCAGCTTTCCGCTGAATATCGCGCACTTCGCACCTGAACTGCGGTAAAAACGTGCAGTCGTCGTTCCCGCGGCGCGCCGCCGTATATGCCGCTATTGTGTGCGTTTCGGTGCTCGTTGCTGTTCCGCTCATCATGGATCACTGTCGGGTGAGAACGAAGCACTTTCGGGTGAGAATGAGCACTTTTGATCGAGAATGAAGAGATTTTCAGGTGAGAACGAGGACTTCAACACGGACCACTTCACTTGCCATGCATCTCACGTCCATTCCAATGCTATATCATCGTTCCTCTCTCCTCTCCTCTCTCCTCTCTTCTCTCTTCTCTTCTCTCCCCTTACCCATCAGACAACATCTCCAGAGTCTCTGGGTGTTCTGTCCTCACCAACAGCTAGAGCTGCCCTCATCGCTTCTCTCGCATCCGCCTCCTCCTCCTCCTCCTCTTCCTCCTCCTCCACTTCTTCCTCTATCTTCTCCTCTTCACTCCAGTCTCACCTCCTCCTCCTCCTCCTCCTCCTCCCTCCTCCTCCTCCTCCTCCTCCTCCTCCTCCTCCTCCTCCTCCTCCTCCTCCTCCTCCTCCTCCTCCTCCTCCTCCTCCTCAAAATCTCCCCAATTCCTCGCTTGGTCCTCCCTTCGCAAGCACGCCAGCCAGTGGCTGTCTCTGGCGGCTTCCAGGCAACAAGTGGTGAGAAGTGAGCTACTTGTTACAGCAGTTGAGCTTGCGCACCTGATGCTGCAACTTGTGCCTTTCATCCATCCGCCTCACATCACCTCTCCACTCCAACTCGTGCTCCTCCCTTTACAAGCACGCCAGCCACTTGCTGTCTCTCTGTGCGTCCGACAACAAGTGATTTGTACGCTAGTAGTGACGGTGCTAGTTGTAACGGTGCTATTAATAACAAGCTCCCTACACTCTAAGCGCGCACCCCCACCAGCCGCACTGCAGTGCACTGTGGCTCAACGCATGCGTCTCCCTTCCTCCCTTCCTCCCTTCCTCCCTTCCTCCCTTCCTCCCTTCCTCCCTTCCACTTCCTGCTCCCTCCCTCCTCCTTCCCACAGAAGCAGCAAGCCTTGGAGCAATCTACAATTCAAGCGCCCAATCCCACCATCCGCACTGCAGTCTGCCTCACTGGTTCGGCGCATGACTTCGAGCTCACCGGATGCTCCTAGCATCGTGGCTCGGCTGCTGCCGAGCCTGCGTCCGTACCGCCCTGTCTTGTTCCTCGTTGCTCCCCTGGACGAGCACAGCCACAAGCTGTGGGCGCTGCAGTGGGGGCTGGGCAAGGGGAGAGATGGGGGATCTGGGGAATTTGGGGGACAGGGCGGATCGGGAGAGCAAGGAGAGGGACTAGCGGGAGGGTTAGGGCGGAACCTAAAAGAGGGGGTCGATGGGGAGAGTGCGTGGGAAGGGGAGGTGGAGCTGGGAGCGGTGGAGATGGGTGGGAGTGTGTGGGTGGACGGTGAGGAGGTGGTGGGAGACAGCAAGCTCTACAACGACGCAACAGCTCGGAATATGCAGGTCAGTACTTCTGCTGTGCCACTCTATTCTTTCTCACTGTTTTTCTTCTCCTTCTCTACATATGCACCTCTCCCTCAACAATAGACCAACGCACTCTCTGGCGGGAGACGGCAAGCTCTAGCAACAACGCAACAGCTCGGAGCATGCAGGGCAGGTTCCTTTATTATTATTATTTTTTTCCAAACCCCAGGTCCCGTTGTGAGCTTTCATGGTCCTCACCGCCCTTCCACTGCCTCATCCACTCCCTCCCTCCCTTCTTGGGCCCCCCCTTCTTGCGCCCCCCCCTTCTTGCGCCCCCCCCTTCTTGCGCCCCCCCCTTCTTGCGCCCCCCCCTTCTTGCGCCCCCCCCTTCTTGCGCCCCACCCTCTTGCGCCCCCCCCTTCTTGCGCCCCTCCCTTCTTCCACCCCTCCCTTCTTCCACCCCTCCCTTCTTCCACCCCTCCCTTCTTCCACCCCTCCCTTCTTCCACCCCTCCTTTCTTCCGCCCCCTCCTTGCGCCCCTCCCCTGCTCCTCCCGTGCAGCCCCAACTGCAGTACCTGCACCTTCTGTCTTCGTGCCTTTCTCTTATCGACAACTACCAGCAACACCACCCCTCCTCGCCGCCCTTCCACCATCTCATACACTCCCGCCTCGACTCCTACTGGTCCGCCCCGCCCTCCCTCTCCTCCGCCTTCTCCTCTCCAGTTCCTAATACCACCGCATCTTCCTTTGATGCTCCTGGTGCTGCTAATAGCGCTGGTGTTGCCATTGCTGCAAGCGGTGGGGCAGCAGAAAGGAGGGAGGCTGCAGAGCTAGCAAAGGGAGCGAAAGAGGAAAATTCCACAGCAGATACAGATACAGAGGAGCAGGAGCAGAAGCAGGAAAAGCAGCTGGAAGAGGAGGAGTGGGTGGTGCCGTTTGGGTCGGACTACAGTGGAATCAACGACGCGTTTGGAATGGGCTCTCTGGAAGCTGCCCGGAAGGTTCTCTCGCGGCTTTCCTCCATTCAAGAGCTTGTGAAAGCAGGCCTCAGGTGCGTGGGGGTGCGGGTGTCTGACAAGTGAGGGGTGAGGGGATGACACAAAAGGGCTCAATCCAAACTTCTTGCTAACCCTTTTTTCTTCTTCCCTTGTCTGCTCCAATCAACCTCCCCCTTCTCTCCACCCCCACAGCAACCTCTCCCCAGAGGCAACCCTCAGGGCTCATACGAAACGAATCTGCAGATGTCCCTCTTTCCATCTCTTCTTCCCCCTTCTCACCCTTTCTCCCCCATTCTCACCCTTCCCCTCGCTCCACCCCCACAGCAACCTCTCCCCAGAGGCAACCCTCCAGGCCTGTACAGAATCCACTGGCGTCCACGTGGCGCGAGCTGATTGGCCGCTGTGCACCGTGAGCCACCAGACGTACAAGCACGGGCGGCAGGGGGAGGTGCTGGTGGCCTCGTTACAGTCACGTGCGAACCTGAACGGAGCAAAATGCTGGCCCTGCACGCCCAAATACACCGGTCTAGAGGTAAGCCTTCCCTCACACTACCCCTCTTTTAAGAATTTTTATTTTTTAGAATTCTCAAAAGTGATTCCTTGCACGCCCAAATACACCGGTCTAGAGGTAAGCCTTCCCTCACACTACCCCTCTCCTCCCTCACACTACCCCTCTCCTCCCTCACACTACCCCTCTCCTCCCTCACACTACCCCTCTCCTCCCTCACACTACCCCTCTCCTCCCTCACACTACCCCTCTCCTCCCTCACACTACCCCTCTCCTCCCTCACACTACCCCTCTCCTCCCTCACACTACCCCTCTCCTCCCTCACACTACCCCTCTCCTCCCTCACACTACCCCTCTCCTCCCTCACCTGACTTACCGCCCCTCTCCGTCCTTCCTTCGCCCCCCCCCAAACAGGCCCCCTCTCATATGGCCTTTGTGCCTGTCTGCAACCAGATCCGCTCGCCCTCAGCTGATCCTCTCAACGCTGGCAGCAACAGCATACAGCTCTGCAACACTTCTCACCAGTGGGACCTCACTTGGACTCACAACAACTACGCTGCTTGCTCTGTTCCCTTGTACTATCTCTCGCCCTCCCCTCCCCCCAAGCAGGCCCTTTCCCATATGGCCTTTGTGCCTGCTTCCAACCAGATCCGCTCCCCCTCAGCCGATCCTCTCAACGCTGGCAGCAACAGCATTCAGCTCTGCGACACCTCCCATCCCTGGGAGCTCGCACGGACCAACAACCACGACGCTGCTGATGTGCTGCTTCTCCTTCTCCCCTCGTACTTATCCTCTCCTTCCTTCCTGCACCCCTTCCCCAGGCCTTGTCCCACCTTGCCTTTGCGCCGGCTGCCAATCGGATCCTCTCCCCATCAGCCAGCCTACTCAACGCTGGCAGCAACAGCATACAGCTCTGCGATACCTCTCACCCCTGGGAGCTTGCATGGACTGATAATTACGATGCCGCTGCTGGCACGCGATTGGCTGGCATGCGGAGGGCTATTTCGTCCACCAATCTGAAGCAATGCGTGCAGCTGATGGCGCAGGTGAGGGGTTTTTGAAGGGAGGGGCGCTTTAGGAAGGGGCGGTTTTGAGGGGTTCTTGATGGGTGGTGAAGAAATGACCAAGGGAAGAACAATCCAGGTTCATTATTCAAATAGAAATCAATGCGTGCAGCTGATGCGGCAGGTTAGGGCTTCGTGGTTTGAGGTGAAGAAATGAAACGGGATGGAGAATCAAGTTTATCTCTCCCCCTACCAGCTACAGCGCCAGACAGCCAACTGGAGCGCCCCTCCCCCTGCTGCCATCTGTGTGCGATCGCTCCTTGCCAAGATATCCATTGCTGGCTCATCCGCTTTTTTTAGAATTCTCAAACAACAGATCCTCCCTTTCGATCCTCCATGCCTTCCTCACCCTACCAGCTTCATCACCAGACGGGCAATTGGAGCGCCCCTACCCCTGCCACCATCTGTGTGCGACCGCTCCTCGGCTTTTGAGACGTCTCAAAGGTCTGTGTGCGACCGCTCCTCGGCAAGATATCCATTGGTGGCACATCCGTTTCTCCTCTCCCCGTCCATCCATCCCCCCTTTCTCCCCCTACCAGCTTCAGCAGCACACAGCCAACTGGAGCGCCCCTCCTCCTGCCGCCATCTGTGTGCGATCGCTCCTGGGAAAGATTTCTTTAGTGGGCTCCTATGGCATGTCCTTCCCCACAGCCCTCGCTGTTATCACTCCTAACAGGTATTTCCAACCACCTTCACGTTCCATGTAGCCTTTTCAAGCGCTACTCATTCTTTTGTCAATGCTTGCTGCACATAGAACAACCTGAGAGTTCCAACCCAGGCGTACTTCCGCACTCCTCTAGCCCAGCTAGTATTCTTTACTTCTGCCTGTGAAGCTTCTTTAACCTTTTGAATATCTTCCCATCCCCCCATCCCTAAACGATTTCTGAGTCCATAAACGAAAAGTAAAGAAAAGAAGGAAAAGAACCTTTTTACCTACAAAGCATATTCAACCTTCCGAATCTCTTCCCATATCTCACCCCATCCCCCCATCCCTCACCCCTCTGCCCGTTCCACTACAGCGTGGTCCTTTCAACCTCCCCCAAGTCCCACCTCCCCCTGCCTGAGGGGTGGTGGGAGTCGCGCCTCTCCTCGCTCATTCCAGGCCTCTCAGTGCATTCTCTACCCTCACCTCCCCCCCCCTGTCCATTCCACTACAGCATGGTCCTTTCAACCTCCCCCAGGTCCCACCTCCCCCTGCCTGAGCGGCAGTGGGAGTCACGCCTCTCCTCGCTCGTTCCAGGCCTTGCAGTGCAGCCGCTCTCCTCCTCCCCCCTCGCCTCCTCTCCTGCTGCTGCTGTTCACCTCATCAAGGTGGGTACTTCTGCTCTTCTACTACTGCTGCTGCTGATGTTATTTTAAGGGTTGAGTAATTCTGGCTCTGCCTTGTAAATCAAATTCTGGCACATGGTTGGTTGTTTGTTTGTTTGTTTGCTTGTTTTTTTTTTGTTCCTTCCCTGGGAGGCTTCTTTTCTGTTTCCAGTCCAGTAACCAGCCTCATGCGCAAGTCACGCACATTCAATAGCATGCATTAAGCATCAAATTTAGCCTGGCTGTTACCCCAGCGGGTTCGTGAATTGCAATAAGTGGTCCAGATTCCACTCGAGTTCTATCAAAGCTCACCTCCTCCCCTCACCTGCTCCCCCTCCCGTCTTTTCCCTCATTAATCAACCCTTCTCCCTCCGTCCCCACCTTTCTGAAACGGAACAGTTTTCCTTGGATGGATCGGACCTGCCCGCACTCTCCAAACAATTAAAGGGCAAGTCTTTGCCGCCCGCCTGCCAGTTACTCGTGGCATTTCCCAAGCCGCTTGCCCAGAAATGGCGCTCGAAGATTTTCGGGCAGCTTGAGAGTTTGAATTTTTATCTGGCAACATGTTTGAGAGAGCCTGGGATAGATGTAGAGCGGTGCTTATTCTTCTCTGTAAAGCATTGCACTACATTATTGCATGTGCAAGTGTAGCACTTCAATGCAATTGCTCATATTGAAGTCGCGTTGTATTGTGTAAAGGTGATGGCTACAATAGGGTACAAGGGATTGCTTGTCGCAATCTTCTGCCTTCATCAGTCGTCTCGTCACCATGCCTTCCTCAAAAGTTGACTTGAGTGGTGGTGTGGTGGTCCTTCACATTACACCTCATCAAACACAGCACAATGTCTACTGTCCGAAGCATTCATATGAGCAATAAACCAGTACTGTACTAAAAAAACACTTCACAATCAATGCGCACAATTATTACCATCATCGTCATCGAGCCTACGCGGATTGAGCGGCCGCGTGTCACCCTCAACCTCTTCCTCATCGTACACATCATACTCCTCTTCCTCCTCCCCCATATCACCATCCTCGTCCTCCTCAAAAACAGCACAACCCCTTCCGTCTGAAGCGCCAAGAGTAAATCAGTTAACATATACCATATGTCATTCACTCGCCACAATCAATGCGCGCGGTTACCATCATGGTCATCATCGTCATCGTCATCATCATCATGCCTCCGCGGATTGAGCGGCCTTGTATCATCATCATCCTCCTCCTCTTCCTCAAACACATCATACTCCTCTTCCTCCTCATCATCCCCCATATCATCATCCTCGTCATCATCCTCCGATTTCAACGGGCCGGCACGAGCAGGCCCGGCAATGACGAAGCTCTTCATGGTTTCGAGGGAGTAGAGGCGGGGGGTGGGCGCGCCCTGCTCCACCCACGCCTCGTACTTGGACTTCTGCGCTTGCCCGTAGTACAGCACTGCAAACACCACCGTCAGTATTGACATCACCGCCCCCACTGCAGGAAAGGTGGAGTGGGAGCGGGGGGTGTGGGATGTGTTGGGTGGGAGGTGGGAAGGAAGGATTGGGGGAGGGCTTCTGCGCTTGCCCATAGTAGAGCAGTGCAAACACCACCGTCAGTATCGACATAAGCACACATTGAAAGGGTAGGGGAGGTGGGGCAGGGAACACAGGAAAGCATAGAGGCATAAATGCATCAACATCAGCACCCAACACACAGCACCTAACACACAGCACTCAATACATGGCACGCACGTACCAATGTAGGTGGAGGTCTTGAGCTGGTAGCACGTGCGCAGCTGGTAGTCGTACTGATAGTTGGTCACCGACTTGTGGTAGTTGTTGAGTGAGCCCCCCGACATGAGACACACCTCCGCTAGGAAGAATGCCACCCTGGAAGCGAGGAGAGGAGGGAAGAGTGGATGGGAAGGGGGTGGAACGATGTGTCTTACCGCCCAACATGAGACAGACCTTTGCGGGGAAGAAGGCCGTACTGGAAGCGAGGAGAGGAGAGGAGGGAGGGGTGGAAGAAAGTCAGGTGAGTGAGGGAGCCCCCTGATTTTGCTGAGGGTGAAATGATGTGACTTGGGTGGTAGAGCCGCCTGACATGAGACAGACCTTTGCGGGGAAGAAGGCCATACTGGAAGCGAGAAGAGGAGAGGAGGGAGGGGTGGAAGAAAGTCAGGTGAGTGAGGGAGCCCCCTGAGGTTGCTGAGGGTGAAATGATGTGACTTGGGTGGTAGAGCCGCCTGACATGCGACAGACCTTTGCGGGAAGAAGGCCGCACTGGAAGCGAGGAGAGGAGAGCAGGGAGGGGTGGGAAGGAGCGGATTGCAAGAGAGGGGATTCGAAGAGACTTGTGGTCGTTGTTGAGTGAGCCCCGTGGCATGAGACACACCTCCGTGGGTAAGAATGCCACCTTGGAAGCCATGAGAGGGGAGGTGAGCGAGAAGGGTGGAAGGAGGGGTTAAAAGTGAGGGGGGGTAATTTAGACTTGTGGTAGCCCGCTGAGGGAGCCAGCCAACATGAGACACACTCTTGGCTCGGAAGAAGGGCGCACTAGAAGAGAAGAGAGAGGCAGGGAGAGAGAGGCAGGGAGAGAGAGTGCAAGGAATCGTGTTTTGAGTCGACTCAAAACAAGAGAGGGGGGTTAATAGAGACTTCGAGCGCCTGCCCGTGCGCGTACTGGATGGTCACACACAGCTGCCCAGCACGCACGGAGGGATGGTTGGCTTGGAGGCTTGCTTGCTCTCAGTGCTCTCACCATGCAAGCGTGTGGCACACGGAAAGGGATGTTTGAGTGATTGCTCTCACCATGCGAGTGTATAACACACGATGCTGACTTTAAGCGCCTGGCCGTGCGCGTACTGGATGGTCACACAGCACACACAGCCGCCCAGCACGGAGATGAGCGCCATACCCGCCGCCAGCAGCATCCCTCCTATGATTCCGAATAGCGTTGCGGTGCTCGACTGGTAACCGCATTCCAGCACTTGGCTCACGTTCGCCTCTGGCGGCACTGTGTACGTCTGCATGGGGGAGAGTGGGGGTTGGGGAAGGGGGGTGATGAAGTGCGTAGGTGTGGGGCTCGACTCGACTGGTAACCGCATTCCAGCACTTGGCTCACGTTCGCCTCTGGCGGCACTGTGTACGTCTGCATGGGGGAGAGATGGTGGGAGGGGGGGAGGGGGAAGAGGGAGAGGGTGGGCGCGGGGAAGGAGGACGCGCTACTTGATAGTGCGTATGACTTTTAAGTTGGTAACCACATGGTAACCTTGTACCGACATTTGCTTCGGGGGTACTGACAATGGCTGCATTGACAGGAGGGAACGGGTAAGAGATACGTTAGCGTTACCAGGACCTTGGAATTGACGTGCGACACTCTCAAAAGCGTCTAACCCTGCCTCGGAATCTCAATAATGAGAACGGCGTGAATTGGAAGGCATTAGGGATGAACATGAAAGAAGCGTTATCTTCGGACTCGCAGGTAATGCGCGGACTCGCACCAATACTAATATCGACAATACGGAAACGCCATTTCGACCTAATGCAGGCGCAACGTTAAGTTGGCTTCTAGGAAGTTTACCCGAAGACAAACAATCCATTAAAATCCATTCGGACTGGACGTGAAACGAAATGGGCGTCGCAGCAAAATAGCTACTAGCAGACCACAAGACTATTGTGACGTAATGCAAGGAGCAATGGGCGTCCCAAATGCTTTCGATGTAAAACAGAACGACTTGGGTTCTAAACGGAAACGAAATGCGCGTCGCACTGACAAAGCGGAAGGCTACTTTGACCTAATGCCGACGCAACGGCATTATTCAAGCGAAACGCGCGCGTCTCATGCGAGTGGCCTTCAGAGGAAAGGGTCGGTTTCCTCGCGCGAATAACCGACACTTAGGGTTATGGGATGTCGCCTAAAAGCGTAGAGCAGAAATCCATAGCGAGGATACCGAGGCCGCATCTGCGAGCTGCTACGTTAATGAGCAGTTAACGACGGGAGGGCTAGTAAAGTGACGACGATGATGATAATCAGCGGGCTTCTTCCGTTATCGTGCTGCCTGCTATTCACCGAAGAGGGGAGTTGCATAGCGAGGATAACGAGGTCGCATTTCCGAGCTGCTACGATGATGAGCGGCACGGCATTGAGCAGTTATCGACGGACAACAACTACCAGGGAAGCGACGACGATAATACTCAACGGACGGCTTCGGTTATCGTGCCGCGCGTTATTCACCGAAGAGGGGAGCAGCATTGCGAGGGGTCTGAGGCTGCATGCAGGAGATGTTACGATAATGAGCGGTACTGAGCGGTTAACGACGGCGCGCTGCGTGTGACTCACAGAAGAGGGGAGCAGCATAGCGAGGAGGCCCAGCGTGCATGCGCCAGCGCCGAGCGCGAGCGTCGCAAGAACGACGAATATGGACGCCTGCGGCCCGACCTGAATCTCATCGGGATCGATCGCCATCGCGCTGCGACTTAGTTATCGTCGCCGCGCACAATGGCGTACGAACGACCCTATAAATAGCGGAGTCGTTTCTAGGCGCTACGCGCTAGCTAATCATAGATGCCAGGTTCCAAACTAGTGCCCTAGCGCTAGGAACGGAACGGAGAGTGCATGCGAGTTGAGTGGATGGCGAAATTTTAGGACTGCTGGTTGTTGTGATGTGCGTCCAGTTTGCATTGCTGCAAACTCAAGGACCAGTGTGGCTAGGGGAAAATTCAAGAGAATACTGTACACGTGATGCTCAACCCCTGTCGAGAATTTTTACAAACATGGAATGGGTCAACATTGCACTGTAATGTTGACAACCGAGGGCTGCAGATGACATTTTTCTCGAGCCAGTGTGGGGATACACAACCTGATTGGCTCTTCTGCCCGCCCTTCTCGGTCAGTCCAGGGCCTCGATAATCCCGTAGACAGAAACTGGGCTAGGTTTCGTACGGACCAATCAGCAGATAGTGCTCTCCGATGCGATACAAAAAACCTTGAGTAACAACATGCAGTTGTCAAGTTGATGATAAAAAACCATTCTACCTTGTTGGATACATAATATTAAACCTTAATTTTACTCAATTTCAGCCAGAGCCTTCTCAATCCTGTCCATGGCTTCCACAAGAACTTCATCAGATGCTGCATACGATATCCTAATGCACTCCGGAGCTCCAAAGGCCTCCCCTGGCACCAACGCCACCTGGACACATTAGGAGGGGCGTAAAAATAGGCCGAAAACAAGCAATGGACATTCTCACATGGTGTACAATGGGTGTGTGCATGGGTGCGGCACATGTACAATGAGGTGTAGGCATCAAGCAGACTGATATGGGCGTGAAGTGATACGATTGCATAGCACGTCAGTGCACACAAGAGGGCGATGTGCATGAAACGAACATTAGGCTGCAGCAATTGCTGTGTCTCCTCCACAACCAAACACTCACCGCAGCCAAACACCGCCTCAGCCATAAACCTACTGCAACAACCTTAGCCTAACAAGTCTGACATGGCATGACAGTCACACCATCCCCGCAATCGTCCCTGTAGTGCGCCCTCAATCTCACCTGCCCCCTCTCCAGCAGGTATTGACACATTGACTCGCTGTCCGTAATCGACCCAAACCCCGGCGATTGCAAGGCAACTCATGCCACGAACCCAAAACCCTGACAGCACCTAGTCCCCCTATCCAGCAGTAGCATCGACTCGCTGTTCGTGATAGACTTAAACCCCCATTCACTCTAAACAGCAGCTACTCTCACCTGCCCCCTCTCCAGCAGGTATCGGCACATCGACTCGCTGTCTGTGATCGGCCCAAACCCCGGGCCCGAACGGCCGTAAAAGGAAGAGACGTCTGGGAAGAGATAGAAGGCCCCCTGGTGGGGTTGGGACAGGTTGGAAGGGGTAGCGTGAGAAAAGATTGGTTATGAGACGACTCAACGGCACATTGACTCGCTGTTCATGATCGGCCCAAACCCCGGGCCTGAGTGGCTGTAGAAAGAGGAGACATTCGGGAAGAGGTAGAATGCTCCCTAGGGTTGGTTATTGGGGAAAGGTGGGGGGGATGGTAAGGGTTGGGAGGATGGGAGTAGAGAGATTTGAGCGGAAAGCGATCGTACAAGGGGGAGACGTCCGGGAAGAGGTAGCAGGCTTTCTAGGTTGGAGGGTGATGCGTGTGCGAGGAGGGGTGGGTGGGTTGGTTGGGAGGGGGAAGCGGGGAAGAGGGATGAAAGGGGAGGAACATGAGATAAGCAGCTGTAGAAGGAGGAAACATCCGGGAAGAGATAGAATGCTCCCTGGGGATGTGATGGGGGAAGGGTGGGAGGGGGAAGAGATACATGAGAGGTGGTATGAAGAGATAGAGTGCTCCCTGGTGTGGTGATGGGGGAGTTGCGAAGGGTGAGACATGAGAAGTGGTATGAAGAAATCAAGTGGAGGGGGGGACGTCTGGGAAGAGATAGTATGCATTCTGGGGTTGATGGAGAATGAGGGTGGGAGGGGGAAGAGGAGAGGGAGGGGGAAGAGGAGAGGGAGGGGTGAACAACGGGCAGACAACGAGAGGTATGAGAGGCGACGAAGAACGGGATATGAGCGATATGCGGGTGAAGGATGTGATGTGGTGGAAGGCCGCCTGGGGTGGTGATGTGGGATGGGTGGTGTGGGAGGGGTGGGACGGGTGGGACTTGAGAGGTGAAGATGGATATGAATGAGTTAAGCTGTGAAGGAAGAGGTGTTTGGGAAGAGATTAAAAGCCCGCTTAGGGTTAGAAGAGGATTTCTTACCCGGGGCACAGCCAATTGGATCTTACGCTTACGTTTACGTTCGCTTACATACGCTCATGCTTTCCAAAGAAAGAGTTAACGTTTCCGGTCAGCCAAAACATTTTCGTGACTGCCCTAGACAGCAAGATCTGTTGGGAGGTACTCCATTTCACTTGTGTGATTCCATCTTACAAAGAATCTTAGCGACCCTGATTTGGCTGATCTGGTACATTTAGGAAAAATCTTACCCCTTGTTGTCCTCATCAATCAACCCAACCAGTGACAATTGCTCGCCACTGACCCAACTCCTCAAATCCAGTGTGTCGGATTTGTTCTCCCCGAGCAAAAAAACTCTTAGCCTGTCCAGCCAACTTTACGCACGTATGTATGTTATGTGTAGATTTACGTCTACGTGACCTAGAAAATCGTAATTGCCCAACTATGATTCAATTCCGGCTATTTACTCCAGTCGAGCAGCACGTCTCGCCGCCTCCTGAAAGCCGCCACCATCTCTGTCAGCGTGGCTATCCGAAGAAACAATACAATCCTGTGGTCAGTTAAAAAGACTCTGGTCAGTTGAAAAGTGGCCTACCTGAGGCACGGCCAGCTTCAACCCGTCTATCTTTTCAAGCCGAGCCACCAGCATGTCTCTCCTTCTCCTGAATGCCTCCACCATCGCTGCCACCGTGGCCCCTCCGCATGGTCCCAGCTGAAACGCTGCCATGGCTGCCTTCTGCGCGATGCTGCTGGCGCCTGACGTGGTCTGGGTGGGAGAAGGTGGGTGGCGGTGAGGGGTGGCATTCGGTGATGTGGGGGTGGGGAACGATAAGGAGTTGCATTGGGTCCGCCCTCCACACGCTCCCAGCTGGAACGCATGATGTGATGTGGGCGTGGGAAACGATATAGGAGGGGGGTGGGGGGGGAAGGGGGGGGGGTGGGCATTGGTCCGCCTCCACACGCTCCCAGCTGGAACGCATGATGTGATGTGGGCGTGGGAAACGATATAGGAGGGGGGTGGGGGGGGAAGGGGGGGGGGGTGGGCATTGGTCCGCCTCCACACGCTCCCAGCTGGAACGCATGATGTGATGTGGGCGTGGGAAACGATATAGGAGGGGGGTGGGGGGGGAAGGGGGGGGGTGGGCATTGGTCCGCCTCCACACGCTCCCAGCTGGAACGCTGCCAGGGCTGCCTTCGGAGCGATGCTGCTGGGCTGACGCCCGATGTGGTCTGATGGGGTTGTGTGATATAAGGAGAGGGAGAAGTTGAGGGAGGAGAGCCCAGCCCCCCCCCCACACGGGCCCGCTGCTAGAGTTGCCCTCTGAGCGATGCAGCTGTCGCCTGGCGTGTTTGTGGGAAGGAAATGAGAGGTGTGCCCCGTCCACCCCGCTGCCAGGTCTGGGGGAGAAGCGGGGGGTTGTGGGAAGGAAACGGGGGAGGCATTGGAGCAGCGTTCCACACCCACACGTCCCAGCTGGAATGCTGCTGGAGCAGACTTCTGAGCGTTCCAGCCTTCTGAGTGAAACACGTCCAGACTGTGTGGGAGGCTGGAACGCTGCTGGAGCAGACTTCTGAGCGATGCTGCTGGCGCCTCATGTGGACTGATGGGGGCGTGAGGAGAGGAAGTAAGGATGAAGGTTTGGGAAACGGAGGGTTTAGGGTTGGGCATCCGCCCCTCACGACCCCATACGACCCTTTCCCAGCCCCACCAGCCCTGGATTCAATTGCATGCTGCTGCAAACGGCTTGATTGTCCATCACAGCTCCTCACAACTCCTCACACAACACCCCTCACAGCCCTTCACGACCCTCATATCACAGCCCTTCACGACCCTCATATCATAGCCCTGCACAACCCCTCCCAGCTCCACCTGGCTCTGGATGCGGTTAGGTGCTGCTGCAAACCGCTTGACTGTCAATCACAACCCCACCCAACCCCTCTCAGCCCCTCTTAACGCCTCCCCAGCCCCACCTGGCTCTGGATGCGGTTAGCGGCTGCTGCAAACGGCTTGGGAGCTGCGAGATAGCCCAGGCGCCAGCCAGTCATGGCGAAGGCCTGTGAGGGAGGCGAGGGACAGAGCAGGGGGGGTAGGGGGTAGGGGGGAAGGGGAGGTGGGGAGGTGGGGAGGGGGGCAAGGAGGAGAGGGGGATTGGGAGCGCTGGCTTGGGTTGGGAGCTGCGAGACAGCCAAGGCGCCAGCCTGTCATGGCGAAGGCCTGTGAGGGGAGAGGATGAGAGAGGGTAAGAAGGAGGGGGTAAAGGGGAAGGCAAGAAAGAGGGGGGATTGGGAGCGCTGGCTTGGAAGCAGCGAGATAGCCCAGGCGCCAGCCTGTCATGGCGAAGGCTTGTTTAGGATAAGGGAAGAGGGAGAGAAACGGGGGTAGTAGAGGTGGGAAATGGGGAGTGGGAAACGTATGGTGCTGCAAAAAAGTCATTTACTGGCAAACGCCTGGTGTTTGACATTTGCTGAAAAGAAGCTACATACCTTGGAGAAGCCGTTGACGAGTCGATTTTTGAGTCGACTCAAAAATCGACTCAAGCTACAGACCTTGGAGAAGCCGTTGACTGTGAGTGTGCGCTCCCACATGCCGGGCAGAGCAGCGAAGCTCACGTGCCGAGCTGGTGGGTAGATGATGTGCTCGTAGATCTCGTCTGCTAGCACCTGGATGTAAGGAGATGGAGGGGCGAATGTGCAGTGCAGAGGACGAGAAGGCATGAAAGGGATGGAAGCGACGGAGGGAGGGCATGGATAGAGCTGGTGGGTAGATGATGTGCTCGTACATCTCGTCTGCTAGTACCTGTGTGGGGGGCTTGGCGGAGGATGAGAGTTGCAGAGGATGAGGAGGCACGAGGCGGGGGTGAGAGCGGCTTGCAGGGACCGACACTAACTCACCTCACCCAGAGACTCCAAAGCTCACCAAGAGCCGAGGGTGTTGGGCCACCACGTCTGCCAGTTCTTGCAGGTGCTCTGGGGAGTACACAGCTCCCGTGGGGTTGGAGGGCGAGCAGAGGATGAGGAGGCGCGAGAGAGTGTGGCTTGCAGGGACCAGCACTGACCAGACACGAGAACAAAACTCACCAGCAATCGGGGGTGTTGGGCCACCACTTCCGCCAACTCTTGCAGCTGCTCTGGGGAGTAGACGGCTCCAGTGGGGTTGGAGGGCGAGCAGAGGATGAGGAGACGGGAGGCGGGGGTGAGAGCGGCTTGCAGGGCGGAGGGGGAGAGGAGGAAGGAGTGGGCCGTGGTGGTGGGGAGGACGACGGGCGTGGCTCCCACGAGTTTAGCCATTTCAGGGTAGGACACCCAGTAGGGCGCTGGGATGATGACCTGTGGGGGGGCCGGGTGCGGAAGAGGCAAGTGTGGAGGGAGGCGAGGGTAGTGCAGGAGTCAGCATGTCATGTGGCAGTGGCAGCATGAATGCTCACGGGTGTGGCTCCCACGAGTTTAGCCACGGAGGGGATAGAAGAGGATTAGGGAGCAGCAGCAGCGGTAGTGGCTCCAACTAGGCGAGGCATCTCAGGGTAAGACAGACAGTTAGCAGGGAGCAGGGATGACTTTTGAGACGTCTCAAAAGTTAGCAGGGAGCTGGGATGATGAAGGAAAAGTGGGGGAGTGGGTGGGGGAAAGTGGGAGTGGTGGGGAAAGGGGAAGAGCTCGGACCCCATTTCACCTCGTCTCCAAGTCACCTCGTCCCCATATCCCATTTCTCATCACCCCTTGGAACACAGCTTGCTTGGCTGGTAAGGCTGAGCATGGTATGGCTCTGCTACTCCCCATGCCGTCTCATTCCCCCGTGCCCCGTCTCACCTCGTTCCCCGCACTGCAAGTGGCCATCACCCCTTGGAACACAGCTTGCTTGGCTGATGTGGGGTTGAATCGAATCACCCTTGCACCCACGCACCTTCATCCCTCACCTTGTCCCCGTCTTACTAACCTCGTCCCCCGCACTGCACGTGGCCATCACCCCTTGGAACACGGCTTGCTTGGCTGATGTGGGGTTGAGTCGAATCACCCTTGCACCCACGCACCTTCATCTCTCACCTTGTACCCGTCTTACTAACCTCGTCCCCCGCACTGCACGTGGCCATCACCCCCTGGAACACGGCTTGCTTGGCGCCGTTGGTCACCACTACTTCCTCTGGCGAGTAGGTCAGCCCGTTCTCCGCTGGGAAAGGGAGGGAGGGCGTTGGAGGGAGTAAAAGCGGGGGGGGGGGGGACAAAGGGACGGGACAAGGCAATGAGACGGCCTGCTTGGCGCTATTGGCGCTATTGCCCCAACCTACTCTTGAGCTTCTCGCAGATGGCAGAGCCGCAGAGCGACCTACTCCAGAGAAGACCACCCTCCCTCGTCCCCATATCCCACTCCAGTGCCCTGGCAGAGAAGACCACCCTCCCTCGTCCCCATATCCCACTCCAGTGCCCTGGCAGAGAAGACCACCCTCCCTCGTCCCCATATCCCACTCCAGTGCCCTGGCAGAGAAGACCACCCTCCCTCGTCCCCATATCCCACTCCAGTGCCCTGGCAGAGAAGACCACCCTCCCTCCCTCCCACGGCTTGACCAGACCACCCTCCCTCCCTCCCACGGCTTGACCAGACCACCCTCCCTCCCTCCCACGGCTTGACCAGACCACCTCTTCCCCGACCCTTACCCATTTCTCTTTGTCAACCACCCACGAGCCACCCAACTCACTCTAGAGCTTCTCGCAGATGACCGCTCTGGCTTCAGAGTGCCCTGGTTGGTTGGCCACCCACCCACCCACCCACGGCTTGACCACCATCACTCACCCTCCCATCCCATCCCCTACCCATCCTGTCAACCACCCACGAGCCACCCAACTCACTCTCGAGCTTCTCACAGATGGCCGCTCTGAGCTCCAGGGTGCCCTGGTTGGGCGCATAGCGTGTGAAGCCCTGCCGCAGAGCCGCCACTCCTGCCTGGAGGGGGGGTGGGGGGGGGGAGAGAGGAAGGGAGGGAAGGGTGGGTGTGTGTAGTAGTGGGGGGATGAAGTGTGGGGGAGTGAATGATGATCCTGGTTGGGCGCATAGCTGAGTGAGGCCCTGCCACAGAGCCGCCACTCCTGCCTGGTGGGTGGGTGCAGTGCGTGTGATTGTAGCGGGGGGGTAAGTATCGCACCGATGAGAATGGTGAGTGAAGTGAAGGGTGGAGAGAAAAACCGATTTCCTTCACCTTGCTTCCCCCTACCTTACTCCCCTTTCCCTTACTTCCGTTCCCCTCCCTCCCGTTCCCCTTACTCCCGTTCCCCATACTCCCGTTTCCCTTATCCCCGTTCCCCTTAATCCCGTCCCCTTACCCCCATTCCCCTCACTCCCTAGTCCCGCTCCCCGTATTTCCGTTCCCCTCACTCCCGATCCCTTCAGTCCCCTTCCCCTTACTCCTGTTCCTCTTACTACAGTTCCTCTTAAATCCCATCCCGTTTTTCTTACTCCCCTTTCCCTTACCCCCATTCCCCTTACTCCCTAGTCCCGCTCTCCGTATTTCCGTTCCCCGTGCTCCTGTTCCCCTCACTCCCGTTCCCCTTCCCGTTCCCCTTACTCCCTTTAACCCTTACTCCCCTTCCCCTTACTCATGTTCCCCTTACTCCCGTTCCCCTCACTCCCATTCTCTCCACTCCCGTTCCCCTTACTCCGATTCCCCTCACTCCCATTTTCCCCGCTCTCATTCCCCTCACTCCCACTCTCCGTGTTCCAATTCCCTTCCCTCGCTCACCCCATCCGCCTCTCCTCCCTCCCTCACGCACCTCCACAATCTCCTTGGGGGTGTCGAAATCCAGTTCCCCCGCGGCCAGCTCAATCAGCGGTAACGCCCTGCGCCTTGAGCGCCCTCTTCCTCCCTCATTGTGCTCTCTCGCATTGCTCCCACCCCCTTATCCCCCGCCTCCATTTTCCCAGCCTCCCATTCCCCTCACCCGCTCACCCCGCTCATCCCCCCCCTCACCTCCACAATCTCCTTGGGGGTGTCAAAGTCCGGTTCCCCGGCGGCCAGCTCGATCAGCGGAACGCCCTGCGCCTTGAGCGCCCGCGCCGCGTCCGTCAGTTGCGCCGTGCGCGACGCCGCCAGCCCCGCCACCACCGGGTTCAGCGCCGTCAGCGCATTCTCCCCCCCCCCCGTCCGCGCCAGCGTCTGCGCGCGCGCGCGCGGGGCCGGGGGCAGGCCGGGGGTGCTCTCGCTGCAGCTGCGCGGGGAGGCACGCAGAGGGGAGAGCGGAGACTCCGCCGCCGATCATGGCGGCGGAGCGGAGATGCGCTGCTTGGCGCGGAGGGGCGGGGCGCGCACTGACAGCAACGAGCGCAGACTGGCGGCATTGGGGGAGGCAAGGGGAAGAGGGTTGGGATTGAGGGGAAGAGGAAAGAGATGTGAGGGGAAGGAGGAGGAGGGGGGAAGTTGAAAAAGGGAAAAGGGGGACGGAGGTATGGGGGAAAGGGGAAGGTACGAAGCCATAAGGCAGGGTAGCGCAAGAGATGGGTTGCGCAACGAGGCGAAGGAGTGTACCGGAGAGGCGCAACGAGGGGCGAGCGTAGCGCTATGCATGGCTCGAAATGCGCCCGCTCGACGATTTCGCAGCGGATTCGAATGCGCAGAGGTAGGCAGAGGCGCAGAAACTACTTCTGTGCTGCTCAGCGTAAATGGTTGGGCTGCTTCCTGCCAAAATGCGACATTAGGCGCAGGGTTTTCCGCATTTCGGGGTTTTGCGAAATGGGCACGTCCCAGCGGCCACCGAAAGATGTTACAGTCTACACCTGTCTTTGCGGTTTTTTACAAGTTGAGAAGCTAATGTGCTTCAATTGAGGTTTGTGTGATTGTTGGAAAAAAACATGATAAACCATCATAATAATGAGGAAAAAATCCTAATTATTTGTAAAACAAACTATTTGGGTGATTTGAAAATGAGCTTATGATATATGACAGATTCCAGATCGCTATAAATGATACCGAGTCACTACACATCCCGTCGAGTGAATACTACCACGCGCACACCCACATCACTCCCTTCTGACACAACACATCCTCCCCTACCTATTTTCTGACACGCAGATTTCACGGAGGAAGCAGGATCCTAGAGGAAGCAATCTAGATGCTCGTGCTCGGTACTGCGGCACTCGCACTGAGCTGACCGTGTTCCGACATCTTTGTCCATTTAGCAGGTTCCTGCAGTCGTGACGCGACGCAGATTCCACATTATTTGTAAGAAACCAGAAGAGCTTCAATAACCGCATCCTACGGCCCCGACCGTCAGTCTTTTCGTCGGTCCGTAGTCCCGTTTTCCGTCGCCTTCGACAATTCTCGATTCGAAAGCAAACCAGAAACCAGACGAGATCTTGTAACCCATTCTATGCTCTAGACCGTCGGTCTATAGTGCCGCTTTCCGTTGATCGAATCAGATTTTCGACTCGACCCAAAAGTCGTCCGAATGTAGTGCCGCTTTCCGTCGTTCGGATCTTGACCGGTTCGCGTAGCGGGCTCTCCCCGCGTTCCGTCGCAGCGAAATGGACGCGAGCGACGGCGAATCCGTCGCACAAGCGACTCATGCGACGGGCGAGGCCGCAAGCCTGCCATTAAATCGCGGCGAACCGTCATCGCTCACCAAGAGAACCACCTCCCACCCTCCGAGCGTCCTACCTTCCTTCCTGCCGTCGTTTCATCCCTCGTCCCTCCCTTCGTCCCTCCCTTCGTTCCTCCCGTCGTCTCTTCCGTCGTCCCTCCCATCATCGCTCTTCCCCTCGTTCCTCTTCTCCGCCGCCCACAAGCCCGCCATCATCGTCGTCGCGCTCTTCCTCGCCTGCCACGTCGTCTTCTTCCTCGAGTTCCCCGTCTCCTTCCGCCTTCCGCACACCGCTGTTATCGAGGAAGCCCATAACGAAGCAGCGCCGACCGGGCTAGTAGAGGACAGTAGAACCAGCAGTACTCTTTTTGGTAGTAGCAGCAGCAGCACTACTAGTGTTCCTATTAGCGTTACTACTTCTCGGATTGGAGATTCATCTTATGGCGACGTATCGATACCCGTTATAAGCCTCCTCGGGATTTCTGATTCCTGCCTCCGCCTCTTTCGCGAAAGGGCCGACAACAGCTTTCCTGATTTCGCCGGTAACAACACTTTTGCCCACTCTAACGCCACGAAGATATCCGATGCCGCTGGCAGCAGCAGCACGGCAGCAGGTGGATCTCGGTCTTCCGCGGGCGGAAGTGCAGCGGAGTTAGACGCGTGTCGAACACGCCTCCTCGAGGCCTTTCGGCGGCTGGCCCTTCGCGCTCAGCGGGCGGAGCAGGTGGCGCAGGGGGCGCGTGCGGAGCAGGCGGGGGCGGAGGAGGGGGAGAAGGGGGAGCAGGGAGAGCAGGCGGAGAAAGGGGTGCAGGGGGGGCAGGAGGGGGAGGAGGATAAGGTGCAACTAACGACGCTTAAATCCGAGGCTAGCAGCACCACCGAGCCACCCACTGCGGCTAGTACTAGCAACAACACCGAGCCTCCAACCGAGGCTATTAGCAATAACACCGAGCCTCCGACCGAGGCTGAGGTGGCGGAGCAGCAGGGTGGTTCGGTGGGGCAGGTGTGTTCGGAGGGTTGGAAACGCGGTGTGCTGGCACGCGCTGCCGGCAGCAGCTACATCCGAGCGGCTGTAGCGGCGAATTCAGGGACGAATGAGAACCTCGGAGCAGCTGTAGCAGCGAGTATGGCGGGAATAGAGGGCATTGCGGCGGGTATAGATGAAGTGTGTGCGGGGGTGAAGGAGGTGGAGAGGCGTCTGGTGGGTGGAGGGCAGGAGAACGGCTGTCACGGGGGCGACGGGAGTGATGCAAACGATAAGAGCGGTGGGAGTGGCGGGATTGGTGGGAGTGGCGGGATTGGTGGGAGTGGCGGGATTGGTGGGAGTGGCGGGATTGGTGGGAGTGGCGGGATTGGTGGGAGTGGCGGGATTGGTGGGAGTGGCGGGATTGGTGGGAGTGGCGGGATTGGTGGGAGTGGCGGGATTGGTGGGAGTGGCGGGATTGGTGGGAGTGGCGGGATTGGTGGGAGTGGCGGGATTGGTGGGAGTGGCGGGATTGGTGGGAGTGGCGGGATTGGTGGGAGTGGCGGGATTGGTGGGAGTGGCGGGATTGGTGGGAGCAAAGAGCGATGCAAGCAGTGGCCTGAAAGCTGCTGGCCGGTTCCTGGGGTGCCTCTTTCCCTCTCACACGTACGTGAGTGCTGCTGCCGCCCGCCCCTCTCTCCCTGTCAGACGCAAGTGCGTCCTGCTTCCCCCACCCCCCCACCCTGACTAGTCTGGGAGTTCCTCTTTCGCTCTCACACGTACGTGAGTGCTGTTGCTCCCCGCGCCTCTCTGCTCCCCGCGCCTCTCTGCTCCCCGCGCCTCTCTGCTCCCCGCGCCTCTCTGCTCTCTCGCCCTCGCTTCCTGGTCTTTGGCCTCAAAGCCTCGCACTCCACCCATGCTCGCCTACTGATGTGCCCCACTGACCGCCCTCCTTTCCTCTTTCCACCCCATATCCCCCACCCCTGTTCCCTGTGTGTGCTGCAGGCCATCTCTCGCCCCCGCGTCCTTGTCATTGGCCTCACAGACCAACCCCCCATCCACGCTCGGCTGTACCACCCCTCTTTCCCGCCTATCTCTCCCCACCCCTGTTCCCTGTGTGTGCTACAAGCCGGCTATCCCCCCCCCACAAACCTGGTTGCTTCCTGGTGTTCGGTTTCTCGGACAAGCAAGCCACCCACGCTTGACTGTACCACCCACCTTGCCCTCTTTCCCGCCTATCTCCCCACCCCTGCCCCCAACCCACAGAAGACCCCCTCCCGCCCTCGCTTCCTGGTGTTTGGCTTCTCAGGCAAACCAACCACCCTTGCGCGGATGGATGTGGTGGAGGCAGCGAGGATAGCCCACATGGCCGGCCGCATTCTGGTGCTGCCCAAGGTACTTTTTGTGCCTGTGTGTGTGGAGGGGGGAGAGTGGGGGGTGGATTAGCACTACTGAGGGGATGCACACGTACAGGCTACACCACCCTCGCCAAGGGCCGTCGGTCTGCGCACATACAGGCCACCCCACCCTCGCTCGGCTGGATGCGGTGGAGGCAGCGAGAATAGCCCACATGGCCGGCCGCATTCTGGTGCTGCCCAAGGTGAGATGGCCGGCAGATAGGTGTGTGTGTGTGGTGTGGGTGTGTGTTTTCACCAAGGGCCGTCGGTCTGCGCACATACAGGCCAACACACCACCCACCACCCACGTGCGGCTGGATGTGGTGGAGGCAGCGAGGGTAGCGCACATGTCCGGGCGCATTCTGGTTCTGCCCAAGGTGAGATGACAGGGCGATGCTTTTGAGCTGAGAGGGGAGGAGGGGGAGGGGAGGGGGGGTAAGCACTGCTGAGTCATGCACACACAGAAACCACCCTCGCTCGGATGGATGTGGTGCAGGCAGCGAGGATAGCCCACAGATCCGGGCACACACACACACACACACGCACACACACACACACACACACACACGCGCACACACACACACACACACACACACACACACACGCGCGCGCGCGCACACACACACACACACACACAAGCGCACTCACATCTCATCCCACCCTTTCTCATCCCACACAGTCGCATCTTGCATCAGTCTCATCCCTCACACTGCTATTGCATTCTCTCCCTCTCTCCCTCTCCTAACACCAGGTAGGAAACAACGAGATCTCTTTCGCGCGCTCCCTGCCCCTCTGCGCCTACTGGGACCTCTTCAACCTCTCCCAAGCCGCCAGGCCTATGGTTGACAACCTCAAATTCAAAAACAGACCAAAGAACGACACTCCTACCGCCTCCCAAGCCTCTGGGTCGCCTGGGGAGCTGCCGAGCCTGCCCCACGTGGCTTGGATGTCGCCGGACCTCTTCCTGCTGCTCGCCCGCGCTGCTGCTGCTGCTGCTGCTGCTGCTGCTGCTGGTGCTGCTGCTGCCTCTCCCCCAACCGACGGCTCTGATACCAGTGGCTCGAATTTCACTTCAGATGTTTCGGGCGTTGCTGGGCTGAGAAGCCCCGCGGTGGGCTTTGTGTGGGTGCAGTCGCGGCACGCCCAGCAAGCTCCCTTTTGCCATGGTGAGTGCCTTGCCTTGCCATGGTGAGTGCCTTGCCTTGCCATGGTGAGTGCCTTGCCTTGCCATGGTGAGTGCCTTGCCTTGCCATGGTGAGTGCCTTGCCTTGCCATGGTGAGTGCCTTGCCTTGCCATGGTGAGTGCCTTGCCTTGCCATGGTGAGTGCCTTGCCTTGCCATGGTGAGTGCCTTGCCTTGCCATGGTGAGTGCCTTGCCATGGTGATTGCCTTGCCTTGGTTTGTATTCACCTGCTTCGTCTGTGCTGGGAGTTCCTTCCATGGTATCCACCTGTACGTATGGGCCTCTCCTCTTCAACACTCTCACCTCCTTCCTATCCCTGCCCTCCCCTCCCCTTCCTCCCCACCTCCCCTCCTCCCCTCCCCTGTCTCTTCCAGAGCCCCTCTCAGCCATCATGGGCCATCTATTGCCATACGCCATGGCTCACGTGCCTCTCCCCTCCAACGCTCTCTCTCAACTCCCTTCTCCCTCCCTTTTCCCCACCCCCCTGTCACCATCAGAGCGTCTATCAGCCATGATGGGCCATCTACTGCCATACGCCATGGGCCACGTACCTCTCCCCTCCAACACGCTCGACCTGCACCTTCCGGTGCGAGGCGACACCGTTCAAGTTCTCATGCAGGCTTGGTGAGTCCGAGCCCTTCGTAGGCTTGGTGAGTCCGAGCCCTTCGTAGGCTTGGTGAGTCCGAGCCCTTCGTAGGCTTGGTAAGTCTGAGCCTGCTTTGCAGGTACAGTAATTACGAATGGAATCTGTTCAGTGCAGGTACTTCGAGCACTGAGTTCGTAAGTAAAGGCTGCCGTTGGTTTTGTGCAATATCCAGAGGTTGTGCTCGTCGAGCTCAGTGGCCCTGTAGGGAGTCACATGGTCAGTCCAAGGCTGAGTTGCAGGCATGGTCAGTCCAAGGCGGATTTGCAGGCATGGTCAGTCCAAGGCGGATTTGCAGGCATGGTCAGTCCATCCAAAGCGCATCCCCCTCGGATCTACGCGGGCAAGTGAGGGACATGATGTGATGGTGTGTGGCTCAAGGCAACGAAGTCCCAGGTCATTTTTACTTGACTCATGACACTTGACCTCACTCCTCATTCCGCATTCCTCATTTCTCATTTCAGGCAAGACAAGGGCATGGTGGTGTGGGTGGGGCTTGAAGGCAGCAGCAGGCATGGTTGAGTTCGACCCTCCGACAAAAAAGCCTCGCCTTGGCCTCGTCCCACCCTGCATTTGTTGCTCTCTCTCGTGTCTCATGTCTCATGTCTCATGTCTCGCTATCCTCCTTCCTACCTGCGCAGGCAAGACAAGGACGTGGTGGTGTGGGTGAAGGCAGCGGCAGGCATGGTCGAATTCGACCCACCCACAGGCAGCCTCACATTCGACTCCTCCCACTCCTCATCTCTTGATTTCTCATGCCTCGTGTTCCCCTGCCCTCTTCTTACCTATCCAGGCACGATAAAGACGTGGTGGTGTGGGTGAAGGCAGCAGCAGGCATGATCGAATTCGACCCACCCACAGGCAGCCTCGCCTTGGACGCTCTGCCCTACAGCAGGCAGCTGCATGTACTCGCTACAAGGCTGCTCGGTGCTCTGAATAAGAGTGTCATGGCCGTGCGCTTGCAACCTGACGTGATCTCGTGGAGAGTGGTGAGCCAGTGAACAAAGGGGTAGGGGAAAGAAGGGAAAGAAGGGAAAGAAGGGAAAGAAGGGAAAGAAGGGAAAGAGGGAAAGAGGGAAAGTGATAACTGGGGGAAAGAGGGGATTGAGGGAAGCACGAAGCATAAAGTGGGGAAGAGGAGAGAAGATGGAAAGGAGAGAAAAGGAGAAACAAGAGGAATGAAACGAATAACGAGGGAGAGGGGTAGAAAGGAAGGAGTAAAAGCAGAGAAGTATCAGTGAAAAACCTGTGAAAAATGTGCAATGTGCTCTCACTTGCTCCATCTCCCCCATTTCCTTACCCCGATCTCCTCACGGCTGCAAACAGCAGAAGGAACCGGAGCAGCAAAAGGGACTCCTTATTTTTTAGGCTTCTCACAACATTCCACTTCTTCCCCCACTGCTGTGTCAACCCAAGCAGGAGAAATCGGGGCAGCAAAGAGCAAACTCCCCCTCCCTCTCTTCCTCCCTTCCCGTCCTTTCTCGCCCGCCTCTGCAGTGTCGCCCAACAGGAAGGAGGAAGCATCAAAGAGCCATATTCTTCGTTTGTGAGACGTCTCAAGACCCTGCGAATGTGAGACGGATCAAACATTCACATATCACCCCGTCTCACATTTGAGACAAATCAAACCTATACATATCCCTCACTTCCCCACCTCCCCACCAACCACCCCTTTTTTCCCCACCACCCCATCGTACCAAGCAGAAGCGAGAAGCGGAGCAGCAAAGAGCAAACGCTTCAGCAGGGCAGCAGGAAGGCTTGGAACAGCCAGGCTCGGAGCAGCAAGGCTCGGATCAGCCAGGCTCAGTGAATCCAGGCTCGGAACAGCCAGGCTCAGAGCAGATAGGCTCGGAGCAGCCAGGCTCGGAACAGCCAGGTTTGGAGCAGCCAGGCTCGGAGTACCAGCATCAGGTGCAGCGGCAGTTTCAGCAGCAGCTGCAGTGGTGTGTGAACTCGTCCGTGGGTAAAGCAAGAGTGGTTCGGGAGTGGGTATCGGTTCGAACCGTGATTGTTGCTGCTGATGTGTTGAGCAAGAGTAGGGTGAAAGGAGGAGGGGAAGGCGGGGAAGAAGGGGAAGGAGGGGGAGGAGGGGGAGGAGGAGGAGGAGGAGGAGGAGGGGGAGGAGGAGGGGGAGAGGAGCAAGTGCAACAATGGATGCAGGGGTGTCAGAAGCTGTAGCAGCAGTAGCATCCGTATCATCGGTAGCAGGAGGGGCCTCAGGAGCAGCAGCAGCAGAAGAAGAAGAGGCAGCACGTTGGAAAGACTCGGAGCAGCAGTTTGCGATCCAGAGCAAACAAGGCAACGAGAGCAACGAGAGCAACGAGAGCAACGAGAGCAATGACACTGGTGTTGCTGACGTGGCACTGAAGGAGATGGCAGGGATGCGAGAGCGAATCAATTACACACCGTCACAATCAACGAGCTCCTGCCAGCTGTCGCAAGATATGATCCCGGTGAGTTGGAGAACTAGGATAATGTTTTTTTTTTTTTTTTTTGGCCAGAACAAATCCCTCTCATCCCCACTCGTCCCCTCCCATCCTTACTCATCCCCGCTCATCCCCACTCATTTCCACTCATCCCCACTCATTTCCACTCATCTCTGCTCATCGCCACTCATTTCCACTCATCCCCACTCATTTCCACTCATCTCTGCTCATCGCCACTCAACCCCTACTTAAAGCGACGGTGCACTTTTAAACTAGGGTTCTGAAAATAATTCTTTTGACAAGGTTTGCCAGTGCAAAAGTGCTGGTTGGCGAAAATATAGAATATTTGCCAACCCTTTTCTTCCGCAGTAACATTTTGCCAGGATTCAGGGTTTCGGGTGTCAAATGTAGACTGCTGTTTTAACCCCTCATCTGCACTCAATGCCACTGATCTTCCCCTTCTTTCCTGGGATTCAATCCCTGTGTGGTGGCGATTCTTGGCAAGCTGTGTGCCCTCATGTTGGTGCTCTAGCTATTCCTCCTCCTTTACCCGCCTCCATTCTCGTTTGATCCCTCTCACAGGTGTTGTGGCTATCCTTGACAAGCTTGCGTGCTCTTATGCTGATGTCCTCTTAGCAGCGTCGACAAGATATGGCGTACGACAGCGTCTGTCATGGACATTTTAACCATTCAACCCCTCTCAACCCCACTCGTCCCCTGCCATTGATTACTCAAACAGGAGTGTTGGCGATTCTTGACAAGCTTGTGTGCTCTTATGCCGATGTTCTCTTAGCCGCGTCGACAAGATGTGGGGGCATGACGGCAGACGATATGGACATTTTCAATCACAGATTGTGGCTCAATAAACCAAATAAGTCACTCGTCATGTGGGGCTATAACATGCCTAAATTCGACTGAAGATGCTACTGTAGCAATGAAAGGACGAGCATGCGTAAATCATGCGGCGTTACATATCGTTCAGCCATAGGCTGTGGCTCAATAAGTTGTATAAGTGATCTTTACCTACATGTGGTCACTGCATACCTACAGTGCCGGTATGTTTGATTGCAATTTATTTCCACCACAAAATTTGATGCCAAACCTTGGAACGAGTAGTAAAAGAAGCGTGTGTGTGCGCAATATTAACACGGCATCATGTAAACACAAATGAAAGCCTTACACAGATATAGCAAGGGTGGGCGGGAGGGAGGGACCCTAGCTAGGCGGGGACAGCACAGGTTGAGCACACCGAAGTCCGAGGCAACACGAGATAGCCTCGAAAGTCGAGGTTTCTGGTTCGGGCCGAGCTTGCCATTCCAAAAGCCACACTCGGCACCATCATCCAGTCCCTCTCCCCTCCCCACCAGCCCCTCTCCCCTCCCCACCAGTCCCTCTCCCCTCCCCACCAGCCCCTCTCCCCTCCCCACCAGTCCCTCTCCCCTCCCCACCAGCCCCTCTCCCCTCCCCACCAGCCCCTCTCCCCCTCCCCACCAGCCCCTCTCCCCTCCCCACCAGCCCCTCTCCCCTCCCCACCAGTCCCTCTCCCCTCCCCACCAGTCCCTCTCCCCTCCCCACCAGTCCCTCTCCCCTCCCCACCAGTCCCTCTCCCCTCCCCACCAGTCCCTCTCCCCTCCCCACCAGTCCCTCTCCCCTCCCCACCAGTCCCTCTCCCCTCCCCACCAGTCCCTCTCCCCTCCCCACCAGTCCCTCTCCCCTCCCCACCAGTCCCTCTCCCCTCCCCACCAGTCCCTCTCCCCTCCCCACCAGTCCCTCTCCCCTCAGTCCCTCTCCCCTCCCCACCAGTCCCTCTCCCCTCCCCACCAGTCCCTCTCCCCTCCCCACCAGTCCCTCTCCCCTCCCCACCAGTCCCTCTCCCCTCCCCACCAGTCCCTCTCCCCTCCCCACCAGTCCCTCTCCCCTCCCCACCAGTCCCTCTCCCCTCCCCACCAGTCCCTCTCCCCTCCCCACCAGTCCCTCTCCCCTCCCCACCAGTCCCTCTCCCCTCCCCACCAGCCCCTCTCTCCCCTCATTGGCAGGACCAGCGTGCTTCACCTTCTTCCTCACAGCACCAGCTGCTTCCCTCCTCCGCTCTCTCTTCAGCCCATTATCCACTCCTTCACGAGCAGCACACTCACTCTCGAGCACACCACCCCCCAACCCACTCACTCTGCTGCTTCTACAGCTGAAGCACCACCAACACCACCATCTGCCCCCTCGCCCCCTTAGGCCGGGGCGTCCTGCTTGGCCTTCTTCCTGGTAGCAGCGGCCTCCCTGCGCTCCCTCTTGAGTCCCGTCTTCCTCATGAGACCTCCTGCTCTTCCTAGAGCCACCGTCATGCAAATCACTACTCCTGAGCGCCACCAGCACCACCATCAACCCCCTCTCCCCCTCTCCCCTCGCCCCCCTTGGCCGGAGCTGGGGCGTCCTGCTTGGCCTTCTTCCTGGCAGCAGCGGCCTCCCTGCGCTCCCGCTTGAGCCCCTTCATCTTCATCAGCGACATCGACCCCACCTGCTGCTTCGGCATGTAGATGCGCCCTACCTTGCCCTTGATCATATCCGACTTCACGTTCTTGATCTGCCAGGTGGGGGGAGGGAGAACGGGGGAAGAAGAATGGCCGGCAAGGCACAGAAATGAAGGGGGTGTGGTTTTGAGAGGCATGCCTCCACGCCCCCATATCCCCATCCACACCCGCTTCCCATTCCCCATTCACCCTTTTCCACAATCCCTCTTCCCCCCTCCTCACCTTCTTCTCCTGCCCAAGCTTCACTGCCCGCATCGCCTCCTTCCTCAGCTCCTCCCCGGGCAATCTCGTCCGTCGGATCTCAAAGTCAATGGACGGCCCGATGGGCACGAGCACCACCCGCGGGACCTTGGTGCCCGACCTCTTGAGGCGGATGGCACAGTGCCGAAATAGCACCTGGAACGAGGGGGGGCGTGCGTGTGGACAGTTGGGGAGGAATTCAGTATTGCTTGCGGGTACGACGGACGGCCCGATGGGCACGAGCACCACCTGCGGCACCTTGAAGGAGCGGGAGGTTAAGCCATCAGTGACTCTAGGTTGAAAGAAGGGGGGAGGTAGGGCGAGCGAGGAATGCAGAGTAAAGAAGACAGCATAGTGATTGTGTTGTCCCTGCCTCGCTTTACAGGAAGTAGTTGGCTACCTTGCCGTTTTGAGCGGCGCACACGAAGACTCTGTCGAGACCCGCCAGATCCACTGTTGCCGCGACCTGCGCGGCAGAAAAACCGCACACAAATGTGAGAATGGTTGGGAAGGAATGGTCGAAAGGCAGGAGGAAAGAGAAATGGGAGGTGTGGATACTTGATACTTGGAGATCGGGTGATGTTCGAGGGGCCTCAAGAATCACGAGAGAAAATGAATGGGGCGACTTCAAGACAACTCGAGAGTCGAAGAGAAAGTGCCAGCAAAACAAGGAGGCCAGCAGACAGACACCAAGACACCAAAACACCAAAACACCTCTCCTCGGAATAAGCCCAAGCCATCTTATGAGCTGCATTGCTGCTGTTGCTACCGTGGCACCAAACACACACCAACCCAGGTGTCCAGACCCACCTCTCCTCGGAAGAAGTCCAGCAGCAGGCTCTTGAGCTGCACTGCTGCCGGGTCGCTGTCAAACTCGGTTCCGATGAAGCAGAAACACGGCTTGGAGCCGACCTGCGGAGGAGGAGGAGGGGAAGGAGTGGAGGGGAATGGGGGAGAGGGTATAAGAGGGGGAGTGGGTCGCTGTCAGAATCGGTTCCAATGAAACAGAAACACGGCTTGGAGCCGACCTGCAGAGGAGGACGGGAAGAGGAAGAAGCAAGGCGGACGTGACGTGAAATGCTTTGTTTCAATTTTCCTTTTCCGTTTTCCCCATTCTCCCCACCTTGAACCTTCCCTCATAAAAACCCACCTGCATGGGGAGTTGCCCCCTCCTCTTCGCCTCCTCATCCCCCCCGCATGAAATCCCACCTGCAGGGAGAAATCGCCTCTTCCTTAAGCTGGCCCTTGACCCCCCTCCCTTCCCTCCCCCCCCCCCCTCACACTCACCCTTTTCCCCTCCCCTCCCCCCTCTTTTTTGAAACCCACCTGTGGGGAGAGCTTGCCGCCTCCTTTGAGCTGTTGGATGCTGACGTGGCGCGTTACCCCCACCTCGAGCATGTCGTACAGGTGGTAGTCGTACATTCGCCCAATCACCAGATTGTGGGGGCGCTTCTTGGAGTGGGAGGCAAACTGGTTCGGGGAGGGGAAAATGGAGTGAGGAGAGAGAGTCGGATGTAGGGAGAGAGGGAGGGAGCGCCTCAAGCCCCACCCCACCTCGAGCATGTCGTACAGGTGGCAGTCGTCCATTCGATCACCAGGTTGTGGGGTCGCTACTTCGAGTGGGAGGCGAACTGGGTGGGGAGGAGGGTTGGATTGGAAAAAGGGGGAATGGTGATGCGATATTGGTTGATGCTGTGGCGCGTGACCCCACCCCACCTCGAGCATGTCGTACAGGTGGCAGTCGTCCATTCACCCAATCACCAGATTGTGGGGTCGCTCCTGGGAGTGGGAGGCGAACTGGATGGGTGTGTTGTTTGGGGGTTGGGGAAGGAGGAGGGTAAAATGCCTCAAGATCCACCTCCCTCGAGCATGTCGTACAAATGGTAGTCGTACATTCGCCCTATCACCAGGTTGTGGGAGCGCTTTTTGGAGTGTGAAGCGAACTGGTGGGGGTGGGAAAGGGATGGGATGGGAGAGATTGCGTTGAGATGTGTCAAGCCCCGCCCCACCTCGAGCATGTCGTACAGGTGGCAGTCGTACATTCGCCCAATCACCAAGTTGTGAGGTGGGGAGAGAGGGGAGAGAAAGGTGTTGAGGGGAGAGAATGGGGAGAAAAAGAGGGGAGTTGGTGTTGAGGCGCGTTACCCTCACCTCTCGGTTCAAACCCTCGGCCGTCACTATTAACAACCCTCTTGAAAACCTGAAAAGCCCGACGCTCCAAGCGAGCTGTCTCCAAGCACTAAGTGTCTGCTGTCTGATCTCTTCACGAGCTGCTCTGCAGGAGCCTCGCCGCTCGCCTCGAAGGGCCGTTCGTTCTCGTTGGCGCCTACTTAAACTACCCAAATCACCCCAAACACTAAATCCCAAACCCCGAACCCTCGTCCCTCACCTCTCTCCGCGCACCATGAACAGGCTGCTGTCTCCTTTGAGGCAATTCTCAACCCTCAACCCTAAACCTCCGGAACCATCACTGCCAGCCCCCCACCATGAACAGGCTGCTATCCGTTTTCTTCGCCAGCTGTTCTAACGGCGCCTCGCCGCCCGCCTCGAAGGGCCGCACGTGCTCGTTGGCGCGCGAGAGCTTCAGCGAGCCCCCGCTGAACCGCTTCAGATGATGCACGTCCGACAGCACACCGTTCAGCACCGCACTGGACCGAGTGCCGCGCAACAGCAGCGCCTTCCGGACGTTCTCTTTCTGGTGAAGGGAGAAGAGGGGAGGGGAGGGGGAGGAGGGAGGGGAAGGGAGACGAAGGAACCGGAAGGGTGCGGGGAAAGACAGGGGGAGAGACAACGCGGAGGGGAAAGAAGACGGTGGGGGAGGAAAGGAGGAAACGAGACGAAGAGCGAGAGCGGGAGGAGAAAAGGGGACATGGTATATTCTGGGACGCACACAGATCGCACGTGCGACTATGCTCGAAAATCACGTCCGGCAAAAGCGCATGGCCGTAATGAAAATCGAAGAGCAAGCAACATCGGGTACGAGTGCACTATATCAGACTCAGAACCTAAGAGTCTGAACGACATAAATTAAGGAACGGCACCAAGGGCCGACTTAAAAACGGGATGCGGAGCGGCATATTAGGAGCAGCGTACTATTTTGGGCGCGCGAGATTCTAGAACGAGCTTCCCCTTCCTTGTCGTCGCCCTCGACGCTTTAAACATGGCTGCTGCTCGCTATTCCCGTGGCCGTCAGATGCTCCTGAGACCGTCAGATGGTTGTTGGAAAAGGTACGGCACGCTGCTGTGATTGCCTCAAGACCCAACGAGTTTGCCTCCCGTGGCTATCGGTTCAGGTCACTCTCACCGAGTCAACTCTAAGGTACCGCGGCACGCTGCTTTGAGTGCCTCGTTTTTACAATGTGAAGGACCACTGGTGAAACGCAGCTATTTATCTATGTATACAAAAGCGGCACCGGGCAAGGAATTGCGATCTGGGCAACTCGTGCAGCTGTCGAGAGTAAACGTCAGAAGAAATGAATGGTAATCGTTAGATTTTAGGAGTCGGCGATTCGGCAAAGGTAAAGCGTGAGGAGTCGAGGTTTGGGAGGTGGGGAGCAGGGCTATTGCTAGGATTTTTGCTAGCTCGGACGATCCGGGCCCCTGTGAAAAAGACCCTGTAAAATCCGAGCCAGCGGGAAAAAAACCTTGACGAATCCGGGTTCGAGCCAGAAAAGGCCTGAAAACATGCATTACCAGAATTTCGCGGGAAACTCACAGTGGGTTGCGCGAGGGCTGGGGAGATTGGAGATGGAGTGGCTCTGGAGGGGTGAGCGAGATACTTTTTGTAGACTTAGAAAAAAATACGATGAGGAAGAGTACATCGGGAGAACAGGGCAATCAGACACTCTCTCCTTATTGGCCTTCTAAGCCATGTCGACGTAGAACGGGGCAATCAGACACATGGAGGCCAACAAGGAGAGAGTGGTTAGGAAATTCACTAAAATTGGCCCAACGTGTGTTTAGAGGGAGACCGAGAGGAATGCAAGGCAGGTCGGGGAGAACATGTCTGCTAAAATTATACGGGTCCCCTTGAGAACTCCCCGGAGAGATCCGAGCTGACTCAAAAATCACCCTTCAGTTTTACGGGCTGGTCCGGAAAAAACCTTGTGAAAATCAGGGCTCCTAGAAAAAACACCCTATAATTTCAGTCAAAACAGGGTAATTGCCCTGATAACTTAGGCCCTGGTGGGGAGCGTTGGTTTGGGGGGTGGAGGTGCGGGTGCATGATCTTACAGCGCGTACGACGGGTTAGACGATTTGTATGTTTTGACGGTTGATTGGCAGGCAGATAGGCGAATCTGGATGCTGTTGATGGGCATTCGTAATTGTGCAACTAGCATATTCGCACATTTGAGTATGCAGAAACGACACCAAACATTACGATCGGCGCTTGCATTCTTTTGCTTCGGTTCTGTAGCGCGTATGACGATTTGAAAATTCGAACTCCTCCACCCCTCTCACGCGCACCCACGCGCGCTGCTGCTTCATTTTCGAATGCCATCTCACCTTGAAATCATCCTTCCTCGCCTCATTATCTTAGACGCTTCCTCAGTAGCTATCACTTCCCCGTGCTCGTCCTAGCCTCTCACTCAGTCCGAATCCGCTTGGCGCCGCTTGCATCTGCATTCCAGTTGTCCATTGTCCGGCAAGCTCCAGCGCCTCGACTTGAGCTATCGCCTTTCTTTCAAACCTGTTGATACAGCACCGTAAACGCGTGTCCAGACTTCTCAGTAACGCACGCAATTCCCTGCTCCATCTACTTTTCCGTAAAGCGCGTATATTAGCGTGCATAACGCGTATTGCACCTATAGCGCGTATAACGCGTATATCGCAGTCGAGGCAGCTGGTGCATCGCAGTCATGAGCGCCGTGACCATCACGCAAGTCAAGGTGCTCGACAACCCCGGGCCGTTCCTCTCGCCGCTCCGCCTCGAGATCTCCTACGACTGCATCCGGCCGTTGGAGGACGGTACGTGCGGAATTTTATCCGGCCCTGTCCCCGGACTCTATACCCCGAATATATGTTGGCCCAGCCATACCAAGAATCAGTATTGCCAATGAGTGCGACCGGTACTATATGAGAGCGACGAGTGCTGCGCGCCATGCGGCAGCGCCGCGTGCACGCCCCTTTCCGTGTTCCTTTTATCCTCCTTATAATACGTGAACGTGCATACACGGGTTCTTGAGTCTTCTTAAAAGCATGAACTTCGAAGTGCGGCAGTCCGCATGTAGGCCGTGTAGTATCCGGTCCTCCTTTCAAACGGATCAAGTTTTTATGCTCGCGCACCACGTGCTTGTTCTGAGAACGTCATGTTCGACCCGGTGAAGCGTTGCATTCATTGAGCATCGGCTTTGCCTCATTCCCATCGCATCCACCGTCCCACAGGCTGGCAGAGACAGAGTCGATCGGGTATGTGGGATCGGCAACGACCTTGCGTACGACCCGGTGCTAGAGAGCGTCATGGTCACCACCGTGAAATCACTCATGCTACCGCACTCAACTCCTGCCCTGTCTCTTCAGATTTGGAGTGGTCGATAGTGTATGTGGGGTCAGCCAACGACCCGGCGTATGATCAGGTGCTGGAGAGCGTTTTGGTCGGCCCAGTCAACGTTGGCAGCTTCAGGTTCATCCTCGAAGTAAGCCTCCCCGTCAAATGAGTCAGGGTAGAGGTCGGCATGATGTCAAGGTGTCTATCGAAGTCTCCTATTTAAAGGCTTCCTCAATATGTGAGCTAGTGACAAAAATGAGGCTAAAGCGATGCTCAAGTTTCTTGCGCGTTGATCTCTCACACGTTGCTGCCTCTTTTCTATATCCATTCCTTGGCTTTCAAAATGGATGCCTTTTGATTTCTTCTCCACACCCATTCCTTTCTCATCTGCAGGCAGACCCACCCGAAGTGTCCAAAATCGCGGAGGGCGAGATCCTAGGAGTCACCGTTCTGCTGCTCACATGCGCATACCGAGAGCAGAAGTTTATCCAAGTCGGGTACTATGTCAATAACGAGTACGTGGACGAGGCGCTGCAGCAGGAACCCCCTCCCAAGGTCGTGTTCGATAAGCTATCGCGCAACATTTGGGCTGAGAAGCCCAGAGTGACCAAATTTGCCATCAATTGGGACCCAGTGGGAGGGTCGGGGTATGAGGGAGGGTCAGGGCATGTGGGAGACGCGATGATGGAGGATGGAGGTCAAGGGGTAGGGTATGATGGGGAAGGCGAGCATCGGAGCTTTGGTATTGGATCGGAGCCTGCCCCTTGGGTTCCAGTTGAATCAGTTGACACTGCAGCAGCGCACACAGGAGATGCAACAGTTACCGATGCAGTTGTTACTGGGGCAGTGGCCGGTTTAAGTGCCGGAGATGGAGCAGGAAGTCTGGAATTAGTGAGTGGTGCAGGGAGCACAAAAGCCACAGAAGCCACAGAGGGTGCAGAGGTTATAGAGGCTACAGAGGTAACAGCAGCCGAGGCTGCAGCTGTGGGCCGGACTGAGATGGATGTAGCCTCGGAACCAGCATGTGGTGCAGCTCATGTCTCTGGTGTTGAAGGTCAAGACAATGGCGTGTGTGCGTCGGCTATGCAAGATAGGGATGCAGAGGCTCTGTTTCAAGGCAGCCTGAGGGTGCAAGAGAGCTGCTGACGTATGAAGGGCCTAACATGTCTGCATATTGTACCCAGCATCAGGCCAGAACTAGCAGGATATGTTCACTGTTGAATATGAACCAAATCTCTATTGTTCACTTCCAGCGAATTGAAGAAAAGTTTTTACATGATAATGGGCGTGTATCTGCCAAAAAAGAATAGACCAGACATGGTGAAACCAGTTGTTACTACAATTCGTTGATTCTTTTCAGCAATCACCGAACAGATGTGAGGACCAATATTTTTTCAACACAGCACTAGCAACTCACCCACAACGTTGTGTACTAATAATACAATAGAGACACTGCAAGAACGAACTAAAACCTCCAACGGTACGAATTGCACCCCTCAGGCAGGAGAAGTTGGCCTTCATCATCGTGCAGCTTGTCACAACCCCTAGCGTTCAAAATCATCAGCAGCTTCAGCTCTCCTAGATCTTCGGGCAGAGCCTCTAGCTCTTTGCAATCCTCCAAGTCCAGAATCTGCAGCCTGCTAAGGCGAGAGAAGTTGGGAGGAAGACAAGTAATGGAGCCCTGGTGGACCCGTAGCTCACAGAGGCAGGACAGCTGAGTGAGGGAAGCAGGGAGGTGTGTGAGAGATTGGCCATCGGACAGAATCAACTTGCATAATCGGGTGAGCGCCATGAGTGAATCAGGAAGTGAGGAGACCTTGGGGGCCCTGACCTCCATGTATGTGAGCTTCCGGAGGGCTGCAATGGTCGGTGGGAGTTCTGTCAATTCCGGCAGGAGTATTGCTAGTTGACGCAACTCTTGCAATGACGAGCGGGAAAAATCTGGAAGCTTCAGGACTCCAGTGTTTAGGATTGACAGGGTGCGGAGGTGAGGAAATGCCGTTAGTGGAAACGGGAACTCCTCCTCCCAAGCCAAGTACAGCTTCAAGTGCTCCAGAGAGGAAAGGCTTCTGGAGAGTGCGGAAGGGAAAACCGCCATGTACAGGCTTGCTTTTTCAAAGCATGGAAGATGATAGACACCTGGCAGACGGGTGACCTGATGTAAACACCCCACGCTTAGTGCTTCTAGCGAGGCCGGCAAGAACTCGGGAGCTTTTCTCAGCAACCCACAGCCGGTCAGCTCCAACTCCTTCAGCCTCGTCAGGTTCACACAACTCCTAGGCACCGAGAAAAGGCTGCTGCAGCTGTCAACCTTGAGGATTTCGAGGCCCAGGAGGGCTGAAACGGAGTCTGAGAGTTTCTGGAGGTGCGAGCAGGATTGGATGTAGAGCTCCCGCAGGCACCTCAGCTCCCCCATTGCCTCTGGGAGCTCTGCCAACGCGCAGTCCTGAAGCTCAAGCCTTGTCAGTGACGCTAGGTGGGTGAAGGAGGAGGGAAGCAGATGGCGTTGCTGGTACGACTTCAGGAAGAGAGTCTGCAGGTTGGTGAGATCTCCGATGTCGTCAGGCAGGATCAGAGGAGGTGAGCCTGCAAGGCACAGGGTTTTGAGCGCAGTGAGAGCACCGAACCCCTCTGGTAACTCGCGTAGGTGTGCGCAGTCTGTGACTAACAGCGTCTCTAGAGTCTTGAGCTGGCTGCACGAGGCAGGGAGGTCCACATTGAGTTTGTGCAGCACGAGCGTTTTCAGCGCGGGCAGCTCGCCGAAATCGTGAGGCAGACCGGCGAAGCTGCAGTCCGAAAGCTTCAAGCGGCGCAGGTTGGTCAGGGAGGTGAGCTGCTGGGGTTGCTCGAAGAACGACCTGCATTCGCTGATGGTCAGCTCGCGGAGACACGGCAAGCGGTCTTCAAGATCGTTCGGGAACGAGGCGAGCTCATCGCACTGGCTGAGCGTGAGGCGTTCCAAGAGGCTGCACGGCGATTCTGAGGGGAACATAACGTCGAACGGTGGGCAGCTGCTACCCAGATCCAACGACTTGAGCGATGGCAGATGCGCGAACGAGAAGGGAGGAGAAGGCAGCGGCCTTGGTTGAAATTGAGAGATCCTTTCCGACACGGAGAGATGGGTGAGGCTTGGGAGCAAAGCAAGGATATGCAGATCCTGGAACCAGATCGCCACGTTAAGGGAGAGCGCGGTGAGAGAAGACAGATTCGTGAGTCCGGGAGCCGACAACGCCGACCGATCGGCGATCGCGAGCGAGCGGAGGTGCATGAGCTGATAGAAAGAAGGAGGGAGCACGAGACAACTGGAGATGCAGCCCAAAGATAGATGCTCCAGCCGCGTGCACCCGCGGAAGAAAGCATCTAAGCCAGCTCCAGTCAGTAACCTCTGCCCCTCCTCCTCCTCCTCTTCGTCCACGTTCTGCTCGATCCCTCCTCCGAGGTGGAAAGCCGTCAGATTAGGGCACGATGCGGCGAGGCGAGCGAGAAAGGCGTCGTCGATGGTCTCCAGGCTAGAGTCGTTGAGGTGAAGGTGTGTGAGGTTAGGAAAGCGGTTGAGAGCGGCGGAGAGATCCTCGCGAGAGACGCCGCGTCTTTCCTTGACGAGAAGCGTGGTGACGTGGCGCTCAGCTAGACGACGCCAGTGACGGCAGACTGACGCGAGGAGGAGATTATAAGCGGCGTCGGCGAAAGCTGGAGGTAGAGTCGGGTTCGGAAACAAGGGCTCACTCTGCTGGTACGATGGTTCGTCCGCATTTTCGCGAATAAACTGCGGGGTAGGCCACAAGGACGCCCACACATTGTCATCGTCGGACTGGCGGGAGAAGAGATGCTTAGAGGGCCAGAATATCGCAACGAGAAGCTCGTCGGGAAGGTTGTTGATGTGCAAAATCTTGTACTTGCGCAGCCTTTAGTCTAGACTATGAAGACTATTTAGATAGTAGTATGCATAGGAAGCTCTAGCTTCAACTATGTGAAGGAATTTGCTGGAAAACGCCAAGGCAGAAAGTTCAAGTAATTTCATTGAAGAAGGCATACAAAAACAGAAAACACAAAGCAAGTTATAAGCAAAAGGATTTCTGATTTCGCCCTCGCGCCGCGCCTAATATCGAGCTGAGTTGTACTCGGCTCAATTCCCAAATCCAACCATGCACCGAACGCGCCTCGAGTTCGAATTTCAGACTTCCTTGGACGCGCCTTTGACCCGGCGTGACTTCTCATCACGTCACTTGATATCTCGACATTTCAGCTGTGTTCTTCTCCATTTCAGCACGCTTCCTCTCCTTCTCTTCATTTCCCATCGCAGGTCTAGTCTCTGCCTTGTTTCTCCTTCCACCGCCCCAACATAGGTAGCTCATCTTCTTCTTAGGTCTTCGCTTTCCCTTAGTCTCATCTCGTCAAGCCGGATTCTTCTTAGGTCGATGTAGATCGCGTTAGGTCGTTCTAGGTCGTGGTTAGCTAACCACCTTCAACAATCTCCCCTGTGGTTTGCTAACCACCAGCCTATGCATTCTCCCACGCACGTTTTACCTTGAACCATCTCTAGGCCTGCTCCACACTCCCCTGCAATTCAGCCAAGGTACGCATCCCAACCTCTCTCTTGCAACGCTCAAAATTTGCCCTTGGTAACACCTTAGTCAGAAAATCTGCTGCTTGTGCCTCCGTACGTACGAATTCAAACTTGAACTCCTTGCTACTCACCTTTGAACGCACCCAATGATACTTCACATCCATATGCTTGGTCCTCCCGTGCCAATTGTCGTTGTGAGCCAAGTCGATGGCAGATTTGCTATCCGTGCGTATCACCGTCGGCCCTTTCACCTTGATTTCCATCTCCTTGAGTAGCCGTCTCAGCCAAACCCCCTCTTGGCATGCGTAAAACAGAGCCATGTACTCCGCTTCCGCACTAGAGAGCGCTATGTCACTCAACTTTTTCGCTTGCCACATGATTGCTGTCCCGCCGAGCAGAAACACGTAACCGTATGCTCCCTTCCTTGTTTGCCTGTCGGATGCGTGTGAAGCATCCGCATACCCCACTAACTCCAAGGTCTCTTCACCTCCTTCGAATAACAGCCCCTCATCTTCATGTTGCAGTAGGTAGTCGATAGTCCTCCTCATCTCTCTCCATTTTCTCTCCCCTTGTTGCTGCACTTGTTGCCCAAGGTAGCTAGCTGCGTATGCCATGTCAACGCGCGTGCATGAGACCGGATACATTATGGACCCCACCATGGACTGATATACTTGCCGAGCTCTCTCCTTGCTGCCCCATTGGTTGACATCTTCCTCCCGCTCACTGTCATTTTCAGCTACCCCACTCAATGGTGTAGAAGTCGCCTTCGTGTAGCCGTTGCCAAACTTCTGCTGCACCCTGCTGCAATATTTCTGCTGGTATAGGAACATCTTCTTCTCCTCCTTACGCCGCTCCAGATTCATGCCGAGAAAGAGTGTGGTCCTCGGAATCTGCTTGACTTGAAAAACTTCCGCAAGGTGAGTGCACACCTTCTCTACCTCCTCCTCTAACGCCCCTGCCACCAAGATGTCGTCCACGTATAGCACCAAAAACACCTTCTCTTTCCCTTCTCCCTTCCAGTAGAATGCTCTATCACACTCACTTTTATGAAATCCCCCTTGCAGTAGCCGCTCATCCATCGCCATGTACCACTCCCTAGGACTTTGCTTCAGCCCGTATAGAGCCTTCTTGAGCTTGCATTTCCTGCCTGAGCCGTCATCATGCCCTGGTGGTTGTTCGAGGTAGATGTCCTCCTTCAACACCCCATACAAAAACGCGTTTTTAATATCCAGCTGCACCATGAAGTATTTTCTTGCTGCTACCACCTTGAGAAAGACCCGCGCCGTTGCCAACTTGCTCACTGGAGCGTAGATCTCATTTTGTTGGTAATCTTTCCCCTCCACCTGAGTGTAGCCCTTGGCTACAAGCCTTGCTTTGAACCTTTCCAGCTGCCCCATATCTCCGGTCTTGATTTTAAAAATCCACTTCACCCCCACGGCTTTCCTCCCTTCCGGCATAGGCACGAGTTCCCATGTGCCCCTTTCAGCCAATGTGTTCAACTCCTCCTCAATTGCCGCTTTCCACCGCTCCCTTTCTGGACCCTCGAGCGCCTCCTCGATGCTCACTGGTTCTTTGGGCAGGTTGTGACTCACTTTCCCTTCATTGGAGACTAGGTCAGTTGCTGTGGCAGAGAGTAGGAGATGGGTATGGATGTCCTTCCAGCACGTCATCAGCAGTTGCGCATACCGAGGGTTTGGTTTCTTCACCCTCTTTCCTTTCCCCAACTCCTCTGCAGATGATTCGACCTCTTCCTCACTGGAATCCGTCAATGCTTTCCCTTCTCCATCCTTTACTTCCCTTCCAATCACGATGGCGCCCTCCTCAAGTAAGTCCTCTATCTCCTTCTCTGCTGCCTGGTTGTCACCACTATTCAGGAACTTCCAGGGATCGCTACTTCCTTCAGCTGCTGATTCTTCATCTCTCTCTTCTCTAGCCACTTCATCGTTGACACCCTCAGCTACTTCCTTGCTTGGCTGCTCCCCTGCTATCTCCACTCCCTTGTTTTCATCCGCTTCCCTGGCTGGTGCCTTCTCCCACACCCAATCAACTGAATCTGCCCGTTCCACATCTTCGATCTCCTCATCTTTTTCATCACCAACTCCCTCACTCTCCTTTTCTTCCAAGAGATCCTCTACCTTGTCCGATGTAGTTGCTGTCCCTGCTGCTGCAATCTCTTTCTCTACCCCCTTCCACTGCAGGTAGCTCACCTCCTCGTAGAAAATAACATCCCGGCAGCAACTTGGCCGGACCAGCAGGCTCCCTGTATTGTACCATACTCCCCCACACCCGTGCAAGCCCCAGATTCGGCTTCCTCCCATAGAATGCCTCGTGAGGAGTCACATCTGCCCGAAGTCCCTTGGTAGGCAATCGGTTCTTGGACCAGCAGGCCATTGCTAATGCATCACCCCAGAATTTCAGTGGCAGCCCACTGTCAGCCAGCATGCTCCTCACACTGTCTAGCAGAGAACGATTCACCCGCTCCGCTACACTATTATGCTGTGGAGTGTAGGGTACAGTCAGCTGCCGTCGGATGCCCTTACTTTGTAAAAACTTGTTAAACAGGTCCCCGGTAAACTCCCCACCATTATCTGTCCTCAAAACTTTCAGCACCTTCCCACTTTGTCGCTCCGCTTCCGCCATCCAAGTCACGAAGCTAGGAAACACCTCTGCCTTATCTTTCAGCTCCGTCACCCATGTGTGCCTCGTTCCCAAATCAGTGAAGGTAACGAAGTAGCGGCTGCCGTGTCGTGATGCCACCCTCATAGGTCCACAAACATCGGCTGCTACGATGTCCAAGGTGCCATAAGGCTCCTGCACCTGGTGGTGGGGGTGTGGGGATTTTGTGATTTTACCTTCAACACACTTGCTGCATTTTCCCTTGCTTCCAGCCCCCTCCTTCAATGTCACTCCTTTTACCATGCCCTTTTTAACCAACTCCTTGATCCTATCCACGCTTGCATGCCCCATGTGCCTATGCAAGGTCTCCAATTCAACCTTCTCCACCCCAACCACCATGGCTGAAGCTTCCTGCTGCAGCTCCTTCACAGGTAAGCCACCAAGCCGAGCCTTCAACTCCTCCCTAGCTAGGTCCCCTTCGAGTGGAGTCATGTAGGTGGCATTCTCTGCTTCCAGCCCCTTCTTCCTCAGCTTCATTTCATACAATCCCTGATTTCTGTTCCCTTCTGCAACCACCTTCCAATTTTCATCAAAAACCCACAGCTTCCCCTTGTCACTGAAGGTTTTGCACCCCGTGCTGTCAAGTTGTGACTGGCTGATCAGATTCAGTGAGAGCTTCTCCACTAAGAGCACTTTTCCCAGTTTCAGCTCCCCATACTCTCCCTGGAGCAGCAACTCTCCTTCTCCCTTCACACTCAGTTTTCCTTCATCACCCAACAGCACATAGGGTACGTTGGAGTCCCTCAGATTTGTAAGCCATTCACGGTGATTGGTCATATGCTGCGTGCAGCCACTATCCATGAACCACGCAGCTTCACCAAACCCCTTTGCCATCAAACACACTCCCGATGCCCTAGCCACGTTTGCCTTGTGAGCTCCTCCCAAAATAACGTCCGCTTCACTGTTTTCAGCTTCCACTGCATTTGCTTTTGCTGCTGCTGGTTGGTTTTGCTGCTGGTTTGCCCCTCGGTAGTTCCTGCTGTTGGGGTTCGAGTAGCAGTTGGCTGCCCTATGCCCAATTTTCTGGCAATAGTGACATGCCCCTGAAAATCCGCCTCTCTGCACCTTGTTATCGCCTCGAAACTCCCCCTCTTTCTGCTGCCCTCCATTTTGCAAGCCCTTCTGCTGTAGACCGCTCCACTTTCCCTTGAAATTTCTGCTCCTCGGGTTGTCATAGCAGTCTATCTGCTTATGACCCTTCTTCCCACACTGAAAACACACCCCAAAACCTCCGTATCCTTTCCCTGTCGCTGCTGCGTTTACCATAGCATGGGTGGCTGGTCCCATTCCGTTCAAGCTAATCTCCTTCCTGAGCCGATCAGCTTTCACCCGCTCCAGAGCTTGGAGCGTCTCTAACAGCTTGGTCATATTCGCGGATGGGTTGCAGGTTAGGAGCCCTATCTCTGCTTCCCACTCCTTGGGCAGCCCAGTAATGATGTACCCCATCATTTCTCCTTCAGTTTCAGCTGCCCCCATAGCCTTGAGGTCGTCATTGTACCCCTTTGCTCGATTCATGTAGTCAATGACCCTCTCCCCTGGCTCCATACTCAATAGAAGGAGTTTCTTCCGAATGGCTGCTTTGTTCGTATCCGTAAGCCCAAGGTAGGCAGCTTCCATGTACTCCCAGGCTCGTTCGGCAGAGTTCTCCTCTCCCGCAAATTGATCCAGCCCCACTGCAATGTTATCCGAAACCGAATGACATAATTGAAAAAATGCTTGCTTACTCCTTTTTTTGAACGACGCATTTTCCTCTGGTTTTTCTTTTGCAGATGGTGGGACGCCCTCTCCCGTCTCCTTGTCGGGATGATAGTACGGCCAGAGATCCACTTCCTCCGCTCTACGAATGAACTTGAGTCGCCACGTGCTATAGCTTTCGCCATTGAATCGTTGGGCCTCGCTAAGCCCAATCGTTGGCTTCGCCGTCAATTTAGCTTGTGCTAGCGCCGCTAGGATGGCCTGTAGTTCTGAGCCTCCAATGCTCACAGAGGAGCCCGAACTCGCCTCTGTATGATCGCCCGTCATACTCAGACAATTCCGCCTATCCTTAAAACGCTAGAACGCGCCTTAAACCAGCTCTGATACCAGCTCTTGTACTTGCGCAGCCTTTAGTCTAGACTATGAAGACTATTTAGATAGTAGTATGCATAAGAAGCTCTGGCTTCAACTATGTGAAGGAATTTGCTGGAAAAAACGCCAAGGCAGAAAGTTCAAGTAATTTCATTGAAGAAGGCATACAAAAACAGAAAACACAAAGCAAGTTATAAGCAAAAGGATTTCTGATTTCGCCCTCGCGCCGCGCCTAATATCGAGCTGAGTTGTACTCGGCTCAATTCCCAAATCCAACCATGCACCGAACGCGCCTCGAGTTCGAATTTCAGACTTCCTTGGACGCGCCTTTGACCCGGCGTGACTTCTCATCACGTCACTTGATATCTCGACATTTCAGCTGTGTTCTTCTCCATTTCAGCACGCTTCCTCTCCTTCTCTTCATTTCCCATCGCAGGTCTAGTCTCTGCCTTGTTTCTCCTTCCACCGCCCCAACATAGGTAGCTCATCTTCTTCTTAGGTCTTCGCTTTCCCTTAGTCTCATCTCGTCAAGCCGGATTCTTCTTAGGTCGATGTAGATCGCGTTAGGTCGTTCTAGGTCGTGGTTAGCTAACCACCTTCAACAATCTCCCCTGTGGTTTGCTAACCACCAGCCTATGCATTCTCCCACGCACGTTTTACCTTGAACCATCTCTAGGCCTGCTCCACACTCCCCTGCAATTCAGCCAAGGTACGCATCCCAACCTCTCTCTTGCAACGCTCAAAATTTGCCCTTGGTAACACCTTAGTCAGAAAATCTGCTGCTTGTGCCTCCGTACGTACGAATTCAAACTTGAACTCCTTGCTACTCACCTTTGAACGCACCCAATGATACTTCACATCCATATGCTTGGTCCTCCCGTGCCAATTGTCGTTGTGAGCCAAGTCGATGGCAGATTTGCTATCCGTGCGTATCACCGTCGGCCCTTTCACCTTGATTTCCATCTCCTTGAGTAGCCGTCTCAGCCAAACCCCCTCTTGGCATGCGTAAAACAGAGCCATGTACTCCGCTTCCGCACTAGAGAGCGCTATGTCACTCAACTTTTTCGCTTGCCACATGATTGCTGTCCCGCCGAGCAGAAACACGTAACCGTATGCTCCCTTCCTTGTTTGCCTGTCGGATGCGTGTGAAGCATCCGCATACCCCACTAACTCCAAGGTCTCTTCACCTCCTTCGAATAACAGCCCCTCATCTTCATGTTGCAGTAGGTAGTCGATAGTCCTCCTCATCTCTCTCCATTTTCTCTCCCCTTGTTGCTGCACTTGTTGCCCAAGGTAGCTAGCTGCGTATGCCATGTCAACGCGCGTGCATGAGACCGGATACATTATGGACCCCACCATGGACTGATATACTTGCCGAGCTCTCTCCTTGCTGCCCCATTGGTTGACATCTTCCTCCCGCTCACTGTCATTTTCAGCTACCCCACTCAATGGTGTAGAAGTCGCCTTCGTGTAGCCGTTGCCAAACTTCTGCTGCACCCTGCTGCAATATTTCTGCTGGTATAGGAACATCTTCTTCTCCTCCTTACGCCGCTCCAGATTCATGCCGAGAAAGAGTGTGGTCCTCGGAATCTGCTTGACTTGAAAAACTTCCGCAAGGTGAGTGCACACCTTCTCTACCTCCTCCTCTAACGCCCCTGCCACCAAGATGTCGTCCACGTATAGCACCAAAAACACCTTCTCTTTCCCTTCTCCCTTCCAGTAGAATGCTCTATCACACTCACTTTTATGAAATCCCCCTTGCAGTAGCCGCTCATCCATCGCCATGTACCACTCCCTAGGACTTTGCTTCAGCCCGTATAGAGCCTTCTTGAGCTTGCATTTCCTGCCTGAGCCGTCATCATGCCCTGGTGGTTGTTCGAGGTAGATGTCCTCCTTCAACACCCCATACAAAAACGCGTTTTTAATATCCAGCTGCACCATGAAGTATTTTCTTGCTGCTACCACCTTGAGAAAGACCCGCGCCGTTGCCAACTTGCTCACTGGAGCGTAGATCTCATTTTGTTGGTAATCTTTCCCCTCCACCTGAGTGTAGCCCTTGGCTACAAGCCTTGCTTTGAACCTTTCCAGCTGCCCCATATCTCCGGTCTTGATTTTAAAAATCCACTTCACCCCCACGGCTTTCCTCCCTTCCGGCATAGGCACGAGTTCCCATGTGCCCCTTTCAGCCAATGTGTTCAACTCCTCCTCAATTGCCGCTTTCCACCGCTCCCTTTCTGGACCCTCGAGCGCCTCCTCGATGCTCACTGGTTCTTTGGGCAGGTTGTGACTCACTTTCCCTTCATTGGAGACTAGGTCAGTTGCTGTGGCAGAGAGTAGGAGATGGGTATGGATGTCCTTCCAGCACGTCATCAGCAGTTGCGCATACCGAGGGTTTGGTTTCTTCACCCTCTTTCCTTTCCCCAACTCCTCTGCAGATGATTCGACCTCTTCCTCACTGGAATCCGTCAATGCTTTCCCTTCTCCATCCTTTACTTCCCTTCCAATCACGATGGCGCCCTCCTCAAGTAAGT